ACTCAAGGTTGTTGTAAAACTTGAAACAGTGGAAATTAGAGAAAGGGTCCTTTTCTCTCTAGTTTGGGGTTCCACTTTAATTTTTTTTCTTTGTCTCCACACGCTCCTTTCCTGTCTGTGTTTTGTTCTTTGCTCACCGAAGAGTCCCCACATGGCCTAGCTGATCATCGAACATATCAATAAAGTTTTTATGGAAGCTTTGGCGATGGTTTTTTTTATAAGATAGTTTCGTCGTCTCTTTTACTTTTGATGGTGGAGTTGGTGTGTAGCCGCTTTAGGAGGAAGAAAGGAGCGGTCCTTCCTGGCCGTTGAATTGGACCTCTCGCCTCTCGCCTTAGCTAAATGGATTTATGAGGAAGGGTTCTGCTGCTTTTCCAATCAAATTTTGGTCTGCCATTTTTAATCATTTGGGTATTTCTAGTGATTGATTTGTTCAACGAGCTTCCTGATTTGATTGAATGATCTTAAAAATAATTTAGGCTTACAGATAATGATGATGACAATGCAGTGGAATTGCAGGATCAATTAACTTTTTGAATAATAATCAAAACCAACCCGTGAATCACGGACTAGCTGGATTTCCACCATTTTTACTCTGTAAACTCTATTCCCTGCATAAATTACAACAAAAAGGTTATTGCAGAGTTTTGTCTGTATATTTTCCACCTCTTCAATTTTCTTTTGTCCGAGGAGATAGTTTTTTTTTTTTTTTTTTAAGTCTCAAAGGGTTTTGGATTTTATTTTTTTAACTTATTTAAACAAATTTATTTACATCGAAACTTATTGAATTTATGAAAATCACTTGTTCATAATCTTTTTACGAATTCGAATTAAGATAACAAAGAAAAATTTTCTTTTATCACTTAAAGCAACCATTCATTTTACTAAACAAATAACTACAAAAAAAAAAAAAAACATAAATTGATAATTGAAAAAAAAAATTCAGTAACACATACCTCTTCTTGAAACGTGGCTACAAATTTTTTCAATTTGAAGTTTAAGAATTATATAGGATGGGAGAATAGAAAATTTGGGTTTCCTATTAAGTACAAAAGATGATAATTGGAAACAAATGATGAATTATTGATGATAAGAAATTAACCTAAAAAATATCACTTAAATTTTTCTTTTTTTGAAAGGTGACAATACGTACAATAGGCAAGATATAGTATAATGCTGGATAGCTGAGAAATTTGACTGAATAATAGCCATCAAATATTGGATTCTTTTGAATTAATGATTTATAATCCATGTTCAAACTTGAGCTTCTAGTTTGCTTGGTGAGGAGTTTCATTTTGGACTTGCGGACAGAGAAATAGAGAGTACAAGGACTGTTTGGATATGAAAATCTAAGAGTTCCTTTACGTTTTGGGTGGGGATTGGGATTTGACAGACACATCTCTCAAGTTTCGTTTAATGGAATGGAAGTGGTTTTTATGGTATAATAATATAAGAGCTATCCATTAATGCTCGTTGGTTCGTGTAATAAAAAATTTGATTTTTTTAAAGTAAGATTTTAATTTTAAATTTTATTAATGAAAAAAATAAATATTATAAAAATTTATCTGATTCAACTTTAGAATAATCTATATTTTAAAAAAATATCAAATCTAAAAAAAAAAGACAAATGCAACTCTAGGGGTTATTATCTTTGAGGAGACAAATTTAAGGGTACCTGCCCTACACCTAAAAACACAGAAATAAACGAAAAAACCAAGAAAAAAATAGGAGTTAGATACTTGACCTACTATGAATGAATGGTATATGAATTGAGAAAGCAGATTACTCAACTAATAATCATAAGGTACTAAGTGCAGAATTGATTTTCAACCTACCAAACAGATATGAAGTATGAACTATATGCGGTTGACATTTTGAGATTCAATCTTTCGACACAAACATTTTACCTTTTCTATGGTCCTATATGTACATATTTACCACCCAAGAATTAAATTTTCTTTTGACTCGTTACCTTACTTTAGTCCTAATGTTTTCTATACAAGTCAATAACCCAATAAATAATCCTCCTAAATCCTAATTAATCATATGCTACCTCTAAGAAATTGAGAACTTAATCACTATACATAAAAATATAAAACAACAAATTAAGTTAACCTAATTATGGTATTTGTCGAAATTCAAATAGTACAGTCAAGGGGCATTATAATTGGTACTTCCAAATGTATTTCAATATTTAAATCAATGTATGATAGATTAATAAAAAAATTACATTATTATGATGTCGTATATAATAGTAATAATAATTTTTTTTATAAAACATCAAAATTAGAATGAAATAGATTTGATTTAAACAAAAAAAATATTCGAAATATTTTTAAGAAATCAATGTAGCATTAATAAAATTTCTATTTAATTAAAAGATTAGACAGTTCAAGCCTTTACCATACACTTAATCTAACATAGAGGCATGGTACAACAGAAACAAGATTTCATGCTTGGGAATTTGGGATGTTACCAGCAAGAAACTAAACTAGTTAGCTGAAGACACATAAAAATTCCATAGAACTATGGTAAGTAGGCCGTAGCATAGGTTAGTTAAGGACATGACCGTATATGGCCGTCAAGATCTTTCTTGCAGTCTAACCAAAAGGTTAAAAAGGAGTTTTACTTACCTTATTTGGCGACGGCTCGCCTGATTTGCTGAAAAGAGATTGAGACTTGAGAGTGATAGAGACTGGGGGCACGACTTATTGACTTGGTCATATAGACGTCTAATGTATTTGACCACTTGTAATTGGCCACGTTGTCTTTAGGATTGGAACTAGTCTTTAATGAAGAGGGAGACCTACCCTAACCAACCCTCTCAAGGCTTCTTTAATTTCAGGAGATTTTTTTTTTTTTTTAAATCGTTGGTTTAAGAATAGAGAAATAATAATTCCATGAATCAATTTAGTAAAATTTTAGATTCAATTTCAAATGTGATTTTGGACTCTTGGTATACATAAAGCTAATATTGACAATGTAATCCTTCATAAATGGTTCTAACCATATTAACGTACGTCTAATCATTCAAAAATTCAATAATATGATAACTTTTGCTTTTGCCTGATTTTGGATAATTCCATCCACATATAATGTCAAACAGAAAAGACCCAAGAGAAAAGAAACATAGCAACGTAGAATGGGCTTAGCTAAGGTTAAAGGGCTACATCAATTTGTCCATGGCTCCCCAAGCATCATCAAAATTAAGGCTGGCCTAAAGCTTTTAGGTATATCATTGACAGCTACGGGCTAAAAAAGCCATGGCAGCCCAGATTACATGCTGGTCATCAGATTCATTTCAAAAAGGTCTTTGGGGGAAGGGCTCAAGAACCCAGAAAATGCGACCATTAATGAGACTGGTAGGTTGCCAACGCAACGAAAAGGCAGGCAAGCAACTATTCCTACATATTTATATGATACTGCCAAAATCAGACATGCTTTAATCTGTATACCTTAATAGAGAAATGGCTTTGGCAATTTGTGCTGCAAAATCTGTTGCGAAATTTGAATGCTAAGGGGGGGAGGGGATGTCCTAGATAATTGTTTTACAAGAATCCCGGTGCTCATAAATGCATGATTTATACATATATACGAGAAAGATCAGAAGAGAAAGCAACGCAACCAACCGCTTTCCTTCCATTACTTGTCTCTTTCTTTTCTCTTATGTAATGTTACATAGCTTTCAAGCCTAAGGGACAGACGGCCAAAAAAGAAAAACAAAGGGAGCAACCAGTAGTCCCCCGAATATGGAAAACAGAAGCCTGCAGACCTCACATTCTCTCTAATTTGTCTTTATTGAAACCTCAACAAGTTTTCCTTCCCCAACAACCTTTCTGTCCTTCACTCGATCTTTCTCATTCCATTGTGTAGTTTTTAATCTTTAAGCTCACGCCACTCAAAAATCCTTTGATACCCACGTTTCCTTGTTCATGGAAAACTTCAAAGCACATATTGCCTTGCCTTTCTGCCCTACTCATAACCGCGCCTACCTTATTTTCTTCATTTTTAGTGTCAAAAATTTCAAAGTAAATAGGCTGCTCCAACCTTTTTAATTACATAAAGTGATGGCATATGTTATTCAGATAGTTACGACAAACTCAATATTGGGTGCATTATACGTCGTACTGAAAACTGGTGTACTTGTCAGATTTCTTTATTTGACGAAAATGTTAGACGAAGAAATGAAAGATTTATAACAAACGATTTATATAAACCATTAATGTTTTACCCCTTGCTTCTATAATGATACTAAGAGCTAGAGTAAGCCAGTAGTCTTTTAAACTATTATTGTGTTTGCATAGATAATAAAATTTTCTTAAGAAAATAATTTCAGAATAGAAATTGAGGCTAAAAAAAACAACTTTTAGTGGATTTTCCTTTTGCTTGTATATATTCTTTTGTGCGATTGGTAATTTGCGTGAAAAGAAGTTTTTTCAGAAGTCCAACAGAGAAGACTGAGATTTACAACTTTTTTGGTGTCATAATTCTAACGTATCTGCTTTCAAATCAAACGATTGCTGCAGCATATGGTATCTCATTGTCCTTTGAATCTTTTTCAAGTTGAGCCCATAGAAAGTCTATGCTTCATTGCTCAAAAAGTTTGAGCAATCCAAAATCCTGTCTTTTCAAAAGAACAAAACAAAAATTGTTTCTCTTTTCTCCATTGCTCTTTCTTTTCTCTTCCTCTCCTCCCGCTTCCTTCTGGCCTATCTTTTCGGTAACAGTTCTCCCCTTCTGTAATATGTCAATGGAAAGAGAAACAAACACCAGAACAAACAAACCCCATCCCTGCTTAACTTGAAGAAAAATTCCACTTTAGAGTTTTCATCGAGACAATAAAATTCACTGTTGAAAAAAATAAAAAAGTCATATGCTTAATTTGATCAGTGCTGTGTAAGCCAGCTATAGCTAGCTACAAGTACAAGAGACAGAGCAAAAAAAAAAAAAGAAAACACACTCAAAATGTTTGGATAAAATATGGATCAAATTGCTTATCCCATTAACAACGTTAATTTCAGAATTAGAGCTCTAAAATCTAATTAAACTACTACATTTCGTAAGAACATGCAGTAAAATAAACAAGGAGAAACAAACAAAGTTAACACTTGACAGTTTTCTTCTTCTACATTTTAAGACGAGTTTGAGAACATGGTCTCCCAAATCTCTGTAAAAACCTCAACAATAATCCTATGATGGTGATGAGAGTTCAGGGACAGGAAACACTGCAACAGTTGCTCGAGATCCTTAGCTGCAAATATCTGTCTCTCAACGATCATCTCCACCATTGATGTCCTGAAATCATTGTAGGGATCACTTGAACGTTTCACCACAGCAAAGCTATCTTTGACTTTATCGGCTCCTTCCAATGGTAAAATCGCCATGTCACCGCTCCTGTTCTTTGCTCTTCTCCGACGAGTGTTGCATCTTTTCCTGTGACTAGAACGTTGCCGGAGAGACTCGGATGAATCCGAAGAAAGAGTCCTTGAAGAGAAAAGAATCTCGGTTTCATCTTCACTGCTAAACCACCACCCACCATAATTGTTATTATTAGTAGCACTTTCTTGAGAAGATGAGCTGAAAAATGTGGTAGTAGAAGAAATATTCTTGCTTTTAAGATGAACCCTTTTGTTATTCTTCTTTTTCTTCTTGTGTCCGGCTAAACTCTTCTTTTTCTCATAGAAACCAAAGTCTTTACAGTAGGAGAAGAGGTTCAGAGGCGAAATAGGGGAAACAGGAGGGCACTTTCGGCCATCAAAATCAGCGGCGGAGACAAGAAAAGGAGGGTAACGAGCAAAGACTTTACGTCTTGGGAGAGTTTCTCTAGGAGTAACCATGATACAATCATGATTGATGGCGCCTTGGGTTGATGATTCAGGGCATCTGGGTCTACAAACGGAAGGGAAGGCTCGAGCCTTAGGTGGCGGCGACGACAATGGCTCGATCAAGTGGAATTTCTGGTGGTTTTGAGGTGAGAAAACGGCTTTTTCAATAACGTCCGAGATGTTCCGGGTTCGACAGGAGCCAAGCGAAGATCGAAACATGCGAGAGATTCTTAGCTTGAATCGATTCTCCATTTCCAGGGAAAGAGAGTCTGATTTTTTTTCTTTGTTTTTTGAAAGGAGAGTGGCGGTTTATGGAGAAAGAAAACTTATATAAATACAAGAGAAACCGAAAGTGGGACTGTGGAAACTTTCTGCTGTTTTTTTTATGATAATAATTTAATAAGTTGTATGGTGAAAACTTTCTGCTGTTTTTCCGTCCATTTCTTTGTCCTTCCCGTAGAAATTTGGCTTAAGGCGAAGACTTTTTTTATATATATAAAATAAAATAGGTTTAAAATCACCCCCGGCAACTTTTTTTTATGTGCTTTAAATTTCAAATTTGCAAGTAGAAATTCGTCCAACGAAAAGTTTAATTACTCATTTTGAAATTTAATTAGCACTATAAATCTTTGATAGGGCCAGTTGAAAATGGAGATTTTTTTTTTTTTTTAGGTTAGAAAAAGAGAGGTAATCACTTGGGCAGGTCAATCCTGGTTTGGGAAATGAATTCCAGGTATGGTATCCTTAGAGTAAATGCCAGCCAACCACACGTTTTATTTTTAACTTATGGAGAGATTTGCAGGAATAGGGGACCAAAATAATTAAACAAGATATTACTTAACTGTTGAGGGATTTGAGTTGTATTTGAAATTCAAATTTTGGTACCCAAATAAGTAAATCAAAAATAAAAATAAATTATATACTTAATTTAATTGATTTATGTATTAATTTTTAAAATATTTAATTAAATAAATTTAAATTTTAACATTAATAATTTTCTTCCTTCTTTTTATGACAAAAAAAATCAGAAACAAAATTTACATAGGTTAAAAAAAAAAAAAAGAGAACATGACATGGAAAATTTCCCTGTAAATTGGGTAATTGACAATTATTGAAGAGTAGAGTAGCATGTTCATGATTGGATAATTGAGTAATTCTTGCATTGTTTATTGATTTTGGGCAATAGGGATATTCAAAAGGCTGTTAAAGAAAGGGTCAGGGAAAATCCACCACATTCCGGATGCTGTCTCTTTATCTGATCTAAAAAAACAGTATCACGTCATTATTAAGAGCTTTTTAAATGTTCGTGGTACCACTTAAATCCTACCGCTATAATTGTGGCAAACCTTTTTTCTGGGTGCTGTGGAATTTGAAATGTGGCATAAAATATTTCAAAAAACCGGTCTATAATTATAAATAAATAATTGCTACCACGTAACATTCACATTCACATACTTTCAAAAGGGATGGTTCAAGGGAGGAGTTTGAAATAACATCATATATATATATGTATATATATATTAGGAAGGGAGTGGGACACCGATCGTAGAGAACATGACCGTGACATTCCTGTCCTATTATAGACAATGAAGAATGGCATCATTTGTTTGCCTTTACTTTTGACCTATAAATTGGTTGCTATCATTAGAATTCAACGGGGCTCCATTTGCTGCTTAACCAACAAAGGAATATGCTTGAAAACTTTATAAACATGTGATTCATCACACCCAATACATACCTACTCCTAGTCCTAGCAAACAACTTCATGATATCATTAATATATATATATATTTTAAATTATTTTAACTTTGATAATTGAAATTAAAATTTTAACATTGTATCGATACGTCACTCAATGATTTCAGAATATCATCAATATTAGTAAATGGATTATAAGATAATTACTTGTGCTTATCTCCTCTAAATACTAATTTAAGTGTCGAATACAAATATCAGAATCATTTTTTATCTCTGTTGATATCTTTTTTCTTTGTAAATGTTTACTTTTAGATTCGATACAAATGGATTTTAATTTTTTATTTGAAATTATTAATATTTAAATCTTCATTATTGAAATGTAGCACTCTATTAATAAAGCTCAACTATTAGTGACAAAAATTTCAATTTTAATTTTCTTTATTAAACTAAATGTTATTATTATATGCCAACAACCAAATTTCGACCTACCGGTAGGAGGGATAAAGTTAAAGATTGAAATGTCTACCTTCTTTTCGGATTTTCTCTCATGAACAAAATCATTATGAAATTATCACAATCTAGTTCAGTAGTCACATTTAAACAAATATATACTATTAAACGCAACCAAAACAATTATTTGCCTTGCCTTGCCTGATCAATTACAAGAGCTTGAACTCTAATGAAACGCCATTGAAGTTTGAGTAAGATCAAAAGCTGGGAAGTTTTTACTTTTCGAACCTGAAAAAAAGAAACTAAGCTTACAGTGCAAGCGATGCTTCCACCTGTGTCTGTGAGCCTGTGAGGGTCAGAGAAAATTAGGGAAACTATTTTAAAAAAACACCCCTAGATTAATGAAAATGGAGGACAAAGGTAAATTTGTAACCATTTCCATGTTTTATATTTTGTCACCCTTAATTTCCCTCGTTCAAACTAGTATTATTGATGTAATTTTGGGTTTTGGTGAGAGAAATCGGTTGAAGGTTGAGATGAAAAACGTGTTAAACTTATCACAAAAAATATAATCAATGAGTATCGGAAGTGATATTATGAGACATGTTCTGACGTTCAAATCAATGGTGTATAAGAAGGGAAGAAACAAAAGTACAATTTTTATTTAAAAGCTTGTCAATATGCTAGCGTTTGGCTTAAACTTGTACGTTAGAGGACAAGCATACACGTCTAAGGCTTCGGCTACACCAAGAAGTTGAAATCTTAGAGAGTACTGTTAAAATCAGACTATACATGTTCATTTCCCAAAAATAAGGGTCTTTAAACACACACAATTTCAAGGCATCAAGACTATCAAGGAGTATCTCACCGTCTAGGAAGCTTCCAAACAACAAAAAAACATATCAAAGAGGTGCAGTTCTTACCCTTTTGAAATGCCACACCAAGAGCTAACAGACAGTTTTGAGTGGTTGAGTTCAGCTTATTGGAGTATGTGGTTAAGCTCAGTAACAAGTAGAAACCCTTCTGTTTTGACATAGATTTCCTGACTCCATTTTTATCTTAATGCTAGGTTTTAAAACCTCTAAGGTCATCATTACGAAAGGCTCTGGAAAAATTTCAAATCAAAAGCAAACACCCCATTTGATTTCCTGAAGCTTGACCAGTAGGGAGAGGGGTAGCAGCATTTGCCATGCCATGTGGATTCTGACCTTTTGTAAACATTGCAGATTTTCATGTGCGGTTGTCTTTTACATTTGGCCTTAACGAGCAGCTTACTGCAACATTTTTAACCTCATTATTGACTTCGACTGTCAAGAAAACAAATCCTATAGAGTATGTAGATCCTCCATTACAAGATGTAAGCCAAGTTTGTGAGATACTAAAATTAGCTTTTTTCCTCATCAAGATAACAAAAAAAATATTTTGTATTGAATGAAGGATTCAAAAAGAACTAACCCCTTTAAAGACATAATAATATAATTATAAAATCTCTCAAAATGTTAAAAATATATGTTATTCCTTTTGTGTATACATTTTTAGAATAGAAAGATAGATGTATATTTCTAGAGGTGATCAAGTGTATATTTTCAGAAAGGAGAAAAAATATGGGATTTTTTTTTGGAACTTGTTCTTTTCTCCTGTTCATGTAAAATCAGCTATTTTTCCGGTTCATTTTCCCAATTAATTAGCAAGCTTGGATATGTAAATCATGTGAAAGTATCATGCTGCATTTATATCTATATATATATATATATATGTCAAAAACTATTAAAAGAAGTATTCATGATTAAGGGGATGCATCATGCATGTACGAATCACTCTAATTTTAAGTACAATCCTTTTTTAACTGTTTCTGAAAGCAATAGCATTTCATTTCTCTCATTTGCATTACCCTTTCATCGTCACCACTTTTATCTTTATCTAAGCTTTTCTTTGTGGTCTGTGGAACAAAGAGATAAAAAAAAAAAAAAACACTGTGCCAGCACCATTATTCCTGAAAGCACCAAAAAAAAAAAAATCCTCCAAAATTTTTTTTGCTCGGATATTGTCAGAAATGTCATGGACACCACCCCACTCACCTCACCAGCCTGTGCCGGACTGAGCCCAATTGAGAAGAGCGAAACGTCAGCGCAGACAGCCTGCCATGATGCACACAATGATTGGCCAATGAGGTTTAGTTTTCGAGTGTTGGAGAAATTTGGAACCCATGTCCAGCACAGCCAAGAACACGGCCATCTCAATTGAGTCTAGCAACAAAGAAGACCATCTCCCAAACCTGTACAAATAAAGAGCTGAAATCAAAACAAAAGCAGCCTTGGCTAGGCTACTCCGATAATCACATTAACACCGAAAAGCTGTCTCTTATTTTGAATATAACAACGTCATTGCCAGAAGCTTGCACAAAAAAGTTAATCCCAATGGCTGCAACATGTATATAGAATGGCTTATTGATCAGTAAACATGTATTTCATGTTTCTGTTGGAGTAAACATGTATATTGAAGTTTCTTTTAACATGTATACTACGTACTTCCTCTCCATTACTATTATTTTTGAGTATATAGTATATATGCATTTATTGAGTAAACATGTATTTCATGTTTAAATTAGACTCAGTCCATCAACACATCCAACATGCTAAAAGATATACATGCAGTTAAGGAAAGACATGACAACTTAATCTCATCATATATATATATATATATATATATATATATATATATCAAATATGTACCATACAATCTCCATGTATTTCAACAAAGAGAAGTACCAAGGAATTTGGGGGACAACCTTTGATTTTCTCCATATGTACTAGAAATTAGGAAAAGAAAATGCAACTCTTTACAACTGTGCATCTATGTGCACACTCCAGTCCCGAAAAGCTTAATCAAATTGTGACATTTTACTTGTATCATCTCACTGACTTTTGCCTCAGAAATCAAGCCATGTCTTCATCTGATGATCTACAATCTTCAAGGTTTTCCTTATTTATAGCTCCACCAAAACTACTACGTACCCAAAACATGGAAGAGAGATGTTTGCAGATCATTTTTCAATTAGTGGGCAAAACAAAAGAACTTGGAATTGTATTTTCCATCCGGAGGGTTATCATCAAAAAGAATCTCAATCTCTTCTAAGCTCTTGCCTCTGGTTTCAGGCAAAAAGAAGTAAAAGAAAACTGTACCAACCGCCATGATTCCTGCAAGTGCAAAAAACATTCCCCCGAAGGTAATCTTGTCTGAAATGCTTAGAAATGTCATGGACACAATCCCACTAACCAGCCTGTTGATAGATATTGCCAGGCTTGAACCTTGGGCTCGGAACCTCATTGGAAATATCTCTGAAGAATAGACCCATGTGATAGGTCCAAGCCCAATTGAAAAGAAGGAGACATCGGCGCACACAGCCACTATACACAAGGCAATGGCCCACACTGGTTTGTCATAGGATATTTGAAGGTATTTGGAGCCCAGCCCCAACCCAACCAATGAAACAGCCATCCCTGTTGAGCCCAACAATAAAAGTGGCCGCCTCCCAAAATGGTCCAAGAAAAGAGCCGATATGAAAACGAAGCATGTTTTGGCAATTCCCATGATGATTGTAACACCGACTTGCTGTTTCCTATCGTGAATTCCAGCGTCCTTGAAAACTTCAGGGCTGTAATATATGACAGCATCGTTTCCAGAAGCTTGCATAAAGAAGTTAACACCAATTGCAGCGATTAGGATTCGTCGAATAGGCCTAGATGGCCTTAATAACTCCTTCCAAACCCCTTGGCCATGCCAGCCACTTGAAGATGGTTCTTGTTCCATAGTTTCAGCAGCCTTTGCCATTTCAGCGAGTCTCATATCAGCTTCCTCTTCAGAATCTGATATTTTAATTAAAACTTGCTTCGCTTCCACCAATCGGCCTTTCATTACAAGCCAACGAGGGGACTCTGGCATCACTATGACCGCTAGTGCAACAAAAAGTGCTGGCAATGCTGCTAGTCCTAGCATTAATCTCCAATTTATGTACTCAGGAAGGCTTGACAATGCATAGTTGGAGATATAACCAAGTAGAATTCCAATATTAATGAAGACTTCAGGAAGTGAAGAGAGAAAGCCCCGAGTAATGGCCGGAGAGATCTCTGCAGTGTAGACTGGACCTATCATAAGAGAGTAGCCAACACCAATTCCAGCTACTACTCTTCCAGCCATGAGGAAAGGGAAAGATGGAGCTAGTCCCATTAAAATTGCTCCTATCAAAAACGTGGCTGCTGCCAAGACTATCGTATAACGCCTGCCTATACTGTCAGAAGTTTTACCTGAGGCAAGTGAACCGATTAGAGAACATACATTCAAGCTGCCCACCATGATCTCCAGTTGGGATGAAGTGATCTTGAGATGATCCCTGATATATAAAACCGCTCCACTCATCACCCCAATATCTGCGAGCAACAAAATTTGCCCAAAAATTAACCATAAAGTCGGCTAGATTAATGCTCGGATTTTATCTTGATTTTCTTGTGTGTGGAGATTAAAATTTAGAAGTAAGACCTGATTCATATAGTTTAAATTTCAATTGACCTAATTTAATACAGCTCACCATAGCCAAGTAGAACCGAATTTGTGGAGGCAAGAATACCAGCAGCAAGAACATATTTGTTGATACGACTCCTCCTATGACCAGCGCCCTCTTTTTGATCTGACTTGTGCTTTGGTGTGTCAGATTTAATGACCTCCTTCCGCCACTTTCTTTCACTTGTCTCATTTTGCAGTTGAGAATCAGGAAGCAGATGGTAGCAATGCTGTTTGCCCAATTCCTGAGAAGAACTGAATTGCATGACTGGAAAATCAACTGCCAAAAGTTGAAACGTAAACTTGGAAAATTTAAGACATGTGCTTTACTGCTTTATCCCCAAACCCCGATTTATCCTGATTAGTAACAGTTTCATCACACCAGCACATGGTTTATATTTGAGTAGAACTCTAGAAGGGTAGAGAGTGCTTTCCATTGAAGCCACTTTTGACTTTTCTCACAGTGGCTTGAGCCAGGCACGCGACTCCTGCTGTTCTTTTGGCCAAAAAGGGGTACATGTGATTAATGAACTATCCAACAAGAAATTATGGAACGACCCCAGACTTAGTTGTCTGCCAGTTTTAGCCTCTTTACTTTAATAAAACAAAGTCATCACTACCATCATGAAAACGATGTTGCTCTTTTTCTGAGCTGGATTTGAAGATTTCAGGACTAGGTGGGTAATAATAATATCTAATAGAGTACTACCAGACCAGAATATCGACATGCATCAGAACTGCGCATGCGATATTGCTAACTGCGGGGGGGGGGGGCAGCTTTTACTGTCTGATTTGAGCACCCTAAAGACCTTTCAAGCACAGCTCTCCTCCTAACCTCATGATATTAGACTTTATATATAGTTGTTAATCACTAGCAAAATCCATTAATTACTGGAATTGTCTTGCTCGTTTTAAACGTGGTATGACTTAGGAAGGCAGAGATATGCCTCTGCTATTAGCATCTATTTGTGAACTTCAACATTTTCTTCATAGACCAGACAAAAAAAGCTGCAGCCATGCTTGCTTGCTTGCTTGCTTGCTTGCGGGCCTAAACCTCAGAAATTCTCATGTCTCCTTTTAATGTACCAAAGGAGTAACTTAAAAATTTTTATTTTGTGTTCAGTGGAGGGTCTAAGACCCAACAGAAAAGACGAGACATCGCGTGGGTGTGATACACCTATTGTGTCAGCTAATAAAAAGCGAAACAGACATGAGGGGGAGGCTTGAAGAAAGCAAAATCCTCTGTTTTGTGAACAACTCCACTTTGCAATCTTGCATTACCCATATATCTTTGTTTAGGAATGTGTTTTATTGGAGAAACATAAACAATTGCATATCCTCATTTCCTAAGAGAGTGAGTAGCAACAAATTGACACCATAGCAATGTGAGCTAAGATCTCAGAAGGAATATCTTTTCTAATATATTTCAGGAGTAAGGCCCAATAGAACCCCTTTCATTGTCAATTGAAAACAGGAAACAGGAAACATGAAACATAATCGACGATGAGGATAGTTGTTATTTTGTTAACTTTCATTTATCAAAATATGAGGCATAGATAAATAATTTGATCTTGAATCATAATCAAAATAGTACCTTCAATTTATAACCCAAATTTGAGTTTTTCTATCTAGAAAAGTAGGAACTAACTTTGACAAACTTTATTCATTTACTGACAGGTGAATATCATTATATCTGTATTCTAAGCAAAAACAAAATGAACATCGTGGTCCAACAACAAAAGGGAAATCGAGATTCTTGTGGACTTTTTTTTTTTCTTCTTGGGATTCTTTCGTAATTACCCACCAAAACTCTACAAAGTGCTAAAAAGGAAAAGCATTTATTTACCAATTGATGCTCCTCAAATGTTGTCAAGAACAAGGCAGATAAGAAAAAAAAAAGGTCAAAAAGGACTCAGAGACCGGCTAAAACATTAAGGTAATCAGAAGCAGGGTTGAGAAGATGAGAAATCATACCATGAAAGAATTAGATGGACTGCATAAAAATGCAATCCTCCTCATGGGGTTTTCAGATTCGAATTTTGCTAGCCAAAAAACCCCCTCAATCCTCTTTTGTGAGAAAAATCAATCAAGCACTCCGAGAGAAACAATGCAAGAAGGTGATCCGAGAAGCCTACTCGATTCCGATAAAAGATGATGGTCAAGGAATAGAGGGACTGGTAAGATGGAAGAGAGCTGCCATGATAAGGCATATACTGTTTTTGTTCCTGAAACTTAGCTCCCTGTTACTTGGACAAAAGTATAAGTACTATGGAAGAGGAAAAAGCTTTTGGGATTTTTAAAGTTTCATAAAGACAGCTCATGGTGCTGTGAAATGCCACTGAAGTTACGAGAAAGACATAAAAAATGGATGTTGGTTTCTTAAATTTTGCTTTATAGTCAGAAAAATGGCATTCTAGAGGCCATTAAAGTTAAAGGATCATTCCAGACATCGAGTAATTTGCAACAGTAACAGCTTTATTCATGTAAAAGTTGCTAGTTATGGGGAAAATGAATTGATATGGCTTGGAACTAGAATTAGAAAACTTGGTTGGCGTTCAACCTGACGTGTTCAATTCTATATATACAAGCTGCTAAAAAAGGAAAGATGAACTACTTTGAGTAGCCAGCAAAAAAGTAGAACAGTTTTTTATATATGAAATTTGATTCACAAAGCTTTTAAAGAGGAGACCTTCCCCGAATTTGTTGGCAAAATGTCAAGGAAACAAGGAGCTTTTTTTGTGGTTTGTGAAAAGAACAACATAAATAAAGGAAGCTTCCGTCATTAATCCATCTTAGACGATAAGGGAAGAGATGCAGCAAAACAGAAGCTGAGTTGACATAGTGAGAATCAATGCTCTTCCATAGTTATTCAACTCTTGAAATTTTTGCTGGCGGCCAAACAATAATAATAGTGTAAAAATCTCATCCTTGCTTGTCTTCTGTTTAAATACATGGAAACAGATGTACAGAATTATGTATGTTATAGGAAAAAATTGGTGCACGCATCTTGAGTTTTTTGATAGGCTAATCATCATTTTCTAGTTCAGAGCTAAACCTGAACAAGGTTTTTGTTAGGCTTTACAAATCCAAATTTTAATCCCAAAAACGAAAAAAGAAAGATGAAAACAAGCAAGTATCCAACATTCGTAACAAAGAGGAGATGCCCTTAAGTGGAGGGCACCTATTAATCAAATAGTTTATTCTTCCACTACGAATGGATTCAATAAAATCACTATCAGTCAAGTTGCTATTTTTACAATTTTTTTTCTAAAATCAGCTGTATCCGTAAAATAAGTGTCCATATTTACACAGGCACAAACAGATACCCGTGTTGAATGTTAGATCGAAAAAATTTATACAATGAAGACTCACGTCTAGGAGTGTAATCAAATAAAATTTTTGATAAATCGTGACATGTTAAGTTTTTGTCTGTTTATATTCATTTATTAAGTTTAATAAATGATTTTAAATAATATTATAATATTTATTTATTAAACAAATTAAAATGAATAAAAATTTATTTGATTCGTTTATATTTATAAACAAATTCATTTAAAATTTATTCATTTATTAAACAAACTAAAACGAATAAAAATTCATTTGATTCGTTTATATTTATAAATAAATTCATTTAAAACTCATTCATTTATTGTTCATCTATTATTTATTTAAAATAATATTAATAAAATTATATTTTTATTTTTTACCTTAATTTTATTTTAAAATTCATTTATATATATATTTATATTCATTTGAAATTTATTTGTTTAAATTTGTTTAATTATTCTTGGTTTATTATGCATAAATATATTTATTTATAAATGTTGTGAATATGTTCGTTTAATATTTATGAATTAGCTTATTTAACTTAATTAAATGAGTATGAACCCAATAAAAATAACCTTAAATCAACGACCATGAATGAACAAAACAATTTTTTTAATGAACATGAACACCTTTAAAAATAAATAAAGAAATCATAGATTTATGTTTGTTCATTCATATTCATTTCATTTACAGCTATAATCACATCACCTATGCATTATCTACTTATTGAACAACTTTTGAAGCTATTTTTGAGATCCAGTTAACTGCAGTTCCACCAAAGAGTACACAGAACCAGAGATCCAATGCGAGGACTGAAGAAAAGATAAGCAATGCCAATGTTTGGGATCGATTCAATGACCAGCCAGAAACTTCAGCCATTGTCTTCAAAAATGGAAAGGAACTGCTCGGGAAATCTCGTAGTGTAATGGACCAAGCTGTTATCCACCGTACACGGGAAGGAACCAGGTCAACTTCCTCTCTTAAGCGCCTCCCCATGTCCGGCATGTGGCCACCCCCATACAGTATAGCTATCTTATTATGACCATCATCAATTGCTCTTCTGAGTGCTTCTATGGCAGCTCGGTTCCTCTCACCAATGACAACAGATTTCCCTTCCGGAAAAGCTGTCACTTGTGTGAACCTTCACAAATTATATTTTCGCATCATTCTCTTATTAACAATGCTTGTCATATAATATATATGAACTTATGTTCAAATGCAAAAACTACCCTCTGCCCCCTTTTCCGGCCCAAATACGAAATACCATAGCTACTACCATCTAAAACATACAAAATACTGCAAAATTAAGATTTTGAGTTTCCTTGTAAATAAAGTATCATGACATTTTCAAGCATTTCTAAAACCCATATAATATAGATGTATAAATATTTTGCCAAAACTTACTCAGAAGTTAATACTTTTGCCAGGAAAACCTTCATAGCAGCACCAAAGTCAAGCATTGATAAAGCTTCAACTTCTAGATAATCAGAAGCCTGGCTTTCCACATCCGCACAAACACCAACAATATTCAGAAGACCCACAAGAGGCATAGTTAGCACACGTGAAGCCCAAAGAAGCTTCGATCTCCAAGAATCAAGGTCCTCAGGGATTGAAGCAGGCTGTATTAAAGCTTTTGTTGATTTAAGGGCCCCATCCATAGCAATTGTGAAGAAACTTTCACCTTTTTCAAACTGGATAAAACATGATTCAGAACATTAGATGTAGAAGCACGATGTTATTGTTGAATATAAAGTTGACATCAAACTTCACATCATAAAAGCATCCGACCTGAAGTAACTTAAAGGTCTCGTAGTCAAGATCTGCATGGTACCAATTATCATCCTGGTAATCAAGACAATCTGATTGGAAATCAAGCATAAGTATTCGAGCCATCTGCTGCTGCATGGATCTTAGAATATTGAAACCCCGTGAACGTGAACTTTTGAGCCTTTTTGCTGCTGTAGGGTTCCTTCTATTTTCCAAACTCTCCCTGCTGACCACCATCTCATACAGAACACAATCATATTGTGCAAGTTCCTTTTGAAGGGTTTCAAAGTACCTAAAGCTAAGATTAGTCATTCGACCAATTTAATTGAAAAAAGGTTGTTACGTGCAACTGGATCTTTTATCCACAGAAAGGTTTCAGAAGAAATATTAAGGAAAAAAAAAAAAAAACTCTAACTTTAACATATTTTCATCGTTCTTTATGCAGGCAGGCCAAACCAAAACCCAGATTTTCATCAGCAGGCTTGATTAATCAATATAATCATTCTTCCCATGCCTTTCTGTAGAGCATATTCTTAAAGCAAGATACAAGTAGGTTTAGAGTCCTACCTGTATACAAAAACTTTTTAACATCACGTTTACTAATTATCATCCACTTTTAACTAAAACCTTTTGCTTATTCACTGCTCAAGTGCATTCATACAGGGCTACAGACTTCCCAGTCCAAATGACGCTCCGCTTCATTCATTTTGATTTTTTTTTTTAAATAGAACTTCATTCAGCTTCATTCCATTAACTTATAATTTATCAGCAATATCCATTTACATTTCAGATTTTCCTTTAAAAATAATGCATTCAAGTTGAATTATCTTCAAATTAAGATATTACACTCTTTTGGGATAAAATAAAATAAAATCAGATAAAAATTGAAACCAGATAACTAAGCATAACCCTCCCTCCATAACACATAATCATGACAGAAACAAAACATAAAATTACCAGTAATCTCATAAAGGTTGTAAGTCTGAATTAGCAAAACATACTCTTTATCCGCGATATGAATCGTTGAGACCAAATCAACCTGAACCATCAAGAAAAACAAGAAAATCCCGGAATTAGAATTCATAAAACTGATTCTTCATTACATTAGTCAGAATTAGAATCGGAGCTTGAGCGGTAGTATCAGTACCTGAACAAAAGGGTTAAGAATAGACGAGGGAAGCCTCTTACGATAACTGACAACAGCAGTCTGCAACTCGCACCTGTTCCTGTGATTCCCTCTCTTTAATCTCAAGAAATCCGCTACAGAGTTGTTGCTAAAAAACTGCTCCACCGACCCATCTTCAACGGTCTCGTTCGAGGAACAACGCAAAAGCTTCAACGGCGGGTATTTGAGAGGTTTTGAGAATATAGGATTGGGTTTGCACAGCTTAAATGATATAGGCCGAAGAAAAGTAGACGTGGGAGATGAATCAGGATTAGAACTTGAAGGAAATGAAGATGCGGATAAGACAAGTGGGAGAGAGCTGGAAACCATAGTTGCGAGAGAGGGAATGAAGAGGAGGGGGATTAGGCTTTTATTTATTTATTTTTAATCCATTGAAAAAGAATAACCTAGTTAAAAGTTTTTTAATATATATATATATTTCCACGTTAAGGCAAAGTCCTAGTATCTTGGAAGAAAGTGAAACGAGTTGGCAAGGATGTTAAAAAGAAGAAACACTATTGACCAAGTTGACCATTCAAAACCATACAACTCATGAGAAAACTACAGCGTCCACAAGATTTTGTTTTTGCTTAGTTTTTAATAAATAAAAAAATTCACTTATATCAATTTCATATCTTTTTATCTTCACATTAAAAATTTCATCATTTTTAAAATTTTATGTGATATATATATATATATGTGTGTGTAAATTTTAGACTAATGTGTTAATAAATCTTTTTTTTTTTTTTAGAATGTAAAAAGATAGAATAAAAAATATATAAAATATTAGTTTTGTAAAAGATAAAATATCTCAAAAAATCTAAATATTAATTATACATAGAATGTAAAAAGATATAAAATATATTAGTTTTACATGTAACTAAATCCATCCTCATAAAAAACTTTTACTATATCTATCTTAAATTCAGTAATTACAGCAAGGAAATTACAAGTACACACCAAAAATGAAATAATTCAAATACATGAATTACTGATTATTTAGGATCAACAGAAAATTTCTTTAAAACAATCTAAGCTTATGCTGGAAATGAGATTTATTGCTTCCCTGCAAAACAAATGAATATGTGACTGCCCTTTAGGGGAAGAATAGATAGGTATGAGTTAATCAATTGTTATGACAAAGGAATGAAGTAGTAAGCAAATGAAAGTTCCAAGAGAATAAGGTCCAAAATATATAGCCCACTCACCAGCTTCTGGGTTTTCAGCAGCACTTGCAACTAACCAATAAAGATACTTTAAAGAATATAATGAATGAAACCTTCTAGTTTGAATCAATGAGATCCCATCAAGTTCACCAGAGAATGATTAAAGATATACATTATATTCATGCTTCTCAGCTTTCATTGTGTTAAGAGCCTAATGCCTGCTTCAAGATCTTCTAAGGTTATGGTGCTCAGTTCATCTGCGTCTATACAGTCAAAATTGAGCCTAAGATCAAGGTTCTCCCTAGCATTAACTAGTATTGGATCAACTAAACCGCCATTCATCTCCTTACGCTGCTTTTCTGTTGTTTCTCTCTCTATTAGTCTTGCTATTGCTTCTAAACTGCAAGAATTATGCAACTTAAATCCATATAACAAACTCTCCTCTGTTTGATTATTCATCTTGATATTGAGGATCTTGGCTAGTTCTTCTGAGTTGAAGTCACTAAAATGAAAAAAATTTTGTCACTCTTCTGCAGAACCCTTCATTAGAAGCAATTACACGCTTCATTGGTTCGCTATACCCTGCAAATATGACCACAATTTTTCCGCTGTCCATTACTGACATGATCTCTTCTAAGGCCTCTAATCCATAGTCCTTATCATCTGCTTTTTGCATGGGTATTAACCGATATGCTTCATCAACAAAAAGAATTCCTCCCTCTGCTTCTTGGATCTGCACAAGATCAGTCATAAATCAGTTTATTTGAGAAAGCATAATAACCTTGATCAAGAAAAAGCACAAGGAAACACCTTTCTCCTTGTCTTTGGCCCAGTATGTCCAACAAATTCACCAACCAAATCTGTCCGTTGCACTTCTGTTACCTTGTCAGTGGGTAGAATTCCCACCATATGAAGTAATTTCCCAAGAATCCGAGCTACCATGGTCTTACCTGTAGAACATATAATCATCTTGTCATTCATACTAACCAAACATCCTAAAAAGTGTAAACCAACATGCTTTCTAGAGTATCATCAAAAGACAGTAATCCATTTCAAGACATACAACCCAATAGCATTTACCAGTTCCAGGATTGCCGAGGAACGCCATATGAGGAGGTCTTCTAGTGCCAACTTTCAGCCCAAGCGTTCTGCGTCTTTCATCCAAAAGCATCCCTTTTGCCCATTTCCGAAGTTGTACTTTGAGATCATGCAAGCCCACGACATTGAACAATTCCTTTTCAAGTTCGTCCATCTTAGCCTTTGTTTCACAGCATGCTTCAAGAGCTCTTCTCTTTCGCTGCTCTTCAAGGTGAAATTGCAATAGTTCACTTAACTTCTTACTTCCGGGGCCCTTTGAAAGATGTTTTATAGGAGTCATACCCTCCTGCAACACAAAAGGTAAACTAACTATCATGAGTTGGTATAAGAAAAAAATCAAGCAGAACGGAATAAACAAGTATATTACATTGTCCTCAGCACTGCAATTAGCATTGTACTCAAGCAGAGTCTTGACAGTTGCATAGTCATCAGATCGAATCGAGTACCAAACAGCAAGGTGTAATGGTGTCATTCCATTCTGCATAAATAACATGGAAGAAGAAACTTTCAATAGAAGCAAAACTATCCATCCAGTTCAAATCACATACAACAATAAAAAGGAAATAAAGAGCCAAGAAACAGCACATTAGCTTTGGCTTCAATGAAAGCACCATGAGCAAGAAGCAACCGTGCAGCTTCATTACATCCATTCTTGGCTGCCATATGCAATGGAGTTTCTCCATACTGCAAAAGTCAACACATAGAACTCAGAGGAAGATACCAAAGGTCCAAACCAAGGAGCGTACTAGATTTTCAAAGGAAAATTTTAAGCAGTTAAAAAATCAAACATATTGAACAAATAGTGAAGAATAAATAAAATGTTTACCTACCATATTCTTGGCCTCCAGCTCAGCTTTTTCTGGTCCTTGCCAATCAAGCAAAAATTTAATTATCTCAGCCCTATCATGTCCAGCAGAAAGATGTAACGGTGTCTGTGCCATCTGCATTTGTAACTAAATGAAATCAAAAGACCTAAGACTAAGATGAAATAGATTCCATATATATTGCACACAGACATAGAAAAATATCAGTAGTAGGCATTGAATTCGATCTCTCTAATTCTTAGAAGAATAGTAGCAATAATCACATAAGAAGCAGCGCTTAATGTTCACTGTTAGAAGCTCAAAATCAACAATGAAGCGGTTATCATATGCCATGAGTATGTGACGTACGACCAAGAAACAATTAAAAAAAGAATAAAATAAAATTGGTAACAAGCTATTATAATAAAATAGGGCAACAATAGTTTTGCAGCTGCTGCTTTGAACAGGCAAAAGGTTTAGTTATAAGCAAATAAAGCAGAACAATATTAAGTCAAACAGAAGACGTAGGATAGCTTCATTCAGCTTCTGAAATCGCCTTATATGCCGTATATGGCTTTCGTCATATTTATGGTCAACATCTTATAACTGCCCTTTACCACCATACTTTTCACAGTAAACTTAGAATATATGTTGAATTTTGCATCAATGAATGATTAAAAAAGTTACGCTTGCCCCATGGAACAGCGTCGTTAACCCATTTTTGTACTCCATCTATCATGCTGTATAACTATTGATCTGTGGCTGTGCCACCCTCAACCTCCCATGTGCAATAGACTATCTTGCTAACACGAAAAAACTCTGGATCACTTTTCATTAAGATGGCAGCGGATCTTAAAACATCAAACTTTAACCAAAACTAAGGCTAAAAAATCAGGCGAAACATTCCAGGTTCATATGCGTCATTTACAAACTACTAAAAGCGGGGGAAAAAAAAAAGAAAAACAAAAGGGTAAAAGAAGGAGTCTTACAACAGGGTTTCTCTCCGTTGAGAAGAAAAGGGTTGTCCTTGAGCAGCTTCTGGAGACCACCAAAATCCCCTGATTGAGCAAACCCATGAATGGTGGTGGGCTTGGCAGATCTCAAAGACTGATCCTGACGCCTCTTCATCCTTTAGAAAACTATATATCAACTTTGTTATTTCCTTCTTTGTTGTCTCTGTGTGGAAGAAAACAGAGAAAAAGAAAGAAAGAAATGGAGAGGAAAATGAGATGATTTTCTGTTGGGGGAGGAAGGAGTCATTGGGAGGTCAATACGAGTAGCAATTCCCCTCCACGTCCGACGCTCGTGTCTGAATCTGACACTTGTTTTCTTTTAGCTCTCCCCTTTTCCTTTATGTTTTCTTATTTCTACTTTGGCTTCCCTATGTTCATCGGCCACCTGTTTCTAAGCTGTTAATAACTATTCCAAAATTCCTTTATAATAATAAATCAATAATAATACACTTTTCCCTAATTTAGATTCCCAAAAAAAAAAAAAGATGATGTCTCTATTTCAGGCATGTTTTAAATGTGTTCTGTTTACATTATAATCTAATTACTACTATTTGTATCAAATACTAATACAAATATATAAGCACTTTGAATTTTTTTTTTAAATATATTTATACAAGAGCAATATTTATTAAATCCTTTTGTTCCATGAATCTAAATCTAGATGAAGTTTTTTTTTTTTTGGTTGAATATCCAATTCAAGATCAGCATAATCAATTAAATTGATAAAAATAAAATCCTTTATTTACATAGTTTTGCTTTTTACAATTTATTTTGATGAATAATACGTAAATTTAACATAAATTCTCATTAAATTTTAAAATATGTTATAATCTTAAAATAAAATAGTTTTCTTTCATCTAAATTTTTTATTCAAAATAAGCAAAATATTTGATATATTGATAATCCACTTTTGGACTCGTCAAGCATTGATATCAAATAAATTTTACATGAAGTTTCATAGATGAAATTCATATTTTTTTTATTATAAATGAGTAAATAAGATTTTTAATAAAAAAGAAATCAACATATTAATAGAATTTAATATAAAAATTAATAATATGTAAAAAAATTATTAAAAATATCATTTATAATTTAAATTTAATCGATATTTATTCAATAATAAAAATTTTATTAACATTTTTACAAAAAATATCTATTTAATAAATATATCAAAAAATTTTCAAATTTCACATGTTTGATTTATGTAATTTTGTATACTTGATCTATATTATAAAATTTTTTAATTTATAAATTTTATTTTTTTTATTTATTCATTTTTAATAAATATTTTCACGAATTTCATATTTGTTACTTCATGTAAATATTTTCCTTGATAACTTCTGAATTTCTTTTTTCTTGCGAAAAGAAAATTAGGCATCAAGAATTGTGAATGTATTTTCTATCGCGTGATAAAAAAGAAAATCATATCCAATCCTATCATATTCCTCTATAAACCCAAAAATTATTAGCAGTGATTTAATGCAAATGCACGCATGTTTTACAACTACAATCTAAAATTGACAAGGGTGACTCAATAAAATTTTCAAAGGGGTATAAGCAACAAAGGCTATCCACCTCATCTTTAATCATTCCCATGTTAGTCATGTAAACAATTGCTCCAATCGTTGTGTGTCTTTGGTTGCTTTCCTTTCCTTGCCAATAATAATACAATGGTCACGAATATTTTTGGTTAAAAGGTATAAAAGGTCATTGAATTATAATTAAAAATTATTTAAGATTTATTTATTTTATTATAATCAATCAATCAATCAATCATTTTAATATTTATTTTTATTTAATTAAATTTTTATTTGGATTAAAAGTTAAAAATGAATAATTTCTTTTATCAATTAAAATAAAATTTTATATGATGTTAATAAAATAAACAAAAAATTATCATATGATGCAATTAATATATGTAAAAATTAAATAAAATAAAATTATTATTTTTCTTTTTATTTTATTTTTACGTTTAATATCACTTTAAGAATTTAATTGACTGTTGTAGTTTGGGATTGATTTATTTATTTTTTTCATTTAATTAAATTTTGTTTAATTAAAGATTCAATTGATTGACAATTAAGTCGAAATATAAGATTAATAACTTAATTGATTATAATAAGATATTAATGATTTGATTTTGTTTTAATTATAGTTGAATGGCATTTTGACCATTTAACTTTTTTTTTTATGAAAGAGAATGTAACATTGGGATAAAGAGAATTATATGTATTTAAATTTCAATACTATATATATTGAATATTATTTCTTTAAATCATTAAATAAATCAATTAAATTAAATCTTGAAAATTTTAAATAAATATTTTATTAAGTGATTGGGAAAAAATCTGTTGAATTATTAAATGAAAAAAAAAGGTTTAATAGTTACCTTTGGAAGCAAGCATATACTTAAGTAATGTTCTTCTAAGGTCAAAGTATTTGCAATTAATTGAAAATTTCATTTTGTATATGAAAGGTGAGAGCCCCATGAACAATAAAACAATTAGCAATTCTTAATATTTCATTGGCATTTAGTGAGAAGTAATGGATATCAAAGTTATTAATGGGTGAAAATAGTTTTTAAATTTTAGATTAAGTTTTTCTATATAAATATGATTGAATTTGAATCTAATATCTATAAATATGTGATTTAAACTTTAACATTTGAAAATTTTGTAAATTTCATATTATAATTTCATTTTTTTTAAAAATTATCAAAGTTTATATATTTTTTAAAAAAATGCATAGTTATAATTTTTTATTTTTACATTATGATCTCATTTATTAAAAAAATTATCAAAATTTATGTATTTTCTAAAAAATACATAGTTATAATTTTCTCATTTTCATATTATGATCTCACTTATAAAAATAATAAAATTTTATGTATTTTCTCAAAAAAAAAAAACATATTTATGTATAGATAGATTGAGCCAAGCTTGAATTTAGTTTTCATACGATTAGGCATAGCTGAAACCAACCTGCCACTTAGCCCCCCCCCCCCCCCTAAAAAAAAGAAAAAATCCAGGCTCTTACATGTGTCCGTCTAAAACCATCTCTTACATGTGATTACATTCACAAAGTTAGGTTTCTAAGTTTGATTTTATTTAAATAAACTTTTATATTACATCTAAATAAAATTTTAAACTTTAATTTGCATTCAAATTTTAAATAAAATTTTAACTTTAATTTATATATAAATAAATTTTTAATCTTTAATTTATATTTAAATAAATTATTAACATAAATGAATTTTTTATTTAAAAATAAGAGTTTATTTAAATATAATAAAAAATAGAGATAAAGATGAAAGCCTTGGCCGCTTTTGCACATCTTCATTATTCATCGTTATCCCTGCAGAAACTAAGCTAAGTGAGTCGCAATCTCCAAACTCGCTGCCGGACCTGCCGGTCGCTAATGGTAACTATTTAGATTTACGTAAACAACCAACTGAGTCGCGTACCCAAAAGCCCAACTTCCTAAAGGCCGAAAACCCAAAAGCTTCGGGTTCTAGACATAAGCAAAAACAACAAGAGGATGCCGACCCAAAACGTTACGTGTCGCCCAAAAGTGCAGTAGATCAGGTTTCTTTAACTTGTGGTCATCACACTCCACCACGGAAGATCCGCTTCAAATCTATCTCAGATTTTTTAAAATTTTTTGTTTTTATTACGCATGTTATTGGTTATTACCTTATTTTATTGTATAAGTAAAAATTTGACAGGAAAAATAAATAAATTGGATAATTCCGAGAAAACTGGAAGGAAAAGATTTTTTTATTCTTTGCCAATAAAGTTGGAACGTGGAACTCAAGCGTTCAATTTTTTGTTCCAATCTCTTACAAAAATGGCGGCAGTGACAGAGCCTCACTTTTGTACTTTCCAGAGAGGCCAACAGTTTTGTTTCAAGGAGCAAAACTGGCTTAAACGGGGTTGTTGTGTACGATTGCCGGTTATAACCAGAAACCGTCATAGGGTGTACGTGCAAAAGTGTCGGTCGTTTAGGGGAGAAGATGGAGGGGAAGTGGAAGAGAAACAGATGGAAAGTGAGAGAAAGCAAGAGATTTTGATGGAAAATGAAGTGGAATTGGAAAAAGGAGATGGGTTTTGGAAATCTTTGAAATCTGCTGTTTTTGGGGTTAGTAAGTTCGGTTCTCAATCTCAAGATGAATATGAAAAAGCTGTGGCTAAAGTCGAGGGAGTTTTCTCTTCGGTGAGTTATATATAATTATAAATTGTGTTTTATTAATTGAATTTCTCTCTTTCTTGGTTCCCTTTTGGAATTTGTTCTATATAATTCAAGTTTCAATTATTTGTATTATGCTTTATAATTAGTTTGGTAAATGCGTGTTTACATCAATTCTCATGTTAGAAGTTGTATTAATGATTAAAAAGTTACTTCAAATTTTTTAATTTTGAAATATATTCTTTACTGGATTTTTATGTTTGGTTGATATGGCTATCAGCTTGTTGTAAATAAGCACCAGTACAACTTGGATTTAACCTATCAGTTTCTTTCATGAGCCAGATTGCTATGCAAATAGGAAGATATATTGTGACCATGATGAGCACTGGAGTGATACTCTTAATTGGTTTTCAGTTGTCAGGTTAGCCTATGTACATCATTGTACTTGTGGATATTTGAACTGATTTAGACGCCTTTCTTTAAAAGAACATCCCTCTCTGAAAAGTTCAATTTTGTAGGTGGAGACAGTCAGATGGATACATTGATTTGGTATAGCTGGGTTGGAGGCATTATCATTGGAACCATGATTGGAGCTAATATGGTTCTAGATGAACACTGTCGTGCTGGTCCAAGAAATGTTGTCATAACTGGAAGGTATAATATATTGTTTGGCCATGATATTTGATTTTCAGTTTCTTTGGTAAGCTTTACCATCGGTTTCACTTAAGACCTGAAATTGTATTTGGTTTGGTAGAAACAAAATTTTACACGAATATGTTGTTAAATGCTAAAGGATTGTTGATATAGAGAACTTAAGTTTTTCTGTTGTGGTTATGTGTTTTTGACTGGCGTGATATAGCACAAGGGGACTGGGAAAAGCACTTGCTCGAGAATTTCTTCTTTCTGGAGATCATGTGGTTGTTGCTTCTCGCAGGTGGAGTACCAAATCATAATTAACCCTAGTTTAAAATACTTTGTATACAATTTTTATCAATAAAGTTCTCACGACACCCTATCCTTATTGGATCTTGTGAAAATAGTCCTGAATCTGTTCATATGACTGTCAAAGAACTGGAGGAAAACCTCAAGGAAGGTATGACTGCAGGTGGCCCATCTAGTAAGAATCTGGGACAAGCAAAAGTGGTTGGCATAGCATGTGATGTTTGTGATGCCAATGATGTCAAAAAATTAGCCAACTTTGCCATCAATGAACTTGGTTCTGTTGACATTTGGGTGAGTTATATGGCCTGATTCTGTAGTTTATCCTATCTCTCTCTTGCATGCACATGCGAACACATTCATACAAGATGCATTGTGATGTCATGTTAGCATGCTGATGCTTTTGGGAAATGGTGTTAGGTCTAGCTTTGGAGCAAGTAGAATGATCTTATTTTAATTATGAATTATTCTGGACTCTTGACCTTAAGAAACATAAAAAACCATGCATAGTGATATTGTTAAACCGAAATCCTGGACCTTCAAGCAAAGAGCTCCACAGAATTGAGCATTTTCTATTCTGTTTTGGAGATTTCGGTGTATTTGAATATTATATCATTATAGATGCTGAGCTTATAATAATTTTGCATGATATGGACTATTGAAGATGACTACAGTGACTGTTGTTATCTACAAGATTAGTTCCTGTTTGTTGAGGTTGGGCAAGGAACATTTACTTGTGTGCAAAATATGATGCTCTCTGTGATTCTGATTTTTTCATTCGACAGATAAATAATGCTGGCACCAATAAAGGTTTTAGACCATTGCTACAGTTCAGCGATGAAGATATTAGACAGGTACTTTTGATTTGTTTGATATGTTACTTGAGCAATTCGACCTTTTTGTATTTCAATAATATAGATCCTCTCAAAAACTTGTAAGCTTTGCTAAAAGCGTAGGACTGTAGGAGCTAGGATATTGAATTACCAGTTCCCTTTGTATATGATTGTGTTGATGCTTCTGCCTGTAATTAGTGTGTGTAACACAACTAACCAATAGCCAATAGCCAACTAGTGATTGATTTTCTCTCACTGTAATTAATTGTTAACACAAATATTGAAGTCAGATGCGTGCTCTCAGGTATCTAGTGGCTGACTTAGTATGATGTATATGGTTAACAAGATGGCAATAGCTTGTCTCTGACCAGCTGATTATTTGGTAGATTGTCTCAACAAATCTTGTTGGTTCTATTCTCTGCACTCGGGAAGCCATGCGCATCATGAAAAACCAGCCAAAGGGGGTCCACATATTTAACATGGATGGTGCAGGTTCTGGGGGATCTAGCACTCCTTTGACTGCTGTGTAAGTTGTCATTATCTATCACTGTTGGAGTTAGTTCTTTTTGTAGCCATTAATATCTTGTATGGGTAAAATGTTGAAATTTTCTTTCAGCAGATCTCAAAATTTGTGATGTTCTGAAGTTTTAAATCGTTAATAATGATGATTACTCCCTTTTATCTTCTCATACTTCTAGATATGGGTCAACAAAGTGTGGTCTTAGACAGCTTCACACATCACTTCTGAAGGAGTGCAAACGTTCTAAAGTAGGAATCCATACAGCATCTCCAGGCATGGTTCTTACAGATCTGCTCTTAAGGTATGTTTGATATGTCCTGATTTTTCCGAGGTAGTCTCTTTATGCATCTGTTGGCTGGCTTAGCTCATCATTTTAAGAGGTTACAACTATTTATATACCTATTTTGAACATGCAATTTGACAATGTAAACTAGAGAGACATGCCGGTTCCAATTTTCATTTAGTGACTGGTCCCTCATTTTCATTTTCTTTTGCATGATACAAATATTTATTACTTGATAAATGTACTATTGTTGTTCAGTATTTGTTTTTCACTTTTACAGTGGCTCAACCATAAAGAATAAACAAATGTTCAATATCATCTGTGAGCTTCCTGAGACTGTTGCTAGAAGTCTAGTTCCACGAATGCGGGTTGTAAAGGGGACAGGGAAGGCTATCAACTACTTGACCCCACCTCGGATATTACTGGCTTTAGTCACTGCCTGGCTGCGACAAGGTCGCTGGTTTGATGAACAGGTGATCTTGATTCTCTGGGAAAAACATTTGTCACATAGTTGCAATCATTATAAGAAAATGGCATCCTGCATCTAATGAATCCTGTGGTTAGGGAATGTCTCCACTCAACTCCAAACTTTTTGTTCCTAATCCTTTTAATTAAATCCGCTCCGATGGATAGACTGAGAATTTAAACTTTAAAAATACTTCTTTACATCTAAAGCCAGACTCATTAATGATGTAAAAATTCCTTTTTTTTTTTAGTTAAATAAGGTCACCAAGCTCAGGATACTTCTCTAAGTTTTGTATGCTGCATGGTCTGTTGTTCTAACCCCGATGTCTGGTTTTAAAGCCTCTTTTTGCTTGAATTGGTTGTGTTTTGTTGAAATGTGGTATTGTCATTCTGGTACCTAAACCGTTGGGACATTGAACCCCTTCTTTTCCTATTACCATTTTTTTAATGCAAGAATTTGTACTTCCAGGGTAGGGCATTATACGCAGCAGAGGCAGATCGAATTCGAAACTGGGCTGAAAACCGTACTCGGTTCTCGTTTACAGATGCAATGGAAATGTACACGGAAAACACTTGGGTGTCTGTGTTCTCGCTTTCAGTTGTTTTTGCCTTCATTATCCTTTCTAGCACAGGCAACACATTCCCCGGCACCTGAGGCTTCAGAGCCATAATCTCAAAGCATCAAGACTACCTTATAGCATTGCTGTCAGTCAAGGAGCCAAGTATGATGCTGTGATTGTAGACGTGACATAAGATACGATTCTAAAGTCTAGACAGCCATTGAATAGTTGGTTTTTCACGTGCAACCTCTCAGGATTTACATATATCTAACAGTTGGATAATTCATTATTGGATCTCAGATCCCTTAGCCCATATCTGTTGCTTTGCCTTCCATCAGTTCTATGCATACGAGTACTGACTGGGACAAGCTTTATGGGTTCTGAACACAGTAGCAGACACAGACTTTGATTTTAATTGAAGCATTCTTTATTCCTATACTTGTAACTCTTATTCCTGTAATGACTGAATTGTAATGAAATCTAGATCCTTCCTTTATTCATACTAGCAAGTATGGGAACTCTTTCTGCAAAGCACTTTTTACTTGTTTCCCCACTGAAAAGGCATTTTACTGCCCCGCCTTGTCCTGATGCAAGGCGTCCGAGGGATATAGACTCATTGAGTCCCGTGCATTGCTTGTTTATTTTAGATTCTGCCGGGCCCCTTTGGGTGAGTGTTGTGCAGAAAACTCAACAGCAAAGACTATTCTAAACAAGTAGCATAACATTATAAAAGGCCCAGACCCATGCGATCAAAACTAGCCTGCTGGAATTTTTTTAATAATTAAGCTTACCTTTGAATTTGGATTATTGAAATTAAAAATAAAACTTAAATTATTGAAATTAAAAATATAATATTTTATCAACAAATCGCACCGTTATTAGTCATAATAGGTATCTTAATCTCAAGCCTGCTCTCTTCAAAACCAAAAGCAATGATCCCCAACCCCAATCAAATTTTCTTCATGATTCCTGGAAATGCCAACCCTGCTTGTCACTTCTAACTATTAGCTGTGAATTCCAAATACAACAATATTTACAAAATGCTTGAATTGCTTTTCCCACCAAATCAAAAGGGTTTTGATGTCTTTGGAAGCCATTTTCTCATGCCAAAGCCCACTTGATGATATTGAAAGGTAATGGCTGCAATTTGGAGCAATTCGGGTCCAAAATGATAGCCTTTGCAGAAAGAACAAAAGTCAGAAAAAAGATAAGAAATACACTTAGAATCAAGTGATTGCAACTTAATTTTGTTTTTTCAAAGGTTTGTTAAAAGGAACCAATTTAATGCTTTAATTCTTCATAGGAGGAGAATCTAAAACCTTAACAAACGTTTTATTTTTTTCATTTGTTTTATTTTTTATAGCTGGATTGAACTGAACAAATGGCTTTAGTCAAAGCAGCGAATGTCATGCCAATAATCATGAGAAGAAAATAATAATAGTATTGCCATGTGATGTGATTTATCATGGCATCTTTCTACCCTACCTAACTTTTCCCCTCCCTAGAAAAAGAGAACAAATACGATCTCTTTTTTTTTTTTTCAAAAAATAAATAAATAAAGTCAAAACATTATAAAAATTTTAGGATAAATCACTTTTCATGCATTGACCTTTTAAAATAATAACAATAATAGAAAAATGTGCTAAGTATATGTTTTCAACATAATAATAATAAAAAAAAAAAACCCAAGACTAGGAGAACATAACCTTAAAAAAGTTTCAGCACCGTTTGTCTCATTGTGCGTGCCCACCATTACTGGCTATAATGAAGGAACAAGCGACAAGGATAAAAGGTGAGTGATTTTTTTAAAGTTTGGTTATGTAATGCTAAATTCCAATGGCTTCAAGGAAACGTTTTACCATTTAGAATTTAAAATTTTAATTTGAATTATGAAGAGAATATGTTGAAATTTATGAAATATAAAAGATAAATTATTTTTAATTGTGTAATTTAAATTAAATGAATTTCATATTTGTTAAAATAAATTTTATATAACCAACAGTTGCCTGCCATATTGGTAAAATATTAAAATTTTAATTTTAATGATTAGAATTTAAATTCTAATAATTTTAAATATAAAAGTAAAATTCATATTAATCTTGATTTTATTCGTTTTCTTTTGTTTTTGAAGTTCACTGGATATCTGGGCTGGCACTTATAGCAGGCATTGTAGATTTTGATATTGTCAAGTCAAAAATGTCTCCAGTCCTAACAAGCCTGCTGGCAGCTTCACCTCATATGCAGGTTTGAACACATCTCTCCACCGCCCTCACCTACCATTTAGAATCAATTGCCTCCGGCTTACTTCTTCCTTGATCCTCCTAACGGAGATATTGCACAAACCAAATGTTTATTGCCAGTAAGAAATGTTTACGATTCGCCGATGAGATCTTAACTTAGCAGCGAGAAGAAGGTTTTAAAATGACAGTAATCATCAACATTCATCTCAATTTTTTCCGTAAAAGTTCAGCATTAAACTGGATGCCTTAGATTTGTTGGGAAATATTTGCTAATGCTGGAAGTCTGGAGCTGACACAATAAAATCCAAAACGACAATTCAGATTATGAAATCATCTGTCGCAATATTCTTCAATTATTATAATATTCCTAGTTGTAGCATTTTTTTAATATATCAGGAAACACCTCCTCATCTTCATGTTGCAATTAGCTGTTGGTTTCCAGCTGGTTTGCCTTTTACTTGGAATAACAGTTTTCACCTAATCCTTGACTTACACTACATTTATTCAAATAAAAAAATCCATTTTATAATCTCATTGTCTGTTCTCAGTTTAACCATTTTGTTCCCTGACAAAAGTCTTATTTCAGCTCTAGCTGTTGTTTCATGACATCACCTTGCAACTGAAAGCAATGAAACAATAAATTTTCAATCACATCATCATCATTTTTAGCAATTGTTAACATTTCAAACTTTCTCTCATGAATCCCATTCCGTAAAGCTACTCAAACCATTCATCAACACGCTCTTGGCTGCATGCATGGATTGATGCCAATTGGCTACTTTAGAATTGAGATCTAAAACGTTGCAGAGCAATGGCTAAGACAGGCTTAATCCTGGTCTCTTGGGAAAAATAATACGGCAGAGTTGGAAAGATGCTTGACAACGTAATTTCGGCATTCAGCCAGTGACGAAGATATGATTTCGGCTATGCCAAATTTGGTATCAGATTGCCAGTTTGGTTGGTGGAAACCCACGTGACGGTCACATTGAGCTAATCTTTTTTTTTTTGCGTTATCATGACTTCAGAAAAAGACATTGGAATTGGAAATTTTAGAGCTTTTGTGATAAAAAAATAAAAATAAAAATAAAAAAACACTTCGAATTTGAGGCCAGAGAGTTTTCATTTGCTAGACTTATTGAGTCGAAGCCTATTCTTGCCAACTCGGCTGGGATGATGGTGATTGGATAGACATCTAATCCCAAAAATCTGCCATGATTTGCGCTATCAGACGTCTATTATACGATAATTTATGGACACTTGTGATTACTTTTATATCTTGGTATTGGAAAATTTTATATTTGGAAAAGACTTGGGTTATTGAAGGGGGAATTATTATATTATTCACCGCTTACCTTTGTATATTTGCCCTCATAATCTTCCACTAATTTGATGATTAGATCTGGGAAAAAGCTCTAATGTTTATATTGACTATAAAGAGCTATAATTCAAGTTGGGGCAATGGAAAATGGTCCATCCTTTTATGAATTTAATTTGGCATTATTTTTGGATGTATCCCATTCATTTGTTTGGATTTCATTTCTCTGCAATTAGTAACTTAAATTGATCCAATCATAATCAGTAACAAGTTGTTTGACAGAAATAAAACGAAAAAAAAAAAAAAGCTAAAGAAATTGTATAAATGTGAATTTTAAAACCCGATAACCTGTTCGACTTCATCCAAATTAGACCTATTCAGGTCCATTTATTGCCAAGAGAACTTGAATTTTGATCCAACTGGATTTATGGTCAGCCATACTTGACCTGGATTGCATTTTGAATAAATATGAAATATAATTCAATTCATTCATGTATTTTTTTAAAATATAAAATTTAAATATCAATATTTATAATTTTAAAAATTTTTTTATTATGATTTTTTTCGTAAAAAAATTACAATTGCGGTAAAATACAAGCTTGTTCTATAATTATTATTGCTCAAAAGTAAAACGAGGGTAAATCCCAATTTGGCAGAAGCAGTAAAAGAGGCTCCTAATCAAAGCTGAAACAACGCAAAATCTTAATTAGAAACTTTAAAAAATACACTAATAAATAATTGATTCAATTAATTAAACTTTTAAAAAATTTTAAATTTAAATATTATTAAAAATTGTTTTTTAAAAATATTTTAAATGTACAATCTATTATCATTTATTTTAAAATAACGGTATGATATATTTTATTTTAATATAAAATTAAATAATTTATTTATTTCAAATTTTTTTATAAAAAAAAAACTCTAAATTTTTTTAATTAATTGTGTAATGCTTAATTACGTATGGAAAAAAAAAAAATCCAAAACGAGTACTGAAACCGCGGGCCGGTAGCAGAAAGGGACCCACCAAACAGCTCTTTGTCCTAAATTGGACAGCACAGCAAAAAATACCAAGCATTTTAGTGCCAACAACAACAGCAGACGACAATTAACTCCCCCCCCCCCCCCCCCCCCCCCCCTTTATTTTTTGTTCTTCTTAAAAAGCTTCCAATCCAACAACACCAGGCAGGGCCAGCAGCGCGGCAGCATGTGCAGAAAAACGACAAACTTTCAAACTTGAAACGCTGCATTGCTGAATCAAATCCTTCAATCTTCCGACACCCAATTAATCTCTTTTTCCCTCACTTCCTCTAATTAAACCCAAAAAACTTTTAGTTTTTAGTTTTTTTTTTTCTTAAGCACTTGTTTGATTTTTTTAGAGACTACAATGTCATCACCAACACCCGGGGCTACTCCAGCTCCAACATCGTCACCGCCATCAACAAACACTACCTCCCCACCACCACCAGCGGCCGCAACTCCGCCGCCAACCAACACTCCCTCCCCACCACCATCCACCCCATCTCCACCTCCAGCCACCACTTCAGCTCCTCCTCCTTCAACCACCACCCCATCTCCCCCTCCTCCCTCCACTTCATCACCTCCGCCATCATCTTCTACCTCCCCATCGCCTCCAGGCACCACATCTCCACCCCCATCTTCCTCCAATCCTTCCCCTCCGCCTCCTTCTACATCAATTCCATCGCCACCACCCCCGAGCAGTTCGGGGACTCCATCGCCACCACCACCTTCGACGAGTTCGGGGACGCCATCTCCTCCACCGCCGTCTTCGTCTAATTCAAGCAGTGGGGTGTCAACAGGGCTGGTAGTGGGGATAGCAATAGGGGGAGTGGCGATATTGTTGGTTTTGAGTTTGTTGTTTATATGTTGTAAGAAGAAGAGGAGAAGAAGAGACGAGGAAAGTTACTACGTGCCTCCTCCGCCTCCTGGGCCTAAAGGTCAGGTCTTTTCCCCATTTATGGAATTAGAGTGTTCATTGGATTTATGGGTATTTTTATTGATTTTGTTAAATTTTTTAAACAGGAAAAATGGGTCATGTTTATTTTCAAGGATTCTTTTGGTTTTTAATTAAAAAGATGAAATTTTGATTTTTTTTATATCTAATATTTCCTCCTATTCTCTTTTTAGAAAAAAGCACGTTTTTACGGTTTTGAAGATTGATCCGTGCTTGAGTGAAGCAAATAATAGGTGTTTGAATCATATCTTTGGTTTTTTTTACATATGCATTGCTGCTAGTGCATTTGCATGGGCCTTTTCGGTTTTGGTTGCATCATACGGAAGATGAAGAACTTTGTATGTCTTTCGCTTGAGCTTTCATATGATCAATCCTTTCGCTAATTAAACGTTAGCTTTGTTCACACTAGGCCATTGCGCTCATGGTGTTTCTTGAATTTCCTTTATATATATATATATATATATATATATATATATATATATGAGGCTGACAGGATTTGAACCTGGTGACTGTAACTAAGAAGTTAATATTCTATTAACAGACCCTGCAACTGTTGGCCATATTTTGACGGAGTTTGGAGATTTTATTTTATTTTGGTTGTTTGGGAATTATAGAGGCAAATGCATATGCTAATTGTAAAAGGATTCGATCATCTTCCTAATAACTTTGTAGCCCTACTTTATTGACCCTGACCTAGGTGATCATAATTCATAGAGGTTGTTGGTTTTTTCCAGATGATCCATATGGTGGCCAGCAGTATAGGTGGCAACAAAATCCTCCCCCACGTGCGGATCAATTTGGTGCAGTGCCTTCAAAGCCCACTCCTCCACCAGTTACAGCATGGCGACCTCCTTCTCCAGGACGCTCTCCTAAGCCTTCATCAACCCCACCTTTCGTGAGCAGCAGTGGAGGTTCCGGCTCTAATTATTCAGGTTCTGAAAACCCGCTGCCACCACCCTCACCTGGTATTGCATTAGGCTTCTCTAAGAGCACATTTACCTATGAGGAATTAGCAAGGGCAACAGATGGCTTCTCAGATGCAAACCTTCTTGGCCAAGGTGGTTTTGGGTATGTGCACAGAGGAGTTCTCCCGAATGGGAAGGAAGTAGCAGTCAAGCAACTGAAGGCTGGAAGTGGGCAGGGGGAGAGAGAATTTCAGGCAGAAGTTGAGATTATCAGCCGTGTTCATCACAAACATCTTGTATCATTGGTTGGATACTGTATCTCTGGGACAACAAGAATGCTTGTTTATGAGTTTGTTCCAAATAACACTTTGGAGTTTCACTTGCATGGTAAGGTTGTCTTTGGATTTGCAGGTCATAATGCTTCTTTCAAGTATTGTGAATGCTAATTGATGTTTGATTCATCTGGTAAAATATCTAATAGAGAATGCTAATTGCAGGAAAGGGGCGTCCTACCATGGATTGGCCAACTAGGATGAAAATTGCTTTAGGATCTGCAAAAGGACTGGCATATCTTCACGAGGACTGTATGCTCTCTGACTCTCTCTCTTGCTTACTCACTCTACATGTAGGAATTTAATCTCTCACTTTATGGTATCCATTATTAATATTTTCAGGTCATCCTAAGATAATTCATCGTGATATTAAGACGGCTAATATTCTGTTAGATTTCAAGTTTGAGGCAAAGGTATTGATTTCATTTTAATTTCTTGTCAAATCTAAACATTTGAACCACAAACGAAATCCAAACAAATACAACCAAAACACAGGCCCTGAGCTGCCTGTGTAAAATCTTGTTTATTTAATTGACATAGATTTGCTTTTGTCAACCTTTTTAACTAAGTTAATCATGTTTATGTATTTTTTTTCTATCACTATAGTCATTGAGATAATAGATAAAATTTTGTTTTCAGGTTGCTGATTTTGGACTAGCAAAGTTTTCTTCTGATGTCAACACTCATGTCTCCACCAGGGTGATGGGTACTTTTGGGTAAGAAGACCTGCATTCTTGTTGCTTGGTACATAGGATACGTGATTAAAATTTTTTAGTAGTTGTTTTTCATTCACTTATTTCTTACTCTTTCCAGGTATTTGGCTCCCGAGTATGCTTCAAGTGGAAAACTCACGGACAAATCAGATGTTTTCTCTTTTGGGGTCATGCTTTTGGAGTTGATTACTGGACACAAACCAGTTAGCTCTTCTTATATGGAGGACAGTTTGGTGGACTGGGTTAGTTATTACTTTGGTCAATGATTGACAGTGCAAGCACACACAAACATGCATAATTTCATCTGCATTTTTTTTTTCTCTGTGGATCGATTGCAGCTACGGAATTCTAGATTTAATCTTCTTAGCACCTTTGTTAAGTAAATTGGATTCGGCATTGCAGGCTAGGCCTTTGCTCACAAAAGCTATGGATGATGGAAACTTTGACAGTCTGGTTGATCCAAAGTTACAAAAGGAATATAACCACAATGAGATGACTCGTATGGTTGCATGTGCTGCTGCTTGTGTGCGACATTCAGCACGACGTCGACCACGAATGAGCCAGGTAATTGGTGTAGCAAAATTTCTTTCAAATTCCATTTTTGGTATCGAGATCCAATTCTAGGTCTGCCATATCTGGTTGATGGGTATGGCTCTGAAGACAGATGGATAAGATGACCAGATAATTGTGACAGTAATTCATTTATTAATGAAAATTTAGTTGAGAGACTTGCATATTGTATTTTTTAGAGTCTTCTGCTTAGAATGACTATCAACCAAGTTGGTTTAACTGGTGGTTGATGGTTCATGAGTGAATTACCATACTTTCTTTTAGATCTCGTAGTTACTTTTATGGTCCACTCATTATTAGATTCTGACCCTAAACTTGACACCAAGCAGATACTCCGTGCTTTAGAAGGAGATGCATCATTGTCTGATCTCAATGAAGGAATGAGACCTGGACAAAGCAATGTCTACAGCTCTTATGGAAGCTCAGACTATGACACAAGCCAGTACAATGAAGACATGAAAAGGTTCAGGAGGATGGCATTGGGCACACAGGAATATGGAGCTAGTAGTGAGTACAGTGAGCCCACCAGCGAATACGGTTTATACGCTTCTGGCTCAAGCAATGAAGGCCAAACCACCCGGGAAATGGAGATGGGAAGGATGAAGAAGAATAGCCAAGGTTTTAGCGGAACTTCAACCTCTTGACGGTATTGTTTTTTGTAAAGATCCCATTCCTAACTCTTTTTATGACTTGGATGTCACGTTGATTTCAAAGTTTGGCAAGTTTTTCATGAGATTACACACTTTTTTATCCATTTGATTTTTGAAATTACAGTTTTTCATTGATTTGTATTTATTAGTGATTCACACAAGGTAAACAATGGATACACTTTGATTGATTCTTTTTTTTTTGTTGCTTGAATGTTAATATCAATTTGGTTTGCCGAAACCAGACTTCCTCCATTGATTTGTTGTTATTCTTCCCCTTCAGTTTGCTTGGATTGGAAATTTTGTAGTTAGGTTGAATTCCCATGTTGTGTGAGTGACATTAGTTCCTGGCTTGTCTGCATTTGTATCAAGTTTCCGCCTAAGACTCACCAACTCAGAGCATCAATCTTTGATCGATGATATGATTTTAAGATTTATCGGTGACATAAAATGAAAATCTAGAATCTTAAATGTAACGCTCGCTCAACTAGAAAAATGGGTTAGATTCAGTTCATGCTGTAACGTTCTTGTCCAACTTGTGTTAGCTTTGAAAGTGAACAAAGCTTAGCTGGCGCTGGGGGCTTTATCTGATCACATGCATGGCCAAAGAAAGCAAAAAAAATTCTCTCCTTTTTAAATATTCCAAAACGAGATTGCAGTCAAACAGCATTACAAAATCATTGAAAATGGCAAAATGTGGCCAGCTCATTGTGGGCTGTGGTCAGACCGTTGAGTGCCTACCAACGAACCTTACCTATACCAAGTCAAGATGCCAAGAGATAGGGAAATGGATGACTCATATCCGTTCTGTCATGGTTTGCACGTTTGGTATAATGTGATGAGCTTTTATCCAATTCTTGGGAACCGGAATTATTATTCATTAAGCATATTGAATTCTCTCTTACACATATGTTATTGAATTACATAATTAGAGGTAATTTTCTCTTATCTTCATATTCAAAACGGAGTTTTAAGCTCTAAACCTTGTTTCCCTTCGAATTTTGTATGAATATTATAATTTAAATATCAAGAATTATTATCAATATCGACAGTACTTTCAAAATTGAAACTCTATTTTAGAAGATTCTCAGGTTTAGGCGCCAATGTAATCATACAAAACACGGTTGGCAAGGATCTCAGGATTATGATCAGTTGACGAAATCAGATAAAGAATTAGAGAAGATTTATGGAAAACGATGTCCAGTTATTCATGCTATTCAAGTTTTCAATTGGTAAGATCTGCTGCGCCGATTTCATAAAAATGCTCAATATTAATTTCTTGTTATAGCTAGAAACTATAAGTGTGGATTTCCTGAGCCCAAGCCCATTACCAAACGTAGCCCAATTATATTTGATTAGTTGTAATTTGAGGAAAACATGGGGGCGGGGTACTTCCCAGACGCAAAAGAACCTGATAGGCGAACAAGTTTGTTAAGAACTGTAGTAGTTGTTTGTTTCTCTGAAAGATTCTCTTCTGTTCTTCAGTCGATCATTTTTAATTATTTAATGAATTAATTTTTATTCATTTTTTAAACACGGGAGAAAAAAAAAAGAGACAAATCTGATCTCATTTTTCCTGAATTAAATCCTAAAAAAAAATCTTAATTTTCCAAAAAATTTCAGAAGCTTTGTATAAAAAATGCCTACTCCCTCTGAAGGTTCACAAAACAATCTGCTGTATTGTATTCAAGCGAAGAGTACCAGTTCCTTCAGTAATCGTAGTTTCAGTTCATCAGGCTTCGATTATATACATGCTGTTTTTCCCAGAAAGAAGAATTGCACAAACACATCTTCAGCTTGGGTTCTGTAGTTTATTCCATTTAAAGTGAAGATTGGTTGGACATTACTGAAAGCTTAAAATAATTCAATCCCTCCCCAAATCTAAAACCCCAGTTGGCATTTTGGGATTGTTCTATGATTCTTTCAACAGTATATGAATATTCTGTTGTACACTACACTTGGTACTATGAACAGTATGAGGAAAAAAATTGCAAGTGAGGAGAAATATCATCATAATCTGCCTTGGCCTCCTCGTTCCTTCAATGAGGTGAAAGAAGTAAACTGCTGTTTCCAGGGAGCATCCTTCTGTTGATCAATCCATGACAAGAAGGCACTGTCTAGCAAGCAGAAGATATTAACATAAAGGAGTTGGTATCTCACAGGAACATATCGGAAATTTGCAACCTGAACAATTGGCCACACAGCACCCTCCAATATCAAGGCTGGGAGGAAATCCCTCTTCACATCTTCCTTCACTTGATCAACACTTTTGCCGTTGGAAAACCCCATATAAGTGAAAAATACAAGCAAGTCAAAGGGCCCAAAGATAAGGCCATCCATTGCAACTTTGGTAGCTACAAACCTCGCCGACTTTGGCCGTAGTTGAAGCCTCAACTTTATAAATCTGTCCAAGCCTTCATACCTACATGGAGGAATAACAGGTTGTAAGCAGTTGCTAGCTCATGCGATGAAGTGCATTCAACATAACCAATTCAACAGATACCTGTCATTGCCAATCTTACACATAATAGTTTCTTTCATTTCACTTCAAAAGCTAGCTCTAAGTCTCATTTACAATTTATTTTACAGTCTTCTACATATTGGTTCTACAAATCTGTAAGAAATTGGAAGAATTCTGCAAGCTCTTCTCAGATGTAATCCAGGCAACAAGTTTGAAATCTCCAAAATATAGCATTTTCTTTTCCTACTTAGCAATGTAGATTGTTAAATCATGATTATCAAAAAATCACAAAATTAGATTCATTATTACATTATTACATATCAACACATAATTTCTTACCAACAGTCAAATGCTCCCCCAGAACTACCTTCTAAGTTATTTTCTTTTTTAGCGCAAACTCTGTGAAACATAAGTCTATCCGTACACTAGTTAGGAGAAACGAGCTTTTATAATTAGAAGAGACCAAAACTTCTAGAGTAGCCAATGAAGCACGTGGATGCAAGTAATAAGAAATGATATGAGATTTAAGGAAGCAGATGAAAAGGTTGTTGTTGATAGAAATGAGTGGCGCAAGAATATTCAAAACCATAACCTAACATGAGTCCTATTTTCATACTACCGACCTCAGAATTATGGGATATAAGGCTTAATATGTTATTGTAGCACAAACTGTGTCTAATTTAAGACAGTGTTCTATAAGAAGCCAGTATAATCAGAACATAAAAAAACTCAGGCTAAATAAATCAAAATAAAAGGAACAAAGATAAACTACGAACCAGAAGTGCCCAACTGGTCCAACAAAGCCAAATCCAAAGATACTTGTGATAGCTACTCTTTTCCAGTTGATTTTAAATTCTTGCCCTGCATCCTGCCAAATGAAACACCAATTATTGTCCTACTAGTAGAAAAGGAGATGGTTTATTCAGAATCCATCTTCAGCAAACGCTCAAACTGATAAATAGAAACTGTAATTTCTGAAAACCCAATCATGGTTCTAACCAACAAGTCATTGGGCATCGGGTAGAAGAACAAAATATATTAAAGCATATATCCATCAGTACAAGTAGTTAGTCATCAATATGAATAATGCTATGCATTGATATCATGACACAAGAACCATTATAAGGAAGAAGTTGGTTGCTCAAAATGTAAGAATATAGTTAAATCAAATAAAATATGCATTGAATAATTCTATTGCTTTCCACGTGATTCACCTCTGACACACTGGAATGCCTTACCCGTATAGACAGTAAGCATTGAATAGAGAGCAAAGGATCTGGGAAATACACCATTAAATTATGAAAAATCCAAGAATTAATTAACCAGAAAGCATGAGAGTAGAGACCAACCAAAAGAAAACTCTTAACCTCAACTGCTTAAACAACATTTTCTTGGTACAGAATTAGGAAACTATATTTCTACTGTTCAATTAAGTAAATTTATGGCCAAGTTTTACGACTTTTCTTATTGGCAGTATTATTCATCTCACCTAAGATTTACGAGTGCATTTTACAAATGACAAAACAAATAAGAAAATGAATAAGGAACAACTCAAACTTATATTGACTACTAAGAAATGCATACCATAGCATCATTAAATCCATGGTGACCGTAAACTATGGGAATGCGGTGATGCCAATTGCTAACTAAGACACATTTTCGGTTTTATCACCATTAGATCAGCGGGAAACAGTTGAAACCACAACAAAAAAGAGGGAAGAAAACAGTGGACATGCTTTTCTTAACAGCCTTTTCTATCTCAAGTGAAACCCTTCTAGCACGTTAGGATGTCTTATGAACTTAAATTGCAAACCATCAATTGGTGTTTCAGGATTTAATCACCACAAAACATTGGAGCCGTAATCACAAGATGCAATTATTAGTTTGCAATTTTGTATTACCAAAACGAAGCCAATCATGAACCTTTACCAGCTGTTGGGGCAATGCCATATGTTTTCAACAAATGCCCCATGGAACATTGACATGATCAGATTCAATTCACAATAACACTTGAAAATGAAACCTTTAAATTGTTCCTTGATCATTAATTACCAATAGCACTCAATCAAAGATAAGCTATGAACATCAAGCAGGAACATATAGAACAATCAAGGATATTTGGGGCAAAATGAGACCCTATGAATAAAATGGGAATACATACCAAACAAAAACCATCATTGAAGATTGTAAAAACCCACAAGAAACCAACATAAAAATCTTAACATGTAGATACCCAATTCAAATATATAATAATAATAATAATAATAAAGGAAAATTTCAAATGAAATGAGAAAAACGCAGATTAACTCAGGTAAGTGAAAAACAATATGAAAATGAGATAGAGAAAAGAGGGATTTCCTTTGGAATGGAAAAAGGTGCTTACTTTATATTGAAGGCGTTTCTTTGCGGTGGAATGGGTGACGTATTGAGCAGCAACATCCCCAATGCCCCAAAGGAAACCTGAGCTAATAACTTGTGTTTTCACAGGATGAAGAGATAAGCAATTCTGGTAACATTTCCATATCCTCAACATTTTTTGAGAAAAAAAGAAGGGGGTGAAGAAGAACAGAAAAGGGGCTAGAGAGAGGAAAGAGGAGGCTATAAGAGAAGTTTGGAACCCATGTCACCACCTAGCCAGGAGGATGTCAGACCATGCCTTTCTCCACGACCCATCATCTCATTGATTTTATAAATGTTGGTGTTTTTGGCTGACTTCCACTTAGAACAAAAAGATGAATTTTTTTTTTCCTTATTTCTATTCAAAACACAACAAATTTGACTATTATTATTATGATTAACAAAATAATTAAAGATTCCTTTTTTTTACAAGAAAAATGCACTAATATTTACATTTTAATTTGTTTGGGCAATTAGGAGTTGAGAGTGGTTGGTGCTTATCTCATGCGCTCCGACCTTTAAATTAAAATTCGTGCAACTTTGGATTAAGAATGAACTCTTTATGTTCAAATCAACTTATGAATTAGGCGTGCAGGGACCAACTAAAAAGGTAGAATACACGAGCTAAAAAAATAAGAAAATGTTGAAATATGTTGCATATCATTAAAGATAAATGTGTCTGATAATGTATAATTGATGTCAAAAATTAATTTTTGAGATGTAAAGATTAATTGTAAATAAAAAAACTCATAAAAAAATAATTTACAATGATTTAAATAATGACAGAATATGATTATCAAATTAAAAGAGATAAAAATTCACCATTAAGACTAAAAATTAAAGGGTATAAAAATACCATCTTAAAAATTTTAATTAATGATACAAAACAATAGAAGTTCATAACTCTAGGAAATCCACCTAAGAAATACAAAATTTGAAAAAAAATCTAAAAGATTGCTTAAGGAAAAAGAAAACTCTATGTTTCTTCTACCAAAAAATAATAAAAAACTTATAGGCTAGGAACATCCTTTGGAGCCTAAAATCATGGGTTCACATGTGAACATAATTTATCCATTTACTTTTGCAGATTATATGATAATGAATCTGATCACAATTTTATCTATATTCATGCTCTTTTTTTCTAGCTAGTGTGAATACAATCTCTCTATTTCAGCCTACCTTATTTATGTATTTATTTAATGGATTTGAACTAAGGATATACCCATTTTATTTTCGGATAAATTTACTTTAGTTTCAATCTAAGTTGTATGATGTGTAAACATTTCAGTGTTAATCTCCTTTGGTTGGAAAAGACTTGTCTTTAAGTCTGAACTAATATTCTCGTCATGATAATGTGATAAATCAGTAACATTGAAGGTGAAAAATACTCCATAAGTGTCAAAAAGCTCTATTTTATAGGCATTCTCCTCAATGCATTAGAGAATTCTAAATGAACCATCTGCCTTGGGTTGTAATTTGTCAAATTTTTTTTGAGAAAATCTCTTTTTTTGCTAGTTTATCTATACTAAATCATCTTCGTTAAACTTCACATATTTTTTATGCATGATTATTGCCTTTTTATATTTTTTATTTTTCTATAAAATTCTATTTTAAACTTGTTCATGAAATATTTTGATACTTTCGACTATTTTTTTTACATCTTTATCAAAATATTGATTAGTATAAAGTTGAATTAAAATCAAATGACATTTACATTCTTACCAAAAATAATTTTAAAAGGGTTGCAACCAATGATTTGACTTAGTAAATGGTTGTAAGCAAATTTCACTTGTAGTAAAACAAGTTTCCATTGTTTTTAGTTTCTTTCTCGTATAACTCTTCAAGAAAATTTATGCCTTGTTAGGTAAAATAGCTCATGGGATAAGGTTTATGTAATGTTGAATGTTCCTTATTAGTGGTAGACCAGCTAGTAACTCCTCATGAATAACATCTTAAAATTCTATCAATAATGGTTGTATCACTGCAAGGGGCTTCTTAGTATCTTTATTCTCTTTAATCAACAACAATGCATACATAATACCACCCATATTAATTTTCTTTATGTAATTAGCCTTGGTAAACAAGCTATTTCCTTCCCCTTTGGTTGGTTTTGACAAAACTATGGGCTTGGTAAAGCTTAAGATGATTTTGCATCCATCCTTCACAAATGTGTAAGTGTTGCGGTAACTATCATAATAACCCTTTTATCATAATGCCAAGATCTTTCGAGCAGTAAATGGTAAGTATCCATCGAAGTTACATTATACCATACTTCATCATTGTATTACTTTTCATAGAAAAAAGAACCAAACACCTATTGCAAACTTTGATTTTATTCTCTTTCTACAGCCAAGATAGCTTATATGATTGGGGGTGATCCATTGCTTTGACGCTCAATTACTGCATCATAAAGGTATAAGCAATATTTTTAAAATTTTCACTATCAATTATAACATCATATACCTTCTAATGTGCAGTACACCGAGTGTGAAACATATTCTTACGCAACCAATCTTTTTTGTTAACAGGTGTACTACTCAAGCTGCATTGTATGACTAAGGATGTTTCACAATCGCCATAGGTTATCTCTTTCTTCTCTTCAAGGTTTTGATCCTCTTCAGTCAACTTCTCTTTATTTTTCTCCAAGTCTTCCTCTACTAGAGTCACAATCTTTTTGTTTGGGTATTTTGAGGTAATGTGTCTAAGCCTTTGACATTTAAAACAACTTCTGGTTTGAGCATTGGATTGAGGTTTGCTTGTTGAGGTTTCATCTTTCTTTTAAGGTTGCTTTAGAATGGCCTTGAAAGAAACAACAGTCTTGGATGAGTCATATTTATTGATATAGCCTTCGTGGGACCCAAATCTTAAGTTGCTATCATGTGCCTCTTTTTGTTGTCTCTCTACTTTAAGGATAAGCCTGCATACATCATTGAAAGTCCAATAGGGTTGTAGCTGCACCACATTAGTTATCTCAATCTTCAATCTTCCAAGTTATCGGGCAATAGTCTATTCTTTTTGTTTCATCAATTTGTATTTTAACATGAGGTGGTTAAACTCAACCGTATACTCCTCTATTAAGAGATCTCTTTGCTTCAAGTTATAGAGCCTAAGAAAGATATATTGCCAAAAGTTATCTGAGAGATACTTTCTCTTCAACTCTTTTTTCATCTTCTCTCAAGTTGTAATTTTTTTTTTTACCTTCTCTTTCCCTTTGCTTTTTTAGATTTTCTCACTAAAAGGATACATGCTTTCTGAGTTTGATGGCTACTAACTTCACCTTACGATATTCAGGGGCATCATGGTATTCAAATATGCGTTCTATCGTATTTAGCCAATCTAAAAAATTTTTAGGTTGTATTTTTCTCTCGAACTTAGGAATTTCTATCTTCAGATTGAATATGCTAGGTTAAAGTTAGTTTTTGCGTAGATAGTCTCTAACTTATCATGGGTGAGATAGGGTGCTATCATTAGAATCACTATTGTTTTCATGGAATAGATTGGTTTTTCTTTCATTTTTTTCGTTCCTCTTTTGTTGCCTCTTTATCTCCTTTCTTTCTTTTTGTATATGTAGTTGCTGTTATAGTTGAATGATCTGTTGTCGCATTTTCTTTAAGAAGGCATCTCTTAGGTCAACATTGATAGTTGCTGCAACGTCAGTGTTAGCTTCAACCTTTTCTATCGGTGCTTGATAATGATGATATACCATAGCTTTGATATCAATTTAATGTCAAAAATTGATGTTTGAGATATAAAGATTAACTGTAAACAAAAAAACTCATAAAGAAAATAACTCACAAGGATTTGAATAATGATAAAATATGATTATTGGATTAAAATGGATAAAAGTTCACCATTAAAATTAGAAACTAAGGGATATTAAAACACCGCTTTAAGAATTCTAATCAAAGATACAAAAAAATAAAAGTTCACTACTCTAGGAAATCCACTTAAGAGATACAAAACTTGAAGAAAAATCTAAAAGATTGCTTAAGGATAAAGAAAACTCCATTCTTCTTTTGCCAAAGAATAATAAAAAATATATAGGCTAAAAACATCCTTCTAAGCATGAAAACTTTCAGATTGCATTGCTAGAATTGTACCTAAAATCATGAGATTCACATGTGAACATAATTTACCCATTTACTTATGCAGATTATATGATAATGAATTTGACTATAATTTCATCTATGTTCATGCTATTCTTTTTCAATTAGTATGAACACAATCTCTTTATTCTAGCCCACTTTATTTATGTATTTATTTAGTGAATTTGAATCAAGGATAGGTTCATCTTATTTTTGGATAAATCTGCCTTAGTCTCAGCCTAAGTTGTATGTGTATAAACACTCTGGTGTCAACAACTGAGGGTGGGGTGATCTTCTATTTATAGTTGACGCCCTAGCACTAATTATGACTGTTTCTTAAAATCATGAGATTACATGATTTTTAAAAATAAAAGATTATACATCAATAAAAGATTATACATCAATACACAGATTATACCTTGATTCTAAAGATCGTCTCTTAATCTTAAGAGTTGACCAAATCTCTTATGCTTATTGTGCCAACCCTCATTTCTGTCCTTGGTGCTCGAGCCTTGGTCATAAGTGCTCAAGCCTCAGCTCCTAGTGCATCCACCCAGGCTGTAACATTCTCCCCTACCTAATTACGCGATGCCCTCGTCGCGTCCTCTACATGTGTTTGATTTGGTCTTGAAACTACCAATTGTTACAGGCTCCAACCTTTAAACCAAAATTCGTACTGTCTTAGACTAAAAATGAGTTCCTTATGTCTAAGTCAACCTATGAAAAAAGCGTGGGGGTACTAAACCAACTAGAACGGCAAAATACGCAAGCTAGAATATGTCGTATATTACTGAAGACAAATGTGTCTAATGATGTACAACTAAAGGTAGGGTGACCTTCTATTTATAATTGAGGCTCCAGCACTAATTATGATTGTTTCTTAAAATCAAGAGATTACATGTTTTCTAAAAATAAAGGATTACACATCAATACACAGATTTTAAGGATACCCTCATAATTTTAAGGGTTGATTAAATCTCTTATGCTTGGTGCTTAAGACTAGGCCGCGGGTGCTTAGGCTTTAACTCCTAGTGCTCTTGCCTAAGGTGTGACACTTACATCCAGCCATATTTTTCTTTTAGCTTAATATTTTATTTATTTATTTTATTAAGTCTTAGATTTGTCTGAAATAAAGAAATGTGTGACAATAGCAGTGAAAGAAAAATTAAAAATTAATTTAAAATTGTAATATTTTATTTGATTTAGATTATTATTTGTTTAATTCGTATTAAGTTCGGATATTAAATGTATATATTAAGGTTGGATTAAATTTCGAATAAAAAAGTAAAAATTAAAAAAAATTGAATCGAACTGAATTATATATTTTTATTAGTTTTTATGTATTTTAAAAATTTTTATAAAATAAAATAATTATTATATATATTTATTTAAATATATTAAAAATTTTATTAAAAGAATATATAAAAACAAAAACAATTAAAGTTTAAAAACTAATAAATTAAATTGAATCGTTAAAATTTGATTCATATTAAATCGATTTTAAAATAAGATCAATTCAAATTTTTAAAAATTTATAATGTTATACATTATTTGAAAAAATTAAATTAAATCGAATCAAATTCGGTTCGATTTGAACCATCATTATCCCTATGAATAAGGATTAATATTAAAAGGGTATTAATAACTAAAAAAAATTAAATTCAAGAGAAATTTTTTGTTTAATGAGTATTTATAAGTAAATTCAAATCCTAATGATGTGGGGTTGACTTAATCTCAATGGCTAAGGAGGGGTCACCCACAAAGTTTCTAATCCATCCAATCCTAAATTTATGTAAGTCTAACCTTTTAACCCACCGATATTGGCAACAAAAATTGGGGATAGCCCAAGTTTTTTAACTTTTAATGATTGTCGTAGATGGTTCGCCCAAGTTCTCTTTTTATTTCTTCAATGATTAATGTCATAAATCTTTTGCTAATTTTTAACAAAATTAAATTTTGATCTGGATTTTTAAATTTTGGATCAAATAATATTTTAATTCATAAAATTTTAAAAATAATTTATTGATTTTTATATTTTCATGGCCGTAATAAAATAATCTTTCTATTAATCAAATCGTTAATTCAAACGAAATGTAATTGACAGCCCCTATAAAATACACCAGGTTACCAAATTGCAGCAAATAAAAAAAAGGGAAAGAAATTACAAGAAACAGATATTAAACTGAAGAAAACAAATGCAATTCCCAATCCTAAGACTTTGGTTTAATACATTATTAGCAAATTAATTGTTGGGAGATTGAGTTGAATGGCTTCCTTCAACTCAAGAAAGATTGATTTCAACGCTAAAAAAGACTGACAAACGGGCAGAGCCCATCGCAGCTCCTGTGGCTTGTATAAAAAAAATGCAGTCTTGCAACAAGACATTATTATCAGTAACATGTCCCGAATTTAAGGTTTTTTCCTCTGATAAAATTAAAGAAAGAGAAAATCAAATTGAACATAAAACCTGTTTGACATACCAGAAGCAAACACTGAAACTGTGATACAACTATTTTTCCCGAGGGAAAAAGGCATTAGACCAAAGAGCATTGCGGTTGTTATCCCCAAATGGGGGCATCATCTCATCGCCACCAAATCCCAGGTGGTCTTGTGGGTTCATCAGGTCTGTAATCCGCTGTTGCCTCTGCATTGTATCCATGTTAACCTCGAGATCTGACCTCCCCGCCTGCACTTTCTCTCCGCTCTTTGACTTCGGTTCTGGTGTTACCATTGTCCCTGATGACGCTGCTGCGGACCCTTGGGAATGAGACGCTTTAGTAAGTGTATCAACCCTCTTGTTAATATCCTTCAAGTTTTGCTCAATCAACCACCCGAGTTCATTTGAATCCATCATGTTCAAATTGTGCAAGCCTTTTCCTGTAAGGTTTTGGAGCATGAGTTGTTTCATCTCCTTTTCGCGATTGTTCTTGCACTGTTTCTGCAGCTGTTCATTGGCTTTTGCGATCCTTTGCCTAAGGAAACTCTCTTGGTCCACCATGTTCTTGTTCTGTTTCATCTCAGGCAACTTCTTGAACTCCGAGAGCACACGCTGGACTCCGACAGGGGATGGCCAAACCTCCGGTTGAGACTCATTAGGACTGTAGATAATTGCACAAGCTTCTATCCCACAAAGAGTACTGAGTTCACTCACCTTCTTCATCAGACCCTTCTTTCTTTTCTTGTTTGTGGCTTTCCTGGCAAAATCATTGGTAATGTAGGCAAGCTTCACTTTCTGCCTGGTCATGGCTTAAAAAGCAAAGAATAGGTAATTTCAATCACTTCTTACCCAAACAATCTATAGAGATTAGAAAGGAAAGGATTCCCCAATTGTTATTATTGCAAGATTATAGCGGTGTAATATATCCTTGTTGGACGTATTAATGGTGATTTAAAAAGGAAAAAAAAAACAATTTCAAATCTATTGCTTATTTGGTGACACGAAACAAACATCGACAAAAGCTGTATATACAATCTATTTATTTATATATTGTATGAAGAGAGTGATAATTTGCTCAAATTAATTGCAATTATAGCTGTACTTTTAATGGAGAATATGATGAGATGTCTGCTAAAGATACCAAAACTGTAGATGCGGTGGTCTGGAGATGATTTGACGTATTTTACTTGAGACAGATAATATTTTATTTTAATCAATATCTACTATTGAATTATAACGGTTGCTTTAATAATAAGATTATCTACCATTGAATTATAACGGTTACTTTTATAAGAGTGTTCATTTTTTTACGTTCATTCATTTATGTACATTTGGTATAATTTATTTATAAACTATCTACCATTGAATTATAACGGTTGCTTTTACAAGAGTGTTCAATTTTCTACATTCATTTATTTATGTATATTTCGTATTATTTATTTACTAATTTTAAACTTATACGATATATGTGTGATGCACGAAAATATATTTTTATATCATCTAAAATATTTTTTTTGATTTAATTATTCCATCTACCTGTTGTTAATATTAAAATTCTTAATTAAAAAGTCAGGAAAGAGCAATAAATAAATCAATCTATATTTTGAACCCTCAATAGTTTTTTGTTTTGAATTATATTAGTTTTCAAAAGTATATTTATATATTTATAAGTTTATACATAATATAAGATTTTTTTTAATTATAAATTAAGATTTTATATTTATGAATAACTTAAAATTTATATATTTAGAATTATGTAATGTCAAACCCAACAAAATAAAATAAAATATTTGTTTTAAACATATCATAAACCTTAAACATTTTAACATATAGAATAAAATTAAATTTAAAATTAAAATATCAAAATAAATATTCAATACCTTATACTCAAATTCTACAAAAACCAAAAATTAAAATATCAAAATAGATATTCAATACCTTATACTCAAGTTCCAAAGAAAAAATTAATAAATATAGAGAGATAGACCTTAAAACAAAAAATTATGTAAAAAATATAAAAAATATGAAAAAATTTTAAATTTTAAAATATTTTTTTTGCTTGAGATTTTTTTAAAATATAAAATCCGAGAATTCCAATCCCTACTCATATACTACAAATAGCGTGGATAATTCTTTTTATAGGAGCATGACTAAGTATTTTTGTTTCTTTTAGTTAAAACCTTATTAGATGATATTTGTAGTTGTAAACTAGTTGGATTGATTAAAATTCAAAGCTCATATGCCCAATTTTGATCTTTTTATTTCACTTATTTATCTTTATTTTTTAATTTATGATTTTAAGTTGTATTTATCTTTGTTTACTTTTTTTTTATTTTTTTATCTTTATTTTCTTTTACTTTTATTTTTTTTACTCTTATTTCATTATTTCTATTTGTTTCTCTTTACTATTTATCTTTATTGATTTATCTTTTTTATGATAAAAAAAATAACATTTAAAAAAAGAAAAATTTTGAAAATCGCAAAATGGTGAAAAAAGTTGGGAATTAAAAGGATTTTATTTTTAGAGGATAGTTTATGTTTTAGAGTTAAAATTGAGTAAGAATTCATGAAGATAAATTCTAATTTTTTTAAGGATTATTATTCTTTGGTGATGGTATATAATTTTCAAGAGTTTAATTCTTATTCAATTTATAATACTTATCAAGTGAGAGTACTATCCTTATAAATAGTCCAGTTTATTCAATTTAGAATACTTACCAAGTTAAAGTAATATCCCTATTAATATTCTAGCATTCAACAATAACAAGCACACAACAATCACAGATTAGGTAATTTTTTAATGTGATTTTTAGGTTACAACATCGAATGAGATTAGGCTATAGTAAGATTTTTTTTATTGTTGTGACATTTTTTAACGAGCGTTAAAATTCTTAACAAAGATTCTGACAATACTATCAGATTTTGATGATGACTTTCGATGATGACTTCTAATTTTTCTAATCGTCAATTTGATTTGAACCGATCCATAATATCTGACTCGAGATTCATTATCTGTCGAGCCACTATTGAGCTGACTTGATCCATAATGTTTGACTCGAGACTTGTCACCTATTGAGTCAAGCTGCTAAGAAAAATCGAACCACTACACTAGACACGAGCCAAGTCTTTCTTAAGCCAAACCAAACAAAAAATTTTATGTATATTTTTATTTTATTTATTTATTTAAAAATAAAAATGCTTTTTAAAGATAAATAATTTTTAAAAATAAAAAATAAAACCTTGCCAATATATTGGAAGGTTTGGTAATTTAAATTTTTTTTTGACAAATAGAAAAACAAAACCTTTCCAACATAATGAAAATTTTAGAAATTAAGAAAATTATTTTTAAAAAATAAAAATAAAATCTTACCAATATATTTGAAGGTTTTAAAATTTTAAAAAATAATTATGGAAATAAAAATAAAATCTTATCAATATATTAGAAGGTTTTTTAATTTTAAAGATTTAAAATAACATTTTACCAACATATTGAAAAATCTTTTTGATAAAAAATATATGATTGAAAAGAAATAGTTCTCTTGAATCTTACCAATTTATTAAATGAATTTTTAATGAAAAATCTTATAAACATATTAAAAGGTATTCCTTAAAATGAAATATTAAATAATAATATTTTATTATATCTTAATTTTTTTAATAAAAATTAGTTTTGAATTTCTGTTGGAGTTATTAAGAATGTTACAAATAGTAATTTTTATATAAATTCTTAAATGAGAAATTCTTTTTATATTTATCAACTTATTGAGAATTTAGAAAATATTTTTAATATCAAAATTTTCACAAATTTTATATTTTATAAATAAAGTTTTTTTAAAAATATTAATGAATTGACAACAAAATTTCTTTAAATATGACAAATAATATTTTTGGATATTCTTTAGGTAAGGGAATGTTTTAAAAATTATTATTATTATTATATTGGAATAATTTAAGAATAATATCTAATAATTAATTATTTGGTAAAATTTTTTAGATTTTTGATAACACAAAATTAACTAGTATTATCTTTTGAATCAACGTTGTAAGAGAGTTATAACTTTTATTGCACGTAACTATATTTTCAAATTTAATTTTGGTGGTAATTCCTAAATTGTGTTTAGTACAAATTTACAAATTTATATGTTATGATTAAGATCGAATAATAAATAGTTAATAAAATTAATTAAGAGAGATATAAGCTATTAAAAATAAATGTGATTAATTTAAGTAAAAAATTAAATTAAATTAAAATTTAAAATTAATTAAAAGAGATTTAATTTATTAAAAGTAAATGTGGTTAATTTAATCAGAATCAAATTAATTAAAAATTTAAATTAATTGAGAAAAAAATTTAAAACATTAAATAATTAATCGAGAGAGAAATTAATTAAGCTTTTAAATATAAATGTAATTAATTTAATTAGAATAAAATTAAATTAACTTAAATTAAAGATTTTAAGTAATGGATAGGGGATAATTATTTAAGACTATTTATATGTGAAAAAAAATTATACTATCTATATACATAATTATTTAATTTTTTTTATTTTTCCATATTTATATAATATTTTTGTTTTAATTTTCGTAAATTTTGGATTATTTTTTGAAAAAAAAAAATAAAACCGAATTTTTTGTTATAACCCAATATAATGGCTCCGTTTTAAATTAAATAAGAACATTACTTTTGTCCACGTGGGCACTCAATGCTGTACAAAGTGCAAAAGAAAATCTTTCAAATAAATATTTTACAAAATTTCTTTGTTCTAAAATGATGACCTTAGGAGAAAAGGCTGCCGTGGCAGCACCTGCTTCCACAAATAATGGGCAAGTACTTTGAGGCAACAAAAATTTGACAGCCTCAAAAAGTTATCCACAGAAGCTATTTGTGATAATATTTTGTGGATAAGAATCTCTATTGGATGTCAAAACACAAGCACCCCCACTACACTCCAACACACTTCTTCCCTACTTCAACTCCATTTGCATTGGCATGTTTACAAAACCTCAACTCTTTAGCCATGCAAAACCCATATCTCCCTCCTTCCTGCCTTTAGAAGTACGTCCAACACTTCTTTAGATGTTTTGGTTTTTTGTTTTAATCTGGATTCTTGTTATGTGTAATCATTTGCTTGAAGATGAAAAAAATTGAAGGCTGTAATTCAGTTCCAGGGTCTGATCTTGGTCATTAAACATTAATTGTGATGATACATGGGAATTGCATTTTTGAATCTGTTCATGTAGATTTGTATGCATACATTATCATTGAAATATGTTGACTGGGATTTTTAGAGAGTTGAGACGGTAGTTAGTGGACTGGTATATGCTGCCATTTCACGCCTAAAAAATGAAGTCGTGTAGAGCAGAATGTTGAATTGGGTTCTCTCTGCTAAGTTTTCATATGTCTTTATTATTATCTTTGATTGGAATTAAATTATATAACTTACATGGGTTTGCTTGACAGAGTTATGATGAAGATTTGAACTTTTTATTTATACTATTTTTATCTTTCTGTATTTGTCAAATGTCTCCTGCCATTCTTATTGAGTTTCTCTTTTTCTCTATTTTTGGTCCCTCCTTTTGTGTGTGTGTTATTGAATGACTAGATGATTGGATTTTAATTTGCTGACAGCGAAATCTTTCAACTTGTTAGAAGCATGGACTTTGTTCGTAAGAGATTTGAAATATTCATTGCCTTTCTAGGAAGCATGGCTGTACAAGTAGGTCGTGTAGGATGGTAAACAATTGCCAAAATCTTCAGTACTTGGCATTATAAGGAAACTAACCTTAGTTTAAAGGCTAGCAGATATAGGAAACTGCTTCAAGTAGAAAATTTGAAGGACTTATATTCCATTCTATTTGTCACATTCTGGAATTTACTGTTCCTTTGCTACATTTAAATTTGCTTCTATGAACTAAGTTGGGTGGATTTCAAAATCTTCTCCTGTGGATCTATTCGTACAGTTTCCTGTTGGTGCGATTGAGCCTAGATTTTGCTGAAAAATCATTTTTGCTTCACTTATTTTTCTGATGTATAACATGTTGATTTTGCCGCACTCTCAGGACCTATTAAGGACAGGTTCTCCAGGTGTACCCTTTAAGCACAGGAATTTGAGTTGGAAAACAAGTTCCTGGCCTCCTAATGTTGCATGGAAGTGATTATTGTCAATCATAAAGGGTGGATGGCGGTTTATTAGACAGTGAAAAGAAGATAAGAAACTTTGGATAGTGTGGCTAACAGAAGGTCCATTGCCATGGGCAAACATCAGGAGAGAACAATCATTGGCAAGAAACTGGTTAAAGCTCCAGCAGTTGTGGTATTGTTATTGATACTGGTTTATTCTATATTTCTAATTGATTAAGTTATAAAATTGGGACATTCTTCAATTTCATATTATGAGGCATTAACAAAGATGTATTGAAGCTTAAGGAAGTGGCCTTTGCTGAAGAACTTGGTTCTAGTCTACCAACTACTAGATCATTAATTTTATGTTTTAATAAGTTATACGTTAAAGAATTATTCCTTTTTATGAATCATTAGTTTTACGTTTTAATAAGTTATACTTTAAGGAATTATTTCCATTTTTAATAAGTACCATGGAAAGTAAAAACTAACGCTTCCATGCCTGCTTCAAAATGGAAAACCAAAGTTTCTTTCCTTCTTATGGATCAGCTTCTCAGGCACGTAATTTGATCTGTTCTGAATGCATTTAATACTTTTCGTTTATAAATTTTTGTTGAGATTTTGAAGTCATTGATACCCAAGTGGTACCTAGGCAACTCTGTTTCTCAGAACTGACACATAAACACTGACTCAGAATGTAACATGGTTCTCCAGCTGCTTAACAATCAGTTCATGACTGCATGACTAACTCATTTATCATATATTATGACATCTGCTAATTTAGATTTTGACTAGTTTCACTGTTTTTGGCCTGGCTGCATATACCTTTCGTTAATATGCATTCAAGTATATCATACTTAACATGAGAATGATGCTGTTCGATTTGATACTGTAAAAGATTTTCTATAGCTCAGTTCTTTTACCTTGTATGTCTACCTATCTAAACGAGCACATGCTTGTCATATGCATGACTGCATGTTAATGATCAAATTGCGATTTGTTTGAATGTCACAGGTATCAAATGTACATGAGAAGGACCAGTTGCATTCAGTTACAGTTTCTGCAGTTTCTGAAGTTAAATCCAAATGCATTGTTTGCTTGGGAAAGAATGGTTGCCGGACTGTTCATGCAAGAACAAAATTGATGAATATTCTGATTGAGAAGGGGAAGCCTCAAGAAGCTCGTTCTGTTTTCAAAAGCTTAACAGAAGAAGGACACAAACCAACTCTTGTGACCTACACAACTCTTGTGTCTGCATTAACCCAGCAGAAACAATACAAGTCCATTACTTCACTTATCTCCAAAGTGGAAGAGAATGGTATGAAGCCTGATTCAATTCTCTTCAATGCTATGATCAATGCCTTTTCTGAGTCTGGAAATATGAAAGAAGCCATGAAAATCTTTCAGAACATGAAGAAGAGCGGATGCAAGCCCACAACCAGTACATTCAATACCCTTATGAAAGGATATGGCAATAATGGCAAGGCTGATGAATCTTCAAAATTACTAGAGTTAATGTTGCAGGATGAAGATGTGCAACCAAATGGTAGGACATATAATATTCTAATTAGAGCCTGGTGCAACAAAATGAACATAAAAGAAGCATGGAATGTGGTGTATAGAATGGTGGCATCTGGTATGTGTCCTGATGTTGTCACTTACAATACAATAGCAAGAGCCTATGCTCAGAATGGGGAGACTTATAGGGCAGAACAGATGATACTTGAGATGCAAAGCAACAAAGTGGCTCCCAGTGAGCGTACTTGTGGCATCATTGTGACTGGATATTGCAAAGAAGGTAACATGACGGAAGCTTTGAGGTTTGTGCACAGAATGAAGGAGCTAGGAGTGCAGCCAAATCTTGTTGTCTTCAATTCTCTGATAAAAGGTTTTCTAGATGTTACAGATACTGATGGAGTTGATGAGGTGAGTTTTAACCTTGATGCTTGTATATTTTTTCTCTGAAAATTCTTGTCCTCCGACTCGTAGATTATAACATGTTCAAAGAGCTAAAATACTGCTGGAATCAAGCCCTAGGCATTTCATTGTGTGCTATGTCTAAAGGGCTTCTGGAATAATAAATGGCAAAGTTTGTGTTATGAAGACAGTTAACTGTTAGTTCTGGGTTTGAACTTTTCGCTTCACTAGAGAGATTCAAATTGTGAAGCTTACTCTTTAAACAGCCACTTTTTGGTCTTTTTAAACTGGATGGTTTTGAGTTGTTCCTGTGCTGAGAATGTCTAATAAAAGGAAAATGAAGAATAGGATCTTTATTCTGCAGTCCTTAGCTCAAAGTGCTTTGTGTTTATGCTTTACTATCATGTTTCTTTTGATGCTTTCCATAATGATAAGAGTTAGACTAGGTAGAATAGAAAATTTTTGTTCTGTCACAATTTTGAGAAAATGTAAACACAGGTTGCACATGGTTTAATTAGCCGGTTGTATAGCATTTGAAGGCACCACTTTTATCATATTTCTTGTTAACCATTTGCTTACAATAAGGCATAATTTGACAGGCACTAACACTGATGGAAGAGTTTGGGGTCAAACCAGATGTCATAACATTTAGCACGATCATGAATGCATGGAGCTCAGCAGGGCTGATGGATAAATGCCAGGAGATATTTGATGATGTGGTGAAGGCTGGTATAGAACCTGACGCCCATGCAGTTAGCATCCTGGCTAAAGGTTATGTTCGTGCCGGGAAGCCAGGAGAAGCTGAGTCACTCCTCGATTCCATGAGCAAATTTGGTGTGCATCCAAATGTTGTAATCTTCACAACCATCATCAGTGGGTGGTGCACTGCTGGGAAAATGGAGCATGCAGCCAGAGTTTACGAGAAAATGTGTGAAATCGGTATTTCCCCCAATTTGACTACTTATAAGACTTTAATATGGGGGTATGGGGAAGCAAAACAGCCTTGGAAAGCTGAAGAACTCCTGCAGGTTATGGAAGACAAGGGCATCTATGCTGAGAGGAGCACCATGCAGCTTGTTGCGGATGCTTGGCGTGCCATTGGATTACCAAGTGAAGCAAATAGAATTGTAAAACATGTAGATCAAGGAGTTGCATCAAATAATACAGATGAGATACCGGCAGAGAGTTTGGAGAAGGTTTATAAGAAACAAAACCTTAATACTTCTTATTCCAATGTTTTGCAGATACCTGGAGTAGCCATCCCTGATCAAAATGGATCATCTACTGCTAAAACAAGAATCCAAATGGTTTTGAAGAAATACGATTCTTCATCTATGTTTCCTGCTCAAGCAAGTGCTTTAGGGGTGCAACCAACGATTATATGCCGGAAGCAGTTAACAAGAAGGGAGAGGATGCATGGTCAGTTTGTAAATTCATGTAAATTGGTGTTCATAAACTGATCGAGAATTTTGGGATGGTTGTCCAGAGATCATGTGGTTTGATTTTTGACACCATTGGACTTCTGGAAATGTTGATGACTCAAGGCAAAGCTGTAGATGTTGAAGCTGTTCATCAACACATACAGTTATATATTTTATTGGATCATTGTCATACAATGTTTTTGTGTAGGTAATTAAAATGGCTGCCTACAATTTTTACATACATTATTTGTTTCAGGCAGGCCACAAAAAGACTACCATCGATTTGTCTGTGAAGGGGTAACTTATTTTCAATCCTATATAATATATGATGATATCTTTGCATTCTCCCTCATATCTCTTATGTTGAGAACATGATTCACCAGCCTTGTTTTCTTCTTTTCCATGTTTCGTCTCTTTTTTTTTTTCTATCATAATCTGAATCAAAACAAGTCAAAAGACAGCAAAAACAAACTCAAATCCTCGAAATGGTGTGAAGGGCTTCTTCTCAAGCCCTGTGGCTCCAGAATTCCAAGTAACCAGGTTTGGCATTGCTTTCCTTTCAGATTCAACCCAATTCTCCAAACCCTTTAAAACCACTAATTTCACCTCAATTCCCTTTTTCAAACCCCTCAAAACCACCAATCTCCACCAAATTTCAAAACCCCACCTTTTAAGCCTTGTCTATCCCACATTTCCCTCCAAAATTCCAATTCTTTTGGGGTTTAAGATTGCAAATCCAACAACTTTAGGCCCCAGAAACCAATTTCAAAAACTTAGCTGATAAGGGGTTAAAGACTCCGGTATGGAGACCAATGTAGTGGACTCCGGTGGCGGCGGAGATAGAGATGACGGGAAGGTAGAGAAGAAAAGTGACCCACCAATTTTAATATATTATTACAGAAAATATAGATATGGGTCGATCCATCAATTTTCTAAATAAAACTTTAGAAAAAAAATCAGAGATATATATCTCAGAAGCAAAGATCAAAGAAAGTAGTGATGAAAGAAGGGGTCATCAGATAGGAGCGAAAGACTAGGCAGTTGAATAATCATCGAGATTATCAGCTGAACTATGCTTTTTTTAATCATCAATTGACCACTCCATTCAAAAATTTAAAAAATAAAAAACTGAGAAACATAAATTAAAAAAAAATGGTAAATAAATGATCAGGAAACGGGAGAAAGAAAGGTAGAATCAGCCTCATAGAGAAGATTAGGCATTTCAGCATCAAATATTTCAGACATATGCTTGTCATTGAAAATATTTAATCATCGGCCGATTTTGACTCAAAATTATTAGTATTAGCAAATGAAAAAATAAATATTCTGAAATTGAAATAAGGAAAGGGGGACTCAGAATATGGGTGGTGATATATCAGGATGGTCGGCAAGGCTGTTGAAAACAGCCGATTACGACGAACGAGACCTATCAGTTAGAATCGTCACCGTCCCTCTAATCTTTTCTTGAAAAAAAAAAAGGAACAACAACAGAAAATAAATTTCAAAGTAGAACAAAGGAACAAAATTGGGAAAACGGATCTGGGCAGATAAGGAGAGAGAGAAGCTCACAGTAACAGTCTAAGCTATGCCTTACGAGCCATTCAGGCGTAGCTAGTTTATATAGAGACTTGAATGCGAGCTAGGGTTTTGGGGTTGTGGGGTTGGTTCTATTGGGATTTATTTCATTTTTACATTAATATGCGCGGGTGCAAAATCATTCCTTCGGTTGTTATCATATCATACGCCAACTTTCCAAAGTAATGGGCCTGGACCCAGGAAAAAAGCACAATGAATTTGAGCCAAGAGCCCAGGGCTCCAGGAGTAAAATCTGGTCGAGTAAAGTCCAGACAGTCGAACAATGAAGACATGAATATTACCTTAAACTACTTGTTTCAATGGCTTAATGTTCCTAGTCAAACATTAAAAAAAAAAAAAAAATCCCAGAAACTTGGTCCAAATTTTAGGGTGAAACATGATATTCTCATGCCTGCTCCAGCATAATTAAATGAATTTCACTGAATAAAATTCCAGTTTGGTTGCATCGTTTGCTTTCAAAATTTTAGTGCCATGATTAAATAGGAGTACTATTTGCATTTCACTTCCACACATGGATCCTTCAGGCAACTAGTGCAACAACCGCTAGTTGGAATTTGAAACTTCCACGTCCCAAAAGAATGCCGGATTTCGAGACAACCTAGAAGCTGATTGAATCAGCAATTCCAGGCTATAATAACTAAACAGAATCGAAGCTCAAGAACTTCAGAGGGAGAGAGAAACGACGGTAGGTGACAGTGGAACACATTCAGTACAATAACATTGATGTTCTAATTGTTGGAAGAAACATAATCCAGCACCAAAATGCCTGGTCCTGCCCCGAAATTTAGACCAAACTATATTTGAAAGCAAACAGGTTACATTCTATATAAATAAGCAACTGTACATATACCACCAGAATCAGTCAAAGCCAACAAAATTTAAAATCTAATTCCGAATCCTGCATTACCAACACATCGACTGTGTGGGTGCTCTGATGACTAAAATCTGAAATCAGAGAAAATACAATAAACAACTCTACAACTGTCATCTTAAACCTCAGCTTCTGTCAGATTTGCTTCTTTCCAGCGGCAAACATGTATCTAGTGTTGACAGGATCTGGGGCATGGACATCCCCCCGGACACAACAATTTCTGCATGGAAGAACGAATGAGACATAAGCTTAAACTGAAGCAGAAAATGTTACAGTGATGTATTGGCTCCATTCTGTTTTCTTCTTTTTTGAGTTTTGTCATTGTTTTTCATACAAATATCAAATGTTCCACAGTTATAACAGACCACCACTTCATAAAAGAGAAACCATCCTCATGTGAAAAAGCAAATTTCAAGTTGCACCCCCCCCCCCCCCCCCCAAAAAAAAAAAAATCAGCATTGCAATTCACAAGGCTCTCCATTACCCAAAAAATAGGGGAGCAACGCTTATAACAAGACAGACTAATTGGTAATAAGCAAGCAAAATGTAACGCCCACTATTCTTTTTTCCTTGCAATTGTAAATAATGAAAAGAAAAGAAGTTGATCCCTCACCAATTCCTTCACGGACAGATAGATTCGGTCTAATAACATCCTTGATATTGATGAGGAACATATCACCAATATAAAGATGATTTGTGGGAACATAGACGCAACATAGCTCTTCTTCACCAGAGTAGCTCTGCATTTAAAAATAAAAAGAATAAAAACAGCACTCTTGCTATCGCATTGCCTGATATGTCTTAAATCTTACTCTTCCACTGCTCAATTTCTAAAATGGTAGTCAAGCCACCAAATTTCATGTTAATTATTTATAAGACATAGAAGTAGATAATTAGATGTCAAATATTGCCGCTACATGCCTACTGAGATTCAGTTGGGACACCATGACATGCAATGTATTCAATAAGGTTGGGACAAAAACAGAGGAGAATCACAAGCTGTATGTTGCGAAAAAAATTTTTGCACAATGGGCACTCTTTTCCAACAAGAATGGCATGGAAGCAAGAAACATACCACTGGGCAACAAGCAGTCGAGTTTGGTGGGAAGAAATAGTCATGCAGAACATGCATGCCAATAGGATCATGTGAAGCGATTATGAATCAGGAAAATATCAAAAACAGAAGAACCCATGCCAAAATGATAGTTTTGGAACAAAAACTTCATTTGCCCACCTGCAGAGTAACAGATGAAGTGATGAACCCAAATGCATATTCACCAATACGTGGATGCCTTATGATGGCTACTTCCTTGAAGGCCTGTGTGTTCTGATCTGAAACACAATAAATATGCAAAACATAAAAAGTGATGTAGCAATATATTGTCAATACCTGAACCAATTTTAATAATATGGCTGGCTAAACTAATTTATTTCATGTGGAAAAAAATCAGCAGAGCGCACACCTGGAGATATGGCAGAACTAATCTGCTTGGACGCATTGTAGATATGACGAACAAATGGCATCCGCTTGATAAACCACTCACCAAGGCCCAAGACAGATGCTCCCAACCAAGATGACATCAATACCCCAACCAAGAAGATGAATGTTATAGAAGTTATAAATCCAAGACCTGTCCAAGAAGTAGATATCAAGCGACCTGTTAGTTAACCAGATGGTACATACTGTCAAAGGAGACATATTCAATAAAAATGACAAAGATGGATGTTAAGATACATCAGTAATATAGGTAAATCATTTGCAAAGGCCACTCTGGAAAATCCATTCTATCTTTCTTGCCGTACATACCATTTTTAGCAAGATAGCCTGCTTGAAGATATTAGATATGTAAAACTACAATCTAATAAGCACATTTTAAAAGGCTAAATGTCCTGAACAAATATATATACATATATATATATATTTCCATACTATCAAAGTCTAATTCTATGGAAATTTCAGGTGAAGAATAGCATAAGTATCATGTAGGCTGCAGGCATAAGAAAAGTTCCTGCAAAGATGATTGATGATAAAAGAAGATTCCTCCAGTCTTATAGAATACCATCCATGCTCTAACAATAATCACTGCTATTATCCATAATCTCTCAAAAAATTGCAGGTACTATAATCCTCATCATTTGGAAGCCTTAAACAAAGAGAAAAATTGTTTACAAATTCAAAGATCCAGTTAAAAGGGGGGGGGGGGAGAGTAAAAAGATTTTAAAATTATGAAACAAGTTCACAGGTCTAGTTGGGAAGGGCAAAGAAAAGTTTTTAGCTGCTAACTAATGAGATGCTTACCGAATATATCAATTCCAAGTTGAGCATAAATTGGAGAGAAAAAGCCATCCACAAAGTGAATAAACCACCACGTTATGTAGAAAGTGATTGCTATAGGAAACAGAATGACACTGCAAAACAACTATGTATCAGCAGCTGCTATGACAACATTATAACTAATAACAGAAATTCCATAAGGTAAGATTCCTTAAACATGATGGCAAGAACTACCATTTCTGAGTTCATCAAATAAAAGGTTAGCACAAATTCATGATGGCAAGAACTACCATTTTGTAAGATGATAGATAAATAGCAGAGGAATTTCAAGAGAACCAACCATTTTATGAGAATTTTATGAGGAGAAAAAAAGTGGAAAGAAGAAAAGAAAAGAAGGTATCGGAGTGGTAACAGAATTATGGCTTACCATCCTGTCATGAACTTCTTAGAAGCCCAGCTCCTGATGACTTTGTAAAATGTCTGCACAAAACAAAGCTTCTCAGGCAGTTTTCTTTGTTTTTTTTTTAAAAAAAGAAATGTACACACGTCATTACATGAGTGCATAGACAAGCATAAGCATACAGTTCCTATACAGGCAACAGGCTGAAAACATTGTTTTGAAAGATTTCATTACAAACCGTAACAATCTTCTTAACCCATTCCATCAAGCAGAAAAAGTAATGCCATCAAGTCTCACAAGCAGAAGGGTGACTTCAAATTCATGCCTATAATTCTATAACCTAAATCTATTTGAAGGCATTTACAACGGGGATTGAATACAAAGATACAACTAACGTATACTCTCTGTTATGGGCTTTAACATGCTTTACAGCATTTTAAGCTGAAAAAAAAAATATCAGATACATTCGAAACCTCTCAAAGAAAAGGCAATCATTATAAAAAATGTTGAGCAAACCCTGTTTTGGTCTCATCTGCTGATAATAACTTTTCAAAAAAATTACAAGAAAAGAAAAGGAAAAAACATTTCCTCATTTTTAATAGCTCCACTAAATTATGCTTAATCCTAGATCACAATACCAAGTCAAACACAATAAAACAATTCAATTTCCATAACTCTTCTAAAATAAAAATTTCTCAATTAAAAATCAATTCGAAACATTCAAATACTCTCTATTAACAACCAATTTATTCAAACAAAATCACATTAAGCTCCATTATCTAAGTACTGATTTACAAAATGTAATTACAACCTTACAATTAGCAACAAAAACAGCTGCAGACCAAGTCAATAATTAATCACAAAAGTAACGCCCATTAACAACCAAAACTCTGTTTAAAAAACAATTAAAAGAAAGGAAATGAAAAAAAAAAAAAAGGAGACCTCGCGGCCGGCGTGATGCGAGGAAGAGGAAGAAGAAGAAGGTTTGGAGGAATCATCATGGATAGAGTCAGCGACCGGGATTAGAAGCTCTCGATCTCTACTCGCCATCACGATCGTTGATTTCTCATCTCCCATCACCAGAAAACCCCGCTACTAATCTCCTTCTCAAGACTCCCAAAAACCCTAGCTCGCTTCGACCCTTTCTCCCAACTCACTGTTTATTAGTCAAGAAGAAAAAAAAAAAAAAAAGACATTTGAGATGAGGGAAGACTCTTCGAAATCAGCTCCCTCAATTTATTTAATTTGAATTTATTTTAAATGTATTAATAAAAGAATAAGTGTAAAACAATGGGGAAGTCGAGGTTTTTTTTCAAGGAGATGTTGGTGTTTTTTTAAACACTAATCATAGGGTTAAGGGCGGATTAATCCAAGTTTAATCAGGATTAAAGTTAGGGCTTTAGGGGGTTAATTTTTTAACTGAGTTGTTAGTACCGATTGCTGTTGTTCTGTTGTGGATGAGCTGTCGATGATTACTATTGGTTGCCAGCATTTCGCCTCAAAGGTCACATCTGTAATCCAGAAAATATAATTGTTTAATTTAAATCAAAGATCATGCATGATCTTTGATTAAATTTGATTCCAATTATTATTGATTAAAATTATATATAAAAAAAGCTCTTATTAGTAGAAGGTTGATGAAATTGAAGCATGCATGCCAAAACAATCATTATTATTCATATTTCACAATTAAAAATATTTTAAAATTCGATAATAATGTGATTTATGGATAAAAATAATTCAAATAAAAAATACCTTTTAATCACGAAACTTACCAATACAATTCTAAGTTGAAGGCCAATACAAACATTAATGTTGGTCAATAGTTATAGGTTTCGAAAATTAAACCCATAAGTTTGACTCCCTCCATCACTCGATTTTTTTTTTTTTTTTAAATTTAGTGTTATAATATCGGGTTCTTAAAATTGTACCAAAAAGGATTAAGCTCAACTAAAGTTTGAAAATATTATATATAAGAAAAACCAAAAATTAACAACAATGATGAAAAACACCTGTAAAAAGTTTGCTGTTATCAAAGATTGGGCTACAGTATTTTAAGAATTAAAAAATAAATTTGATTATTTTAAATATAATATAATGATATGATATAAAAATAATATAAATAAAAAATTTGATTTAAAATTTTAATAAAAATTATAAATAAATTTAATAAAATAAAAAATATATTTTATATTTTTATATGAATTATAATACTTAATTTTTATGTAAAATATAATATAAAAATATAAAATTTTAATATTTTATATGATATAAATTAATAATTATTTAAATGAATATAATTATTTTAATTTATTCGATAAATAATCTCAATTTATGACCCATTACTATGCAGGCCTTGATTGTAATAGGCCCAGTTCTTATGACAATGCGACAGATTCTGCAATTTTTATTTTTTTTTCAAAGTTTTCTTCTTAACTCTTCGCCGTCCGGAAATTGCAACTAAATGACGCGGCGCCCAGAAAATCTAGAATATGTACACTTGTTACGCAAACGACCTTTGAAGAGGCGCCACATAAGTTATTCGACCGTCCAATCCAGTTTTGAAACGACGTCGTGTTCAGTAACGGTTTCAATTTTTCTTTCGTATTTTCCTTCCAAGTTGTATCATCCAAACAAGGAATTTTATTTTCAACCTTGCGTTAACTATTTGCCTTCTAATTTTTTTACGAGGCAAACAGGACCTTATTGTTCCGTATATTTTCCAAACAATTATAAGCTAAACACCTTTCTCTTCTATATAATTGTGGAACATAGAAGCTTCTGGTTTTAACGTTGTGTTCACTTTTTGCTCATATTTATAGCTGCAGAATGTCAAATGATATACATCCATAGAACAAAGTTGAGGAACAGAACCCTTTTGTGTGAGAGGGCAGAGCAGAAAGGAGATGTTGGAAGGCAAAGCTATGATCAGAGAAGATACAAAGTCAAGCTATGGCTTCTGCTTCTCAAGCACTTGATTTCTATGATGTTTCTGACTGCATCTCAATTGCTGCTCATATCAAAGGGGGTGTTTACTAATAACTAGCTAGTTTTTTATTTTCAACATACTTTTTTTTTCTTTTCATTTTATCTATGCTGTTAGCTAGTTTCGTATGAAAGAAGTTAGTGTTACAAAGTACAAACTTGGTTTTTGGAAGTTAGAATATGTATGCTCATTTGTTTAGATTGGTGGGGCTTGGAATTTTTTCATGAATTTGAAGAGAAATATGGAGGAGGATGGTAATGTGTAATGGGTTAAAACTTTGGGTGCTTCTTCACTCATACGAAAAGGACTTTTGTTCATTTTGCTCTGGGGACCCTCAATTTCCTTATCTTCAAGGAAGCATCTTCTTAATATAATGAAGATAAGAAGAGTTAGAGAGGAGGCCGAAGGGCAGCCAGCCAGCCAACCAACCAACCAACAACTTTATTGGTCATCAGGGGACATGGATTCAGGGTAAAGATGCTGCTGCCAAAGTCTCAAAGGGTTCTGTTCAAATGGTAGACTAGTAGTTAAAATGTCGTTATCTTATTCTTCTGAATAGGTACGTAGAGAGGCACAGACACTGTACTCCAAATTTACGTATTTGCAATTTATCAGAAGTAGGGTAAGGGATTCTTGATTTCAGCTGCATGTGATGAAAATAAATACTATGGAATTAGAATATTGTTATTAAGAAATCCATTGTTTGTTATAGGGTGGTTGTCTCTTTCAATGGGCAAGCTGCCTGTCCTTGTCGTAGACTGAACAAATGATGAATAAAGATGTATGATTGAGCCTTGAGTAGCTGTCATTATCCAAAGGGATCGAGTCAGTCAAGCATGGAATAAGACAATGGTAGTGCTGTGCCCTTCTGAAATTTAAGCCTTACACGTGGAAGTGTAATGGTTGATTGAGTAAATATTGGGCCTGAATAAGTAAATGGGCAGGTTTTCTTTGCTTTTTTTTTTTTTTTTTGGTGGGGGAGGGGGCAAAATTGAGTTCCTTACACTAGGTCATATGATGTATTTCAAGGAAGTATTAACGAAATATATGATAAATCTAATTCATATTTAGAAAAAAAAAATTGGGTTATATACATGTTTCAATATATTCATCTAGATATCAATACATCTAGGTGCCAGGCTTTAACTCTTCAAGTGGCTGAAATCTAAATTTACATTTTTTTCACTCATAGCAAGGAAAATTTCACAGTTGAAATATAATTTTGAATCCAAGATATGGCCAACACTTCCAAATCTGCCTCCTTTTATCAACCAAAGTAAGCTTATTTACAATGCAACGCTGATCACTTGAACCAGTGATCTGTTGAACCCTTTAACAAAATTGGTAAAGCAGAGCTTAGGCATAAATCTCCTCAATTAACCCGCCCAATAGTTGCTTCCCTATATCATCCACTACTTGCATTTTGTCATCCACAGAAAATCCTTTCTTCCAACCCAAGTCCCATATTCCACTTAAAATTTCACTGCACTTTATATCTCTTTCCAGCATTGCGTAAAGACTATCGGTAGGATAGTTTTCACCAGCAGGTTCACTATAGCTTCTTAGAGCCTCAACACTGTCACAAGTTTCCTTCAATAAATGTTCCAGATAGATATGACTTTTGGCATTTCCAACCAGGGTTAATAAGGGAGGGTGGACCATTAGAGAATCAGGAAAGCTTCTTCGTCGAACAATTTCATTTGCGCAATCCAAGGAGAGTTGTGTGTTGGCATCTATGAAATCACCGATGCCAAGTTTTTGTGAAGTTGTAGGAACATTCACATGAAGATAAAAAAGCTCCTCTGCATGACTGAGAAAAGATGGACTGCTCAGTAGCAAAGCTTTTAGACTGGTCCCTCTCATGAAGCTTTCAGTGTTGGTTCCAATTGGAATGATGGGGTCATCATCAATGTCTCCCATAGATTTACTGTTGCTTTGATCATCAGTAGTCACCAGCGTAACATCACAGACAGAGCTCTCGCTGTTAACTTGGTGTTCTACAAAAAAAAAAAAGGAAAAGAAAAGAAACTATATTGTTAGGTAAGCATCTACATTCTGCGTAAGTACAGGAGTATTTTTTTCTAAACTGAAATATTAGAATGTATTTTTCCGATTCCATTATATGGTTACGTAAGAGGCAGTTCGCAGTTCATTCTAAACATATGTCATCAAAATGGGGAAAAAAGAATATTTATGTGAAGAAATGGAAAAAACACCACCTATGACTTGGAGGTCCTAGAATGTTTTCTCATTCATTCCTCCCATAAGTTTCTCTTTAAATAACTATAATATAAAAGCATATCTTGTTCTAAATTTGTTCTCAAGCTACATACTTTTTTTTAAAGGTTAGATAATCTGAGTTAAAAGTCATGAACCTCAATATGATGGTGGCTTTCATATCTTATGTTGTTGATTGCTTTGAATTTTTTCCCCAAAAGTTCTTGCTGGAGAGCAGAGGTGTCAGCATTAGAGTAGAGAATCAGCAAATTTCACCATGTAGTTATTTAACTATGACATGCATTTTACATTCAATTAAATCAGAAAATACAGGTCTGTATGTATTTAAATCTCTAGTGTGAGCAAATGGTAGCTGACTAATGTCATCTGGAGCACTGTGCTTTACTAAAATTTCTGTCAAAAAGGGTTACCTCTAATGTGAATATCAGTGTGTTTTGATCCCTCTTTTATAGGAAGTTGATCTGCAGTTTCAGTGCTATATCCGTCCAAAACAGTATCATTTTCTGATGCAAGGTCGATCCTCATTCCTTCCAAAACAGTATCATTTTTTGATATAAGATCAATCCTCTTTCCTTCCAAAACAGTATCATTTTCAGATGTAAGATCAATCCTCTTTCCTTCCAAAACAATATCATCTCCTTTGCATTCTAATTTCTCAGTCTGCACAGAAGATAAACTGAAATTAATTTTCAATCCTCTTTTCATAATGCATGTAGCAGAGGCATTTCAAATCTCATATGTAAACATGCTGTTTGACGAAATTTAGAATTATAAATGCAGAATCTAAACTTAAAAGGACTCACAATTAGTTTAGCAGCTGTAGCCTTGCTCACTGCCTTTTCCTTCTTGGTTGGACTCTTTTTCCGATCGTTGGGACCACGAACTATAGTTTTTGGTGTGCAATTAGAGTTGGACTTTGCAGTAGCGCTTCGCTGATGAGGCACTCTATTTTTTGTAACATTTGATCCATTATCAGGCTTACTGGGCTTTGGAGGGGTAACCTTGGCTTGATCTTTAGACCTTGATAAATTATTTGCTTTTGCAACCTCCTTCTCAACTCGTTTCCTGCTGCTTATGGCAGGTTTTGGTTTCTTGTCAGTTGCCTCTTTCTTCAGCGATGGCTGAGTTACAGGACCCGAGCTTTTCATCTTAATAGAGAGCCTCTCTTTAATTTTTACTTCTTTTTTCACTGGGCTGGCCTCTTTCTCTTTGCTGTCTTTAGCACCTTCCTGCTGGCTAAGTCTCTTGACTGGAGTTTCTTCTGCCTCCATTCTTCTTCTCAATTCATTGAAGTTCAAACCTCTATTGTTGGAGTCGCTTATTTTGGAAGAAGGCTCTTTTGCTTTCACTTTTTTGAGCATAGTTTCTGTGTTTAAGCTTCCCTCCTCCTTAAACTCTGGCACAAACTTCTTTTGTGGTTGCAAGTGCGGATCATATCGAGGTTTTATGAGAACAATAGGTGGGCAATCATCAATCAACCCCTGTTCAGAAAAGAAGTCACTCGATTGATGGGAATCAGGCTTAATCTCTTTGATGGAGTTGCTTTTCAGAAATCCTTTAAAATGCATGGTCTCAAGGATGTCCTTCAGTCTCCTCTCTGGATCTTCCTTCTGCGACTTCCTTGCTTTTGGCGTATCAATTTCAAAGATAGGCCTCTGTTGACTGAAAATCTTCTTATTCTCCAGTTCTTTCTGGGAATTTGTCTGCAATGGTTTTGAAGGCATTTCTTCTAGGCCCATAAGCTTCGCGATCAAACTTGGGCCTCTTGCATTCTTCTCTGGAGCTGCTGATGAGATAGATAAATCCATGGAAGTAAAGTTGTTTGTTAGGACAGTTGCAGATTGGCTCGAGCTTGTGGATGGGATATCTGAAGCTGAGTCCGGATATCTTCCACTAAAGCATCTCTTTTCTTCAGCATTTACGTTTGGCGATAGATTTTGCCTAGCTAGGCTGTCTCTTATCACTTTCCTAAGCTCCTCAATGCAATCTCTTGAAGAACCATCGGCAGAAAGGCGATGATTCTGGATTCCCATTAGGTAATTTTGCTCTCCAACTGGACTTGAATTCGTTCTCTGAATCACTTGATCATTTCTCACCTTATCACATTTTTCCTTTTCTTTCTTCTTGAACCTAGCCATACAATGAGATGCCTCTTGCAATTTCCCAAGCATGTGTAAAGAGTCTTGCAATTCAAGAGCTCCTTTCAACAAATCTTTTGCTATATCTTTCGAATGGCCATCACACCAAAGCCCTTTGGACCACGAGTCAATTACCTGATTCAGCTTGTGAGCTCCTCTTGAAACCTCCATGAGCTGACAGGAAGATGAGCTATGAAGTTCTTCTTTAGACACCGTCTCTTCTCTCTGCCCCTTACGCAACAGATATTGGTTTGATCGGTTCTGTGCTTTTCGGCCTTCATTCTTTTGCTCCATCTTCCCAGAACCACTTTTGGACGTTCTAATTGTTCTGCACTCTACGACTCCCTTTGGATCATAACATGTAACAAATGATCTGTACACAACTGATCTCAGACTGTCTTGAGGCATATTCTGTCATAACAAATATAGTTATAAAAGTCAGATGCTTACAAATACTCAAAGACCAAATCCACCAATGCGAAATATTTCTCATGAGATGATGCTTACATGTTCTTTATATTCTAATCAATCTTTTCAATGATTATCTGAAACAGACAAAAGCAACACTTGTTCGGCTCTGAAAACAACATGAGCAAAAAACTTAATCAGTTGCCGCCCCAATAAACAAAACCAATGTCATTAAAAAATGAAAAAAAAAAATCTATTTACCTTGGAAATGTTTCAATTTTTTCAATACTTATTAGTGCACAAGAACCTGAATTCCTATTTATCAATAAAACCAATTCTCTCTCTTTCAGTTTCATCCAATACTCAGAAGTTCAGAACCAAGAATGAAAACAAAACCATCCCAAAAGAAAGAAGACCCAGATGAGAAAATGCATGTAAAAATGAAAAACAATCAAGACACAAGAATTCATGCAGGGAATACTGACCTGCGCTGCAAGTGATCAGCTAGCAGAGACTCAGATCCAAAGAGAAAAACAAAGCAGTCAGGTTCGCATTGACTTTGTGAAGAAGTGAAAGAGAGTGTTCAGGGGGCTTTTGGTTTTCTTCCAAAGCAAAGAAAAAGAGTCTGAAACAAATATAGTTTATTTGTTCAGTTTCGTGGGAAAAAAGAATATAATGAAATGATTTAGTAAGATTATTAAGCGGCGTGATTTCATGGGAAACGACTTTTAGTTATTTTTCTCGTACGCGTGTTGCAGAGAGAGAGAGAGAGAGAGAGAGAGAGAGAGAGAGAGAGAGAGAGAGAGAGAGAGAGAATCTGTTCAAACGCACGACGACGAAGGGATGGTAAGTTTGCAGACTAATCTCTCCTCTTTAACTTGTTCTTTAACTGCCACCTTATATGGACGGTTCACATTATCACTTTTTTTAAAAAATCTTTTTAAATTATGATATATAAGTTTTATTTTTTTTACCAAAAATAAAATGCTTTTCTTAAAATAATGAAAATTTTAATAAATATAAAATTTTCTAAAATCATGAAAATTGTAAAATTAGGATAAAAGAAAAAAATACAAATACTATATTTAAATTTTAAATTTGTTAAATACTTAATTTTAAAAATAATTACATAAATTAAACGAGTTAAGTTTTGAATAATAATTTTGTATCCTAAACTATTTTTATTTAGTTGGTCCAGAATCTAATTAGTAATTTATACAAACAAAGTATTCAACTGTGCATATTTTTTGTGCATGAGTTTATTATTCGCGTTTATATATATATAAAATTATGATAAGATAATTTTATAAATAAAATTAAATTAAAAATATCATTTTATTTCATATTTGATATGTACAAGAATTAAGATATGATAATTTATTTATTTGTCAAAATTATTTTTTTTAAAAATTTATATAATTTAAATTATTGATAAATTTTTAAAAATATAATATGACATGTAAATTTAATTTTATGAATTAAAAATAATTCTTTTTATTTTGAAAGAATTAAATCATTTTATACAAAAAATAATAATCTTCATTGTAATCTTATCTCTTTCAATAATTATCATATTATCTTATCTATTATTTTAGACACCAAACATGACTTTAATTCATTACATAAAAAAAAAAAAAAAAAAACCTACTTACTAATATTATGAACAAACCCTTTTTCATGGTTTTTCAATTGAAGAGTAGAGGAGGTTGGGTTTTTGTCTTAAGAGGTGCAATTATCAGTGGATTAAAAAAAGTATAACTACTAGTATTAGAAAAGGCAAAAGATACAAAGAAGAATCAACTAGCTAACTATAATATTCCAAAAGAAATTGAACACTTGAAATAAACAAACCAAAAAAAAAAAGTGTTACAGCTCAGAACTTCAAATCTTTAATTTGTCCAAAATCTTTACCTCCAATCAGCTGACTTGAGTGACCAAAAATTTCGCTTACTTGTTGCTAATCTTGAAACCAAATTGGTAACATGGTGCTACTGTTTTTGAGGTGGAAAAAAGAAGAGGCCTAACCAACCACTACTTATATGAGCCTATATTATTAGCCTCAATGAATTTTTTTTTTTTTTTACATGTCATTGCCTTGAGATTTTGGGTTAAGTTTTAAAATTTAAAATTTAAAATTATCGAATATTATCTTTTAAAATTAAATTAAATTTCGGATTCATAAATTTGAGATTTTATTATTTAAGTAAGAAGTTATATTTTGTTTACAAAACCCTAAACTCTGATGCTACTTTACATGGAGGTATCCTCCTTTTAACTAAATAGAAACAAATTCAAATGGTTGAGACACCTAACTCATTTGAAAATGGAAAATTTAAACAATGCAGGCTTTAAATTTTTTTAAAAACAGTTACCAAATGAAAGAATCAAGCCTTTGAATGTTGGAGTTTTTTTCATTTACATCATCACCTACCAAAACTGTTCAGTCTTAATTTACCATAGTACACTACTACATTGAAGTTCTACCTCTCAGTAAAAATCATGGGTTCACAATGCTTTGAAGGTAAGGGAAAGGATCGATTAAAGCAATATCAGAAAAAAAAGTAATGGCAGTAGTGGTTTGTGGTTTTTCCTAAACAAAAACCACTCGAAGTGCAATCACATTATTAATTAAATGAACTTTTAATTTACTCAAGATTTACCTTTGTTATCTGGGTTTTGCAGTGAGCAGGTCAAAATTATCAGAGCTGAAAATATTGAATGAGTTTAATGCAGTCAAAGGACTCTTGCAATGTATACATATGTATATGATAGTGGTAATGAAATTGAATCCTCACCTCTTCTTTTTTTGCCCCCTTATTTTGGCTGGTGCACAGGTACTCAGGTTATTGGGTCAGCCATGCTTTAAATTTCAAAATTCTTTTACTAACTTGGACTATTCAGCCTAGAAAGTTATCTGCAATTTGAAATGAAATTGACAGAACCCTTTTGCCCATGCGCTCATGCTGACATTCGTTTGAGATCATCTGATCTCTACTTCAAGTTATCAATAATAGTATTGATGCGAGCTCTGAGTTTAAGGTTAAGACTTGAAATCACAAAAAAAATAAATAAATAAAAGTAAAAACAATAAGTTTTTTTTGTATTTATATGTGGACGTTCAAGCCAAAAATTAAAATATGAGATGTCAAAAAAAAAAAAAAAGAAAAAAAAAGAAAAGTTAGATTAAATTAATAGTATTTAAATGATTTTATTTATAAATAGAAAGTGAATGGTTTTAAGATAAAAAGTGATGTGATTGAATTGATGTGATATTGTATATATTAAATCGATTTAAAAATAAAAATTATTTTTAATTATTTATTAATAATTTTTAAAAAAAAAAATTAATTTATCCTTAGAATCTAAAAATACCCTTACCCTTGATATAATTTTCTTTTCTTTTTTTTTTTATTTTTTATTTCAGGCTATCGATGACAGATATTTCTTTATGAACCATGAATCCTTACCTGATTCAGCTTTTAAGCTCCCATTGAGACCACTAAAACATTTGCATCAAATATTTAACGACAGTTGCACAAAACACATCATATGATTTCTCAGCAAGTGGTGATTATATGATTCATTAGCCATTGATTACCCCTGACTAAGATTAAGAAGCCTACAATTCTTGTTAAGGGTGAGAATTTTAGTGAATTATGTTTGTTCCCTTGCTCAGCCTAAATTTTAAATCTCTGACAAAAGAATTTGTCACTGTCCCTATGGCCAATAATTTAAAGCATAAAATACAACAAAATATCCTTTAATTACGGATCAAAATGGTCTTCACAATCACATCATACCTCCCCCTTTAACGGGGCGGTGAGCACATGCAATTTATTTTGCTATGTTTGTAGTTTTTTTAATGTAATTAGGGCACAAAAATTTTTTTTTAATAAAAAAATTGTAACTGATAATTACACAAAAGTTTCCTACTCCCATAAAAGAAAACGCAAGGGAATATAAAAAAAAAAAAAAATACCCCTTTTAATTTCTTCTTTTAAATATAAATTTTGTCGTTGGGGCATGTGAAATGTGAAGACAAAGTTACTATGGCCCTGGTAATAGTTATGTCTCTTAATTTCTCGAGTTATACAAAGAGATGTAAAGGAAGAGCGGGAAATTGAACCTTCAATCTTAATTTTTTTTGAATAAGAATAACAACCATTAATAGAAGCTCCAGTTGTTGATTCGTCGTGGGAATTATTGTCCGCCTTTGATTTTAAATGCATGTGATTAAACATACAAAGTTGATGACATTTGACAATTTGCAGCCATTTTAGATTTCCAAATTTGTAATGATCAAATTCACAATCTTGTTAGATTTGGTCAAAAATTAAACTGTTCGGTGAAAGGAACATTGATGACAACATTGAACAAAAGTGAAGTCATTGGTGGATATTAATTAATGTCTCGATTAATTAAGGTAATATTTTGTGAAACATAAAGATTTTTTTTTTTATATAAAGAAATCGTATTTAAGAGATAAAAAAATTATAAAAATTTGAATTTATACTCAAATTTATTGGGCGTTATCTTTTAAAAGTAAAGCGAAAAGATTTGTGATCATATTATTATTTTTATTTTAATTCTCTAAATTTTCTCCAACCGAAGAACTGTCACAGGCAATTGAACAAAATTTTACTATAATGGGGTGCTATAAGGGAGGGAAAGTTAGTTAAAGCAGTTGAGTTCGTATGTTTTCCCCGGGCATTTTGCCAGCATTTACCTGTCTCAACAATTGACTCTTTTTTAGACAAAAACCCTTCAAAATTACCATCTTTGTTGTTTATATTTGATGTTTCTTTGTTAGACTAACCAACCCTCAAATTTGTTTCTGAAACAGGCACACCACATTCTCTTGCTGCAAAAACAAAAAACAAGATTAACCACTCGAAGCTCTATCTCTTCAACCCTGAAGAATCAGATAAACCCTTTCATTTTCAATCGCCAGCCTCTCATTTCAAGGGAGTAGTTCTCCTGTTTTTACCTTTTTTTCATACAATATAATATTGTTATAACTAAAAAGTGAAGGACTAGACTTTTCTTTTCTTTTTTTATAATCATTTTCACCTTAGTTTCTTCTTTGTTTTTGTTGTTAAACAAAGAAGAAACACGAAGAGAAAGAAGCTTGCATTGACAATGGTTCGAACATTGACACGTCGGTTCAGCATTCAGAACTCGAAATCTTTCCACATTAGGAGAATGGCTTCAGGAAGGCTGCAGCAGAATCTGATCCCAGATGGTAATGATGTGGAAGATGTTGATGATAACCTGCAATCAAGGGGTATAGACACAAGAAATGCAGAAGACCAATCGATGGAGCAACAGAACGTAGGAGAGTCTGGGACAGGCACTCCCCAGGAGATGCCACAATCAGGTGCAGTTCAGCATCTTGTTTTGGTTGATCACCATAGCTGCAATTCATGTTCCATTAAAATTCTGTCTTATTCATTGCTATTTGATAAGTATTACAACAATCCAGAATTGAATTAAAACTGGTTTGTCTTAATCTTTGTGCTGCAGCTATATAAATATTTTAAGTTCTCACGATATTGCCAAGTGAGTGAGAATTTATTTGCGAACAAGAAAGCTAATTTTTCATACATAGATATCAATATCAAATCAACCCATAATTTAACTCAATTGATTTATGTAATTATTTTTAAAAAATAACATGTAATCATTATAAGAAAGTAACATCCAATAAATTTCATCTCTTTTTTAATATATATATGATGGTAATGATTCTTCAAATAATTTATTTTATCGTTGATACAGATATGGAACTGATGAAGGAAAGGTTTGCCAAGTTGCTTTTGGGTGAAGATATGTCAGGAGGAGGAAAAGGTGTTTCTTCAGCTTTAGCTTTATCAAATGCAGTGACAAACCTAGCAGGTAGAATATTATATTCCTGTCTAAAATCTAATTATCAAGTGCATGCGTTTTCATATAGAAATATATAACATGGAAGCGTCAGGTTTCACAGATAACCATAGTGCGTTCTGGCTTTTCCCTTTCATCCCATGATGCAAAAATATTGATCATTTTGAGCCTATCGGTAGTATTATAATATATATTTTACCAGTTTAATGGTGGTTCTCATTCAAATCTCTCTGTTGGCCAATTGTAATGCAGCATCCATTTTTGGAGAACAAGGGAAATTAGAACCTATGGCTCCAGAAAGGAAAGCACGGTGGAGAAAAGAAATGGATTGGCTTTTATCTGTAACTGATCACATTGTTGAATTTGTTCCCTCACAACAGAAATCGAAGGATGGAACACACATGGAGGTACACATCTCACTCGTAATTTAAGCAAGCAACATTACAAGTCACAATTCACCATACTAACTCCCAACAATTTGTTTCAACTTTATAGATAATGGTCACAAGACAAAGGAGCGATCTGCTTGTGAATATACCTGGCCTGCGCAAACTCGACACATTGCTTATTGTGGGTATATTTGTCATACAGTCTTCTAACCTGATAAAATCACTTGATAATATAGAAAGGATTAACACCATGGTTTCCGATCAAATTATAATGAACAGGAGACTCTTGACAACTTTGGACAAGAAAAAGAATTTTGGTATGTGTCGAAAAATGATGATCAAGAGAAAGAAAACAGTCAGAGGGTTGACAAATGGTGGCATCCAACTGTTAAGGTTCCTGCAAATGGGCTATCAGAAAAATCACGAAGATGGCTGCAGTCTCAAAAGGATTCTGTGAGCCAGGTGCTAAAAGCAGCTATGAACATCAATGCTGAAGTCCTTTCTGAAATGGAGATCCCTGAAAGCTACATTGATTCTCTCCCCAAGGTAAGGAAATGAAACTCTCCGTCAACTAAAACCTTTAAGAGTTTTTTTAACTTTGATTGATCTTCTCCATCATGTCTATGTAGAATGGAAGAGCAAGCCTTGGTGATTCAATCTATAAAAGCATCACAGTGGAGTACTTTGATCCTGCACAATTCCTGTCAACCATGGACTTGTCAACAGAACACAAAGTTCTTGACCTTAAGAACAGGATTGAGGCCTCTATTGTTATTTGGAAGAGGAAGATGCACCACAAAGATGGAAGGTCTTCTTGGAGTTCAGCTGTCAGCATGGAAAAGAGAGAACTCTTTGAAGAGAGGGCAGAGACTATCTTACTCCTACTAAAGCAGCACTTTCCGGGACTTCCGCAATCTGCACTTGAGATATCTAAGATCCAATATAATAGGGTACAGAAAGCATTGCAACTGCGTTTTATCTTTTCCTCAATGTATTCAAGTTTGATAAACTTATTTACCTTTGAACTACACAGGATGTAGGACACGCTATTCTGGAGAGCTATTCTAGGATTCTAGAGAGCTTGGCTTTCACAGTCATGTCAAGAATTGAGGATGTCCTTTACGCTGACTCCCTTACTCAAACATCATCAGCATCACCAGCAAGCTCTGAAAACTCCTCAAGCAACGAGGAAGATGCAGCCAGGATGAGCACATCAGAGACACCAACACTCTCAGATTTCATGGGATGGGATATTGCTTCCGCAAAGAGTAATTCAAGTGATCTAGAAATCTACTTTAAGGGTGATCATGATAAAAAAACGTCCAAGCCTCCACTTAGCTCCACCCCAAAAAAAGCTTCCCATCTAGAGAAGCTTGAAAACTTTAGTGGCCTAAGAAGCCCAAAAGCTCGCGATTGATTGATAACGGATAACCTTAGAAGAAAGGAAACAAGAGGAAGTAGAAGAAATGGGGAAGAAAAGGAATGATGCAGGGGAGACAAAATAGACGAAAACCAAAAACAGATAGTTAGAAAGCTGACCTTGTGTATATATTCAGCCCCATGTAGGAATCCATTGGGGTAGTAACTTTCTAGAACTTTGCATTCTTCTTTTTCCCGAATTTGGACAGGAAAGTGAATACATTAACTTAAGATATCAGCATTCGGGAACTGCTTTCAGGCAGTCTTCATCTCTACTTACTGTCAATCATCTGGTTTAGGTATGCAGCTTTTGCCTTCAATGTGCAATGAAACTTTTGGTTTGCTCTACAACCCTGCTTAATTTGTAAATTTCTCATCTTTTCAGCTTCATTTTTCAGATTGTATCATTTTCAGAAACAGCAAAGAAAGATTCACAATTAAAAGTCTAATACAAGTTGTAATTTCTTTTTCAAATCCAATAAACCTCTAAGCATAATATTTATGACGCCCTTTGTCAAAAAGTTAAGCAAATATCATATAATATCAATATTAAAATATCAAAATTGGGTTTAAATCCGAAATTTGCATTCCAAAGAAGTGTTTACTATGGAAAATCATATTTGCTCGAAAAGGTTGGGGGAAAGAGTCATTACGGAGATGGACTAAAAACCAAAAATACTTGCTACATAAATTTCAAATTTGCTTCTAACAGGCAAGGTGACTGCAGCATGTATAGCATCAGCAAGATGAGGAACAGTCTTGGAACTAAGACCTGCCATACTAATCCTCCTGCAAAGAAGAAAAAATTAATTTGAATCAATATTTACCAAAGTGCCAGTTAAATTAGGCACTTACAGATTGATATTACCAGGCCAGACAGTTTTTGGGAACAATAAAAGTGTTATAGGGTTCATGGAATATACAAACTTCAGAGAATCAGAAGCCCCCATTTGCAAGAACTCAGTAAGATAACAATATCAACTATTCAACGAAGTTCAGATTTAGGGATACAGTAAATAAAACAGAAGAAGAGACCGCCAGATTTCATGTTGTAATCCCTTGGCATAGCGTGTGGAGAGCAGGGCAGGTGGAGAGTCAAGGAGGAAGAGAATACCAAACTATGACTAGAATATATACTGATTCATTTTAGGGAGGTATGGTGATAATTTCTTAGCAATAAACTTTCATTTTAGGGAGGTATGGCGATAATTTCTTAGCAATAAACTAAATTCAAACAAAAACAACTTTATCATAGCTGTAAAGAAACTCTCTTCAAGTTGAATGAAAATGTTAAACCATAGTTCAACATTTATCATATCTATGTCAAATGATCCTTCATAAATGATTAAGATTCTGAATTAACAAGAATACTGGGAGGAGAAATCTCAAGGCATAATTTTCTAGCCTGGAAACGATTTTCACTGCAAAAAAGCAACATTCTGGAAAGAGGAAACTAAATCCTTTATCTTACCCAACCACCTACAAACCACCAACATTTCTCTCGGCCCCAAAGAATATTTTTTAAAAAATTTCAATAAAAAAGGTGAAAAGAAGAATGAAATATATCTTCTTACCCATCAGATGTCATGTAAATGTGGTACTCTTTGGTCATGAACGCAACTTGATCACTGTTCAACCCTGTGAAAGTGAACATTCCAATCTGCTTGATAATGTGACTCCAGTCACCTGCAGTGCCTGCCAAAAAGGAGATAGAAACATGTTTGGTTTCTGATCTAAGATGGAATACACCAAATATTTCATATAACAGTGAAGAAAATACTAGAAAAGAAAAAATGCAAAATTTTTGTCGATTATATATAAAGGACGTGAGCGGAGACCAAGATCTTGAACAAGCCTTTTGTAAGCTGATATGTAAAACAATTGTTGACTGATTCATACCTATTAAGTTACATTTCATGCAACAGGAAAACTAAAAAAAAAAGGCACAAAAATCCACAGACATAGGAAGAAAGGAAAGGATTAAGTAAAACCTCTAGCGCTTAAAGCATCATATAGTTGTTTGCGCATGCTAATAATTCGGTCTGCCATCGCTTTCAGTTCAATCTTCCACTCATTATACATATCACTGCAAAGATAAATATAAACAAATTTAAAACAGAAAAAGTAAACATGCAGTTCATTAGTGAAATAACTTGATTTGAGTAATTACCTCACTCAATGTTCAACAAGAAAACTATAGATGAAATATTAACCCCAAAAAAGTGAACACGTGTTCTTTTTCTTTAATTTATTATTACACCATGTGGGCAATATGGTCACTAGTAATCCGAATGTCTTAAGACTCTTAACATTCACTTTTCTTCAATCTCTAATAACAAGAAAATACTGTTCCAATCATTCCATTTTCTGAAAACTTTTACCAATGCTACTAGTTTCTCTGTCATCAAACAAGTTCTAAATAAAGGTTGGTTTGGTGACACCATAAAAAGGACTTACCTATTCTTGAGAATGGTGGCTGCGATTGATGCACCATGAATAGGTGGATTAGAATACATAGGCCTAATCACAAGCTTCAACTGGCTCTCAACCCTGCTTGCAACATCAGCCCCCTTACAGACCTGTAAATGAAATTATTATTATATTCCATGCAATAGGCCATAGTTCACATAAAACAACTGAAACAACAGAGAAAATGCCAATGATTAAAATGTAAAATATGATTCTGCATAATTGTCAGAGTTACAGTTTTCAGCCATAAGATTTGGGCCTCCAGCATTTGCTTAGCCATAATGAAAGAAATTTGCTCAAGATTTATAAGTCCAGCATCTTACAATGCTGAGAGCACCAACACGCTCTCCATAAAGTCCCATGTTTTTTGCATAACTCTGAGCTATAAGGCATTCCCCACCATCTGCAACAAACATTCGAACGGCCAGTGCATCTGCATCTAAGCTACCGCTTGCGAATCCCTGGAATGTCAAATTTCAAGTGTTTGAAAATTAACCATTGTATAACCTATTAAAACTATAAGATTAACATCTATGGAGTTCATTATGTATATTCTAACAATATCACGTACAGCTTTAACCCTAAGCTTATTGAATATTGGATAATTACCTGGTAAGCACAGTCAAAGAAAGGCAATAATGCTTTAGATCTTATCAACTGCCGAATCTGTTCCCATTGCTCAGGAGCAGGGTCAACACCAGTTGGGTTATGAGCACACGCATGAAGAAGCACTATAGCTCCAGATGGTGCTGCGCCAAGATCTTCTAGCAAGCCTGTTTCCCAAAAGTTTTGCCATTCCTTTTATTAGCATACCAGGGAAATAAAAAACTAAGTTATTGGTTCCATAAGCTATAGAGAACTTGTATGAAGGAATTTGAAACAAAAAACAGGCAATAAAAAGATAACGACATATGGCAAGATGTAATAAATGAATACTTCAGTTGTTTATCCAAGAGCTTCTTAATCTAATCAACTTAGTAACAGCAGCAACTCATTCACACTTCACAGTATAGCCTATTGATAGAATCATTAACTCAGACCTTGGATATTGAGCCCACGAGTTGCTGGATCATAGTAGCGATAAGCGTTCACTGACAAACCTGCCATTGTGAAAACTTTCAAATGGTTTCCCCATGATGGCAGTGGAATGTATATAGTACGCTGGTAAACAAAAGATAGGTAAAATAAGCATTACTTGATCTTCAAAAAAAAAATAACTTAATAAAAAATAAATTAAAATCAGAAAAAGAAGTGTGCATCTTACTTGGTGGTAATGCTTTGCTAGAAACTCAGCTCCAACCCTCAAGGAACCAGTACCAGACAAGCACTGAGCAGTAGCAACTCTGTTCTCTTGGATAGCAGGACTACCCCAAAAGCAACAACCATGAAACATCCAATAAGCTATCGAGAAAACAAAACACAAATCGAAAAAGAGCTAAACAAACATTTACAAATAATTTCAACTGAACCAAAAGCGGTTTCCTTTGGTAATTCTCTTCTTTCTTCCTTCCTTTCTTTACCTGTCATCACCAAGAATAAGCTTAGCACTCAATTTATTGAACTCTGCTAAACCAAGAATAGGAAGATATTCCTTCACTCTTGACCTGAAATACATAAAACATGATCAACAATTTTACAAAACAGTCGAAAATACGCTATTAAGGCATGAAAAACAGAATGGTTGGAGTAGCTTACCGGTCATTAACAAGAAGCTGTTCCGCTTTTCGAACGACATTTAGAACCAAAGGTTTTCCTTCCTGTTATTGGCATAGACAGATCAAAAGATCATTCACAAGAAAAAAAATGATAGAATTTTTTAAAGGGAAAAAAAAAATTTTAAATACCTCCGTTCTGTAAGCACCAACGCCTAAATTCAACTTGATCGGGTTTGGATCCTTGTTGTAAGCAACAGTAACCTTTTTTGGATATAAAATATTCAGAATAACCAAAAATCAATCAAATCATTATATCATTATATCATTATATAATAATAACCTTAATCAACCGAAGTACCGAAAGAAGCTTCGTCTATTTGTTTATTTCTTTTAAAATGAAACTGTATTTTAAAAAAATAAAAATATTAAAGCAACATGGAAATAGTAAAGAAAAAAAAAAGAAATTATTGGCTATATTTGATGGTTTGATTCATGATTTTCCACGATCAAACACGTTATGATCAGATCAACTAACCGGATCAGTTCACACTTAAAAAGCAAAGCATTGATAATTCATGAAGAAACGTATAAACCAAAGCAAGAGAGAGAGAGAGTTACCCCTAGGATGGGATCTTCAGGAGCTTGAACAACGGCGGCGAACACTGAATCCATTGCCTTTTCGAAAATCGAAGACCTTTTCTCTTTCCTGTGGTTTTACTGGAACTTTGAGAATTAGAATCAGAGAAGGGAGAAAGGTAAGTTGAGGCTTTTTCTTTTTGTTTTTTGCAAAACTATGGGTGCTTAAAGACTGTGAACTATGGGCGCATGCTTTTCTCAGTGGTGCACTTCTTCCGACGGTTTTTTCTTTCTTCGATGACTTCATTTTTTAACTCTAAATGATTAATTAATATATTTTTATTTATATTTAATACGTAAAAACTTAATTTCACGTAAAATTTTATCTTTTATTTTTGTTAATATTAATTTAACAGAAACAACGATTAACACTTACAAATATCCATTGAAATTAATATGAATTTTTTATTTTTTATTTAAATTAATTTTTTTGAAAAAATTAAATTATTTAATATTAAAAATTTATTCTGTAAAAAATTAAAATACTTTGTCTTAAAAAGTTAATATTAACATTTATTTTGTAAAAACTTAAAATATTTAATCAGCGATGAATATATTTATTATTTATAATTTAATTTTTATTAAAATTTAAAATCATTTCGTTGTTGTATTTTTTTTATAATTTGCCGCTGTCTTTTAAAATCACTATTTTTTAACAGTACAGTGGATACACCGAATTGGTGGGCAGTATGACTATCGCACGGGATAGCCGTTCAGCCCTTGTCGCTCACGTAAAGGAGCGGCCATCTCATGTAAAATAGCAGACCTTCGTTCCTATCTTTCTTCATGAATCTTTAATGGCAGAGAAGCTCGTTTTCTATACGAAGAAAATGGAAAATGGAACGATCCGCCATTTCCCATTTCTCAATTTCATCCATATTTGATTTGTCTTTGAAAATGAAAAATTGTTCAAACTCGTTTGCTCAACTTAATATTCCTTCAATTTCAACTTTGACTTCCACGTTTCAAACGGAATAGTATATAGTAATAATTCATTTTCTTTTTCTCGACATAAATAAAATATTTGTGTTTTCTCAGAAAATAACAATATCAACCAACAAACATCAATTTGAAATACCATCATATTATTTTGAGACAATACAATATATATATATATATATTATTCTCTTACTAAATTCTGTCATCTTCCCTTTCTCTTTCATCTTGTGAACTATTTATGAAAGTCAAGGTAGAATTCAATTTGGCATACCATAATATGATTTGGAACTATACAATATATATATATATATATATATTATTCTCTTACTAAATTCTATCATCTTCCCTTTCTCTTTCATCTTGTGAACTATTTATGTAAGTAAAGGTACAATTCAATTTGTCTGTTGAAGAGGAAGAAGGAAAACAGAAAATCAACTAGAGGACCATGCAAGCCATAGTATATATAACAAAGTGTGAAAAAAAATTTCATTTCAGAAGAATAATAAACATATAAACAATGAGAACATTAATGGTTGAGGCAACTCCATGGTAAAAAAAAAAAAATCCCTGAAAAAAAGGAAGGGCAAGTAGCAGCCAATACAAGAAAACTATTTTCCACAGGTTTTTGACCTTGACTCAACGATTAACTATTAATCAGCTTTCTGTGGGACAGAACCCTAAGCTACATACTCCATTAAGAATTATGAAATTGCTCTTAGTTTTTGCTAAAAATAGGAATAGATTAATGAAACTCCTAGCATCTAAGAACAGAAGATATGATGGTTGATGGCATGTAGCGTATATGGTACCATGCAATTTACACTGGTATGAGCTCAAGCTATTGTTGAGCCAGAAAACTGATAAATATATCAATAATGGGAGAAATTAATCAGAGCTACTGGTCAATTCCAAGAATGATGCCACAATCACCTTGATGTTGCATCAAAGTTGAAGGTGGAGTGAACAGTGGAAAAGTGCAAAGACTTGTGGTATCATACCTTGGGCCAATTGTCAGCGTTTAGGATCTTTACATCTGTTTTTCGGTTTTTGATTTAGCATCGCCATTTTCAAGAAGGGATGGAACTCTAGGGAGATCATTATTAGCAGTGGTGACTGATATAGCAGCCATCTGAGGTGTCTTGACTGTGGGAGGACTGACATTTTTCGTTACTCCATTGGTAATGGATCCTTGTCGATTCCCAGTCTCAGTTTCAGTTCCATTGCTGAGTGGGCCTCTTTGACTACCTGTCTCCGTTCTAGCTAATGATGAACATTGTGTTTCTGTGATTGAAATAGAGCAGCGTTGTCAATTCCCAACAGTTTGTGCATGGAAAAGATAATACACCATAAGATAGACAATATATATATATATATATATATACACATATATATATTGAACACAAAAGCAATTTACTTCAGCATTCGATGATCAAAAGTCTGCACCTAGCCTAGAAACGTATAGCAATTAGATACATATTACCACAAGGAATAAGTAAATCTTAGCTAGCTGATTGCACTGATGCAAACTTTCTCATTCTAGAGAATCCATCAATCATGAACCATGTTTTACGTATGCCATCATATAAATACTATTCCAAAAAATAGCATTAAGTAAACTTATTTCAAATTTCTTTGAAACAAAATGATCTAACTTTCTAAATTCCAACATATCGACTTTATTTTTTTCATACCCCTTTCTTCAGACATCCATAAACTGAATAATGAAAATCGAAAATGTCTGTGGAAATTTTGGTAAACTGGTTCTTTCCTATTTATTAAGGAAGTTAAGTATAGTTTCTTCATTTGAAACTTTCTTCCTCTTTGATGTGCAGAATATAATTAATTGTGAATCAAATTTTCAGAAAAGGGAGAGGGAAACTTGCCCTTTAGTTCTCCGAAAGTGATAAGCCTGTTGAGACAATCTCGGAACTTTGTCAAAACAATTCTTTCCTGCTCTGCATAAATCTCTGTCATGCCCTGTCCATAAGGCAATTGTGAAGATGTGCTGTGGCCGTGGCCCATGATCCCATTAGGAGAAGCAGCTGCCATGAACATTGTATCTTGTTCATCACACATCAATGCCAAAGTTCCTGGAGACATAGGCCTTCCTTTTGGCATATCAGCACCATCTGAGCTGGAATCCTCAGGGCCAACTTTATCAACCTGGTTTGCACTTGAACAATCATCAGCCGTGATTTTCTCAGTATCAGAATCCTTCTGGCTTTGCAGCCTGTCTTGAGTGGTTGATGCAAGGGAAGTTTCTATCTGATCTTCTGCCTGTTTTTCAGTCAAACTTCTCTCATCTGAATGTATACAGAAATTGAAGGAAGACTCGTTAGATGAAAAAGCAGCACATTCATTAACTATTTCCGACTGACTCAAAAATTAATTGCTAAAACAAATTCAAAACTGACATACATGGGATTCTTTTAGCAGCATCAACTGTCCAACTATTCTTTCTTACAAGTACTCACTAAGAGAAGAATGGTCTAAAGTAAAAGAAAATATTTATGGAAACATCAATACCAATATTCAAAACAGTTTTAATGTAGTATTTGTTGACAAAGGAAGTCTCTAACTTTAAATGCTGATATTATGTCTTCATTTGAATCTAAAGTTGTATCATTACTGTATTCATCATGAAGAAAAAAATTTTGTACCATTAATCTTTCTTTATACATGTACAAGCAAAAGATTCAAATAATTAGCACCATGCAAATTTGTTTCTATTAGATAATTATGATAATTAGACTGGAACAGCTAGAGATGAATACAACTGAAAAGCAAGTATAAGTTGATCATCATACATGGTAAAATTCATACTGTTTTCCTATAAATAAGCATAAGTGACCATATGCTTAGTCATGCAAACATATGAATTAACCACTGAAGTATGTCAGGAACTAGACAGTACAAGTTTAGACCAGTGATTTGAATTGTTTTATATGCATTTCCATTTACCTGCAAGTGTCTTTGCAGCTTCTCCAGACAGAACAACCAAAACCGAGCAAAGCTCCTTCAAGTCCTGCTTTTGAATGATATCTGCTAACAGAGACCTTCCACCAAAATGCATAAGTTAGTTTTCCTGAACAAGCCAACCACAAATATCTATCCATCAAGACACTCCATTTACCTATATGTGAATTTTGATGGGCCTACTGCAGCAGTTGTACCAACACGAGAAACTGGCATAGAAGACAAGGAAGAGGAGGGTGCAGAAGCTCTGATCTGATTTACCTGATTAACAAATAAAATAAGCAGAAAATTTAAGTTCTAGGAACATAAACTAAAAGCAATGATGAGAAAGCTTTTATAGTAACAAGTGAAGCACAAATCAAATGTTAAGCAGCAGTAGCAAAAGAATGAGAATGGAAAAGTTAAATTCACTAGGTGAGCATGCATTCTTTTCTTTTTAGAACAAAAGAAGTATTAGCTTAATAAAAAGTAAAGTGTAATTGAAATAAGATTCACAAAGTTTCTCCAAAGACAAATGTCAAGAAATATGCATAGCTGATGTTTACCTGTGGAAAGTGTCCAAGCCTGTTAATAGATGGATCCTTGACAGTTGACCCAAAGAACAATTCCTGACCTTTTCTCTTCTTAGATGCTGGAGTGGAAGCATAGCCAGATGACCCAATAGCTCCAGTTATGGCAGCATTTGCTGCCTGCTGAATATATGCCATATTGTTGGCATGGTCACCATGAAATAGAGCCTGTCTCTCTTCACTTCCCTCAAAATTTTTGCAGTCCATGCATTTGCAGTTTTCAGAACAGAGAATGTTGGCTTGGAAACACTCACAGTACTTTTTAAGGCACCCAGATTTCTTACAATGACATCCTTTGTTGTGCTTTCCCAACATTAAAACTTCCCCGGCCTCTTCCTAAAAATAATTCAAAACTAGTCCATATGAGAACACCAATTGCAGCAATCTCTATCAAATCACAAAGACATTCATGCTAAACTTTAAATTTTATGTTTGCTACCAAATGCTCAGCCCAGGCCTTTTTTCCATAAGATAATTTTCCAAGAGTCTAAATAGATAGAATTCAGAAAATAGGTTATCAACTGTGTGCTGAAATCAAATGTGTAATCATACATTCAACAGAAGCATATAATTTTAAAGGATTCTGTATGCTCCAACAGGCCCATCAATGAGACAAGGCAACAAAAAATGTGGCCCTAGCTAGGCATGTTAATGGAGCCCTATGAATATTAGTATCTCCTATGATAAAAATTAACTAAAAAATTTTATGGCTTTTTGTTGAATCTGTAATGTGCAAAATCCACAAGATAACTTTGTATTTCATAAATATGAATTAAAATGGAAAAAAAAAAATCAGGCTTGACTGGCATACCCTGCTATCCCGTGGACCATGTGGACTGCTAGCAATTTTTGGCCTGAATGCATTTGGATTACGCTCCAAAGTTGCTTCAACAGCATCTCTTCTCGCAGCTTCATTCTCAACATTGTTATAACAATTAACACAGTTGCACCCATCACAATATATGCCCGATGCAAAGCACTCACAGTACCTGGTCAAGGCAGTGCATTATTAACTTTCTATATCTTATACCATCAAACGCATTGATTACAATTCACATACAAAAATGGCTTGATCACATTATATGAACAGAAAATTCATACATAAGAATTAATTAGGGAAAAAATAGGACTATCTAAATTGCCAAGGCAAGCTGCCTAGAAGTACCTATAAAAGTCATAACCCTATTTCCATCTATTTCCTCCTATGCACACTTCTCAACAGATGGAACAAGAACTGTGAATCTAATTGGTGTGTTGGAACACATCTATTCATCTGTCATAGAGATCCTAAGCTATAAAATCGATTTAGATACATGTAGTGAAGAGGGTTAAAAAAGGTAGAAGGATAGATTAGCTTAAGGAAATTTTTTAACAGAAGCATTTGTTACTGAAGCATGCCAAGGGTCTTGGCACAAATGGATGGAGAATGAAGTGCATTTTGCTGCAAGTAGTACAGTTCCTCTTATTTCTGCAATTAGTACAGAAGGACATATTCCTACACCTTGCACTAATTGTATTTTGAGGCTGCTCAGGCCAAACCAACCTAAATGTGGAAAAGGTTTGGAAAGGTGATGCAGAAAAAACTTATAAGCTAGGAAATACCATTTATCAGCCAGAGAAAAGGTGAGATTGGATTCAGCTTAGGCCTTGGGGCTAATGATGCAAAAATTAATGTTTTGAGGCATTTGTAAGAACTATGCATTAACTAATACTGGAACAAAATAGGGAAAAGAGTATTTACTTTATTGTTGCTGATTAGTTGTAGTATTCTTTCCATTAAAACATAGATATATACAAAACTACACCAAATAGGAAATACTAAACTTCCATATTTATGGCAAAATATTTCCTTCTATTATCCAACTCAACTTTGCAAGTGTTTCCCCTTAACAGTCTCCAAAATTATTTCACATTTCTTTCCCTAAAAATTTTGGAAGAAGAAAACTATCAAATAAAAGAAGTTTGAGGTAATAGATCAAAAACATCATTAAAGTAGCAAGAAAAGATGGGCACAAAAAACATTCTGAACTTATGGTCACAAGACTAAACAGTCCAAACCTAAACATTTCTAGTTAACTAAAGCTTCTTTAGCCACATAGCCATTATGCAAGTAATGAGTTAATGGATCAATACATACAGATACACACCTCAATATGCACATGCATGTAAGGTTCTGAAAATAAGCTGAAGACGAGTATGATCTATCATTTCCCCAATAAGAAATTTATGATTTCTACAAACCTAAACCTATCTAGCTAACTAAAGCTTCTTTAGCTGCATAGCCATTATGCAAGTAATGAGTTAATGGAAAAATACATACAGATACACACCTCACTATGTACATGCATGTAAGGTTCTGAAAATAAGCTGCAGACGAGTATGATCTATCATTTCCCCAATAAGAAATTTATGATTTCTACAAACCTAAACATATCTAGCTAATTAAAGCTTCTATAGCTGCATAGCCATAAGACACCTCACTTTGCACATGCATGTAAGATTCTGAAAATAAGCTGCATACGAGTATGATCAATCATTTCCCCAATAAGAAATTTATGATTTCTGCAAAATGATACACTTGAAGATACTAGCTACAACATAATAAGTTGATTTTCCCATTTCATGAACAACAAAGCGGCATTTAAGGAAGAAAACCAATTTCTTATCTTGTAAGCAAAACACATTGCATGTCTTATGTATACAAAATCTCTCATGTCATGGCACAAGGAACCTAGTGCAAAGAAGCTTGTAAGAAATATGTCACTAAAGCCAACAGGTAAAATTAGTAACAACCCCTGAAGAAGATATCCAGAGTAGAGTAGCTTTGAATCATGGAAGGAGAATTCATTCGTGCCAAAAGAACGTATAAGTCAATGTACTTACAGTTTCAGACAACGAGAATGTTTACAGTTACACTGCTTCTGCTTCTTTGGTGTACCATCTTTTAGTTCATTTGGTCTCGGTTTTGCTTTTGGGGATTCTGGTTTTCTGAAGCAGCAAGAAATAAAGAAAAAGAATAAAGTTAAGAGTACAGTTAACTAACTTCCATTTTAAAATTTTCAAACAATAACATAATGTACAGTAATCTTACGGTTCGTTAAACCATTAACTTCAAGTTTTGAGAGAACATCTTTCATAAATGCAACAAATATTTGAGAAAATCAGAATTAATAATCACAATAAGTGTTTCATCCGCACTTTAAGATAATCATCACAGACAGAAAGGGAATGGAAAGCAATGCCAAACACATCCTCAGTAAGGGTGTAAAAAATATGAGCATTGTAATAAATAAAACCAAGAACAATAGAAAGATAAAATGATTGCATCCAAATTGACAAAGAGAAAAGTTGAAAGAGAGAACAAGACAAATTTCACCGCAATTATCAGGTAAGGGGAAAAATGACCAAAAACTGTTATGTCCTAGAAACACCCATGAAAAGGACCAATGTTCACATCCTAGGCTACAGCCTACGTTTTAAACAGTAAGAATGCGAAAAAATCAGGAGAGAACCTACGAAGCTATATAAGGTAACTGATAAAGCTTAAACAAAACCAATTCCCAACAAAGCAACTGATTCATACCTTCATTCAAAAACAATATTGAAAAAAGAAACAAGAAAAACGAAATTAATTTGAAAGAGAAAACGGATCCAAAAGCATCAAATAACCTCCAAGTGATGAATTCCCAAAAGAAACCCAACTATTCTGTCCTATAATCTGAAGCAAAAATCACCCAACTTTTATAAAATTTTATTTCTTAGTGAAAAAAATTTACCAGAGTTTGATTCAAACATAATTGAAACTAAAGAGTTAATTTTGAAGCATACAAAATAAAATGTCAATCAGGACAAGGAAGACCGTAACCCAGACTTCCTTACCATATACACACTCGAAAAGGCAAGAAAAAAAAAGTTAATTTTTCAACAAAAAAAAATCCACATAACAAACAACAAAAAAGTAACAAACTAAGAGAAAAAAAATCACAAATTTTGATTGCAAAAACTTACACAACCCTCGACGATGCCGTAGTAACAGGGATTGTCGCCACAACATGAGGCTTTATCTGTTGTTGTTGTTGCTGCTGCTGCTGCTGTTGCTGAGTAACTGCAGCCGCCACAGCGGAAGATGAAGCCACACTCATCCCTTGTGTGGATTGTGGGTGCTCCGGCAAAACTACACCTCCAGAAGAAACCCCGCCAAAACCGGCCGTGAAATCGAGCTGCCTTGCTAGCTTCTTCGCCGGAAAATCCGCCGTATCCGATTGCGCCTTTTTTGGCGGGAATTCACTTTCTCCTTCCCCCATCCAATTCCAACTCCCTTAATTTTTTTAAAAAATCAATCAAATTCCAATCTTTTGCCAATTCCCCCACACAGCCACAGCTGAAAATCCACCAAATAATCTCACAAATTGCCTTAAATCAACTCAAATCCACCCACTTTTAGATCCAAATCCCAATCTAAAATCTCCAAAACCTCAAATAAAAAAAAAATCCGCGGTTTCCCCCAAGCTCGAGATTTCCACAAGAAGTGCCAAAAAATGGAGAAGGTTTCGATTCCGATCGAAGCGTCGATAGAGAGAAAAACTGAAGAACTCTAGAGAGAGAAAGAGAAGGCTAGGGTTTTTACAGCAGTGATTTTGTAAAAGAAAGAAGGGAGAGAGAAGCTAAAGTGGGAGGACCTTTTTTATTTTGTTGTTGGTGTTCTTCGTCTCCTTCTTCTTCGGTTCTCCTCCCTCTCTCTTGCTAAGTTTTGAAATTTCAATTTTTTTGTGTTTATTGAATGGTGAGATTCGCGTGGGTTTTGCATCCGACGGTTCATGTTGAAAGAATTAATCTGACGGGTGAAATTCATAGGAGCGATTATGTTGAGTAAGTGACCGTTGGATCTGATTAAACGCAAGGTTTCCACAAAAGCGGTGTTGGTTAAAAGGGCGTGAGGGGAGATTGTAAAGTGAAATTGTGACTAGGGAATGGAAGTGGTTCCCTGTTCCAATTTTGACACGTGGTGTATATATTTGTGGAGATTACTGTATGACCCTTGGGGCGATGGGGATTTTTTGTGTTTTGGCCCATACATAATCAGTGCATGGATAGGATAGGATAGTAAAAAACAAGACTATTTGACTTTGTAAGATTGGGCTCCGTTAAGTAAAAATAAAAAAAAAATTGGCGCTACAAGCGACCAAGATGTTTGCTGACTCGACGTGAAAGGTAAAAACGACTACTAACTAGCAAAAATCAAGAGCCAGGTAAATTCTTGTTTTGAGAAGGGATTTACGAGCGTGGAATAAATGCTTGAATTATATACTAGTACTATTTTCTATTTTGTACCAAAAATAATACAATGTTCATACTTGAATTGTACAGTAGTCAAAAAACTCCATCAATCTATGTTGACGTAGTCAAAGAACAAAGATCGTTGGTTAAAGAGAGGTGATAGTATTTGTTATAATGACTTAGTCAACCAAGTCAAATTGAAATGTCTGGTTTGGGTAAGAGTAAGACAGAAAGCACAGCCTCCAATCTCTTCCACTTGAAGAAGAACAACACTACACAAAACAGAAATTTCTTCTCTCAAGTCTACAAGCACAATACTAAAGAACGAGACGCAAAAGAGAATGAATTTAACGGTCAAACTCTCACAGATTTACCAAATGTTTCGGAGGAAAGGGAATCATAAGCAAAGCGCTGAGAATTAAGCCTACATGTCCTCTCAACACTTCCCTCAATTTACAAGAAACACAAGTTCCATGTAACCAATATTAAAAATTCTACTCTTGCTAATATGCATCTCCCATTCTGTCTCGTCCCACACCACGTCGATCATCTCGTCCTCGTTCCAAGTACATATCTCGACGATATTCTTTTGGTGGAGGTGCAACCCTGATTGGTGATCTGCTCCTCTCTCTCATATCACGCGGCCATCTGCCTCGGGGAGGAAGCTGTGAAGGAGGAGGTGGAGGTGGAGATGGTGGTCGCCTCTCGTACCCTTTCCTTTCATTGAAGAAGTTATCCCTTCCACGATCTCTATGTCCCCAATCCATTGGCATTGGCCTGACAAATCTACTCCTCCCCCTGTAGTCATCATCTAGATAATCCAGTCGATCTCTACGCATGCTATGATCAGAAAACCTGCCTTCATGCCTGGAAGGTGGTGGACCACCAGCTCCAAAGTCTCTGGGGCCATCCCTAGCCCAACCACGAGGAGGAGATCTAAAGCCATTCATATTTCGGCCAGGCGGAGAGAGATCTATGGGAGAGCCAGGAAAGCGCCTGGGAGGAGCATGCAAAGGTGGCGGACCAGGGTAGCCTCCACGAGGACTTCCCACTGGTGCATAGCGAAATCTCCTGCAGTTGTTACAGTACTCTCTCCTTGCAAAGTTTAAGTTTCCACATCTGACACACGGTGAGGTATAAAATAAAATGTGATGCCAAGTGCTTCAAACTTGCAAATAAAAAAGAAAAGGCAACAAACAGAAAATAGAATTGGTCATCTATTAAAAAAATGGTCATCTGTGCTAAGAAAGCAGGATGAAACTTAAAACAGTCAAGATTTATAACTCTTTCTTATTAAAATACAACTCATTAATACAAATAAAATTACACAATCTAGGTTTGGTTAGAATTTCAAGGAGTGCCTCAACTGATAAAAAAAAAAAAAAAAGGAGATAAAGCATCAAAAAACTGCAAAGCAAGCAGCATAAAATATTAAAAAAGAGGAAGACTAGAAACAAAATTCACATCATGAAGGTTATAAGCTTACAAAGGATCAGGACATATCCAGTCTCCTTCCCTAGGGCGCACATTAGGATTATTTCTAGTCATGCCTTCACCTCTGAAAGGTCCAGGACCATATCCAGTCCCATCAAAACCTCTGCTACCGTGTTGCCTGCCACCACCTGGTCCTCGACTATATGGAGGTGAAGAGTCTCGATATCTGCCAGGATCCCTTCCGTTACCAAAATCACGACTTCTTGGAGGGCCACCTGAGCGATCAAAATTGGAACCATAACGGTGATCTGCATCCCTACGACGAACAGGAGAACTAGAACCTGCACGAATTCTAAATCCTGGAAAAAAAAAGCCAATAATGCCTATAGATAATCAAAATCCAACTAAATAAGGGGAATATTATGGAATATGATGTATTTATGGTGTCAGAAGACTTATGGCCAATCAAATGTCTTCGGAAAAATAAAGTTTCCAAGGATGGTTACCACCAGTCAAGATCTTCCTTATCATGAGTACAGAAAGAAAAATCCAGAATAGAAGGGAATACTTGTTTCAAATGATAACTATCCTTGTCACTTTCAATCACAGCATTTTACCAGTATACAATGCAGGGCCAATGAGCATGTCAAAACCAAGAGTATCACCAGTACCCAACATACATTACAACAGCTCACAGTCCTCAGGAAGAAAAGTGGTCGAGTCCTAGAATCAAGCGCCTTGTCTATCTTGTAAACCTTACATGCTTAAAGATGGATTTTCAACCTAATATCTGAACTATCAACCCAAAATCATAAATCTGGAGCAACCACATTTGATACAGCAGAGGTAGAAAGTAGGAAAAGAACAGCATCCACATCTGCAGCATGCAGACGATAAAATTTACATATACCTAATACATGATAGTCCAACATAAAAACCATTAACCAACAGAACTTACACCTAAAACCTTCATCCAAATTGCCTTGAAAAAGAGCAGAAATCTGAGCAACAAAGCAAAACTAAAGGGTGTAAACCACCAAAGAATATCCACCCATGTGGAAATAGAAAATTAAACAGTAAGTCAACAGCCATCAGACTTTATGCTCTTCCGAAAAGCTCATCTCAGCGCACCGTTTGAAAAGGTTCCACCTTTTGAAACTACGAATTACCACCCAAACCCGAATTCACTATCCCTATACCAACTTGGTGGGTAGAAAGTAGAAACCAGCAGGGCTTCTTCCATCCCCAAAGGAGCAATGCACCAGTCACTGACCACTTTTGCTAAATTCTTATACATCCAGTAACTTTGTCCACCAGCTTAACTACTCCATTAAACACAAAATTATACAGAAACACACAAGATGCCTCAATATAGAATATATGACATGAAGGATATCCCACAATATCCCATTCACCTGGAAAAGAATACAACTAAAAGCCACAAAAAAGTATTATTCTAAAGCCATCTAACCTAAACCAGTTCACCCTCCCAGAGGAAAAAGAAAAATAAAAGAAACTAAAAGCCACAAGAAAACCAAGTAAAATCTCACCCCAAGAGTTCCATTATCAATTACCAGATACTCCATTATTGAGCACTTCCATAAATTAACAAAACCAACAAAAGTCCAGGAGAGACAGAGCTCCACTCCCGCCAACAAAATTAGTTATCATGTCCCAACTCTGTCTTCCATTAATATATACCCCGAAGCCCTCAACCACACTAGTTTGTCCAGCCTATAGACTAACCTTACCATTGAGCAGACCCAAAACTGGCCATTATAAACCATTTGATGCTGTCAGTATTCCATCTCCCAGATCATGCTTTGCAACTATCTTGAAACACATAACCACAAACCTCTTAAATTGGCATTAAAATTAGCATTTCAAATTAGATATGACACTCTACCGAACCCAACCCAAAGTCACTATCTTCAAATTCTTGCTCAATTATAACAGCTTCAAAACCAAGATGCAATAACTTGTCTTAAGTGATCAGCACCACAAGTTCATTCATCATACCCAACACATATAGATGGCATTTGGCACAAAACGTTAACCTCTTAATACAAAAAAACAATTAACCCAACAATGATCCAAGATTGCATTCACACCAACATGCCTTCGTCAAGACCCAAGTTCTTGCAGGCAACATTCACAGCTGTAACACACAACAGCAAAATTCATTCGCAACTCGAAACTCCATAAGGGTGTTAGATCCACATGCTTGACATGCAACATAAGGAAGAGATAACAGGTTGTACAAACCCAATTGTTATGTAACATATACATAGTCATTGAACAAAATCATTGAACTATAATAGTCATGAAATAATGTTACAAATCTCACTTGGCAATAATATAAACAATCAAGCATTTAAACAAAGGCTACAAGACTCTATATATGCTTCTACCAGATGCAGATACGTCAGGTAGAATTATGGTAAGAGGAATAGCGAAACAACACAAACATGACAGGTTACATGACATTGCAATATAAACATAAACAAGGCCCCTTTTATAACCTATTTTTCATTTCATAAAAATTACAAAATACACTGCCATTAGGTTGTTTACCTCGCAGCTGAGTTTCCTCTCTCGAGAACATAAATTATCTTCTTGTTACGCGCCCCAAAATTCACTTAGTAACCTATTAATCGTCTACTAACTCCTCAATAACACAAATCGAGTACAAATCTACTGTAATTGCAAATTGGCATTCAATTAAAAGTCACTGAAGTTCACCAATGCCTTCTATAAAGCTCCAATCTCAATCACACAGAACATCGCCCATTTCACTTTTGGTTTCAAATCCTACTTCGATCTAGGGTTTAAACTCTCAAATCACATGATTCAGTTTACTTTCAATTAAAACAATGTCGCAAAAGTAATTTGAACTCCAAAATATCAGTAGATTAATAAAACACCAAAGCAAAATTTTAAAAAGTATATTTATTAACAATTTAACAGACGAAAAGAATAAAATGGAATAAAGAAAAACGAACCAGGTTCATCGTTGTGTCGATCAGAGCGAGAATAAGGAGGCGGCTCACGGCGGACCTCTCCAGGCTCGTAATCGCTACCACCGCCACGGCCACCTGCTCCTCCTCCACCACCATCAGCTCCGTCGCTGGCCGAAGGCCGCACAACGAGGCTGCTAAGGAGTGGCTGGTGATTCGAGGTCACTTGGTCCTTGTCTCTAGACCCCATTTCTCTCTCTCTCTCTCTCTCTCTCTCTCTCTCTCTCTCTCGTATGAGAACGTTTGTCTGACACCCGATCCCAGAGATTTTGGATACTATCGTGTGGCCGTGTGGGTGGCGTATACAAACCCTAGCACACGTATTTGATTTTTCTGCCGTGGAATTACATGAGAAGCCAGAGCCTTTTCCCGTTTTGCAAAAGGATTTCCGGAAAGTTCGTTTGGCCCCCCAGCCCCCAATATTTCTATTTGTTTCGAAATAGAACCCGATGCTTCTTAATTTTGTACTTTATCCCTCAAGTTTTAATATTCATTACAAATAATTCCTGTTAAATTACAAAAAATTGAAATTTTCATCAAATTCTCAACTGTTTTCTACTAGCATCTTCTTAAATTATATAATTACATTTGTTGTCTCTGCGTATATTGTCTTCATGACATATACATACTTATAATCCCATTAATTATACATACTTACATTTGCATAGGTATTATTTATAATTGTTTGTGTTGCTTCTTCAGATAAATAAAACTTATCCAAAATAATAACCTCATTAATTATGGATAATATTTATTTAAATATACATATACTAAAAAAAAAAGTTAATTAATTAAGTTGATATCAGTCCATTAAACTATAAAATAAAAAATTGATTATGAAACCTAATTATTGAATCAACAATTTTTTATTCTTACTCATTTTAATTATTCCTATCAAATAAAGTTTAAATTTCATCTATTTATTCTCTTGTAGCCCTATTTTGTATTTACAAATCTCAACTAAAGATTTGTTTGAAATTTGAAATCAAGATGAATTACTTCCATTTTAGCTTAATAAACAGCCAATCTAGCTCTTTTTATCATATTTTTAAATGGATGTTTTATTCAACAATCTTCTTTTGTAATGAATTTTTTTTTATTAGAATTTTCAACAAATAATTGTAAACATATATGAATTTTTTATTGATTTGATATGTTAGATCAATTTAATATGTACAGTATCACTTCAGCTCACCCACATCATCAATATACCTTACAAACTTTCTATAAATAAGGTTATCCAGGAATTATCTAATCATTTTACTTTCTTTTATTTTTTATTTATTTTACTTTCATTATAATATCTTATAACCAACATTTAACTTAAAATGTCGGAATGTAAACGTAAAAAATTATTTTTTTATTTATATCTTTAATTACTCTATTTTTTTCTTGTGATTTAAAAATTTATACTTTTCGACTCAAAACTCGTCACAAATAATAATTATAAAAAAAAGCTATTTAAATATTGAAATAATATAAATGCAAGGGAAATTATAGTTTCCATTTTATAATATCTTAAATCAGATAATTCAAAATTTTTAGATTCTATCCATTACATTTTTTTGTCTGAGTTGGTTCAAATAAAATTATAAATAATACAAATTATTATTAGCTAATATTATTACTCTTTTGAATTGGTAACTTTTATGATAGTTCTACGAATAAAACATCTTTTGAATTGGGCAAAAAAATATTATTACTCTTTCAAATAAAACAATAGTCTAAAATTTTAAGCCCCAACGTGTAATTCTTTTGGCTAAATCAAGATGGGAATGCCAATCCAGTAAAAAACTATACAAATCTATTACACAAGTTCAGAAAAGGTAAAATTTGCCACAATCTTAATTTTAGGGAATTTAGCCTAGAATGCTGCTAAATGTATCTTCATTATTTTCTTTATATTTTAATTTTTTTAAAAGTTTTTTATAAATAAAATTATTTAATTACCTTTTTCTTTAATTTTATTACTTTTCAAAAATAAAATTTTAGAAAATCAAGAAATGAATTTTCAAAAAGTTGTAAATATTTTCGAAAATAAATTTTCAAAAAGTTATAAATTTTTTTTGAAATTTTAAATATTCACAAATTCATTTTTAAAAAATTATATAATTTTTGAGAAATGAATTGTTTTTGAAAATGAATTTTCGAAAAAATTTATAAATTTTAAAATTTCATTTATGGAAAATTGTTTGAAAAAATAATAATTAAATAATTTTATTTTTAAAAAAAGGTTAAGATGCTAAAAACAAATTGGGGAATATTTAGCAGATTCTTTAACCTATTTACTCCACAGACCACTCCGTGGACGTGGAGTGGCAAGCGTCGTAATTTAACGAATTTCCAAGGTGCTATAAAAAGGATAAAACTATCTTACCTTGCGTAACGACGACACTCCACAGACCAAAATTCTCGGAATAATTCAAAATTTCTTTCTGTTGGCTTGCCACCTGTCTTTCCTACGACCATGAAAATTCCCCATATGTGAAATGACTAAATTATCCCCATCAATCATTTCCTTCAACCAACCTATCACCTTCCATAAGGACAGGTGTCCAACAGAAAAAACAAAAAACAACTGTAACGACAAATCAAACCCCTCTTTTTCTCGTACACGACTGACAGTGAGATCATAAATCATTTTTTTAAAGTTAATAAAATTTAATTAATTTTAATTAAATTAAAAAAGCGTAGTGTGTTGGTAAATTCGGCTCTTTCTTACCCTTTAGAAAAAAGTTAAAACTGGCATTTGCTCTGTTCCCTTGCAGGTTGCAGCTGTATTTAAGAAAACCATCTCTCCCCTGTTCCCACTCCTCATAAACCACCTTCCCCGGTAACCACACTTTTTTTTTTTCATTTTTATTTACTTATAAATAACTCGAGAGCTTTCACTTTATCGTGAAATTTCGTTACATGAAGTGAAAGTGTCACCGAAATTCTTTCACACGCCAGATCTATCAAATCATCTTAAGCAAGGTGAATTTAATTTTAACTTTTTTCGATCGAATATTAGCTTGTTTATCCTTAATCATCGTTTGTGTTTTTTTGAATGATCATTTCTTTGTATGATTTCTACTGTGATTTGATCATTTTTCTTTTAAAGTCATCTGGTTTGGTTTGGTTGATGGACGTGATTTCGTTTAATTTCGTAGATTTAGTTTGGTTCACTTTTTAGATCCTCTATTTTTCCTTTTAGTTCTGTTTGGTTGTTAAGAAAATAAAGGAAAAGAGAAAATGAAATGACTGTGAACTGTAAGGATAGAAGGTAGCTTGATTTTGAAGTTTTTAGTATCAATCTAAATTTCTGGTGTCAAATTCATGAAAATCGGAGTAAGATAGTTTTGTGTTATTATGATGACAATAGAGGATCGTTTGCTTTCTATTTACGCTAAGTCTCTAACTGCAATCTAAACAGTTATCTTTCAGATGAATCTTTGGTATGACGGTAGATTATATGATTCCTTGGGAGATCTCCTTTAACTTGTTTTGAATGTTGGAAATTAGCATGGATTACAATCTGTTTAACTTTTATAATAAGTTTTAATGCAAGCAAATGAACAAAGCTTTTTATGTTAAGTGATTTTTTATGAATGAAGGATATGATATTTTGATGTTAAATGCTAATTTATGTGCGACATCTAATGTGACAGTACGGTCCTTCAAAAAAGCGCAAAATTGAGTTATTTGAAGGCCAGAGCTGGCTGCTCTAGTTTGGCATGTGGGCACATCAACGCGATGCATTCTCTATGTACAAGAGGACGCCATCTAGAGATCATTCAGCTGTAATGGATGTAGAAGAGAATTCAGGTAAATTTTATCTATTGACCAGCTGAGGGTTTCTGCACAGCCATGGTTGTGGAGTTGATAGACCCAGAAGCAACAAACTTCAGTTCCCTTTAATTGCCTGAAGCGCTCACCGGTATTGTCCCCCTGAGATGGGTCTTTTTGAATTTTGTATGCAGAAAATTTTTAACCAATGGCAGTATTTTGGAATTTGTTTTTCTTCTTTTCCTGCACTACGTTTTTCTATTGCAGACTTATTTGGCTCTCTTTGTAATTGACCCTTCAGAAATTTGCGTTTGGTTATACATGATGTAAAAAACAGATTAAAAAATTGTAGTTGTTTTAGGATATCTAAATAATTTCTGGGAAAATTAGCACTGTTGCTTGAATTAATTCTTTTAAATCATTGTTATTTAAGAACAATTTTGTACTTAACTATTGCTTTTGTTTAGTTCTCTCACAGAACAGCATGGACGTGGAAACTACAAATCCGTCATGGTGGCTTTCTTTCCCGCATGTTGTAGTGGCAACCATATCTTCCTTCCTATTTGGCTACCACCTTGGGTCCGTTTGTGTGCTATCTTAAACCGTCATCTATGTATTTTCCTTATTTTCTTGTTATTCGTCATGATAATTCTCATAACAAGAATAGATGTTTATGGTTTGCATGTTGGCCATTCTATACAGGGTAGTTAATGAACCGCTTGAAAGCATCGCTTTAGATTTAGGTTTCAGTGGGAATACTCTGGCTGAAGGTGACATTTTTTCCCAATCCTTTTTCCTTTTTCTTTCTGACTTTTGCATCAATAGTCTAGACCTCTAACATGATAGCTTTATTATGAAATGTTAAATATAGGTATGGTGGTGAGTACATGTTTGGGTGGTGCTCTTATTGGATCTTTGTTCAGTGGTTGGATTGCTGATAGTGTTGGGCGTCGTAGGGCATTTCAATTGTGTGCTCTACCTATGATTATTGGTGCTTCTACAAGGTAATATGCAATGCTAATCAAATGCTTGTAATAAATAATTTTCATTCTATGCTCTTTATTTTATTTCCCAATGCTGCTTATAATAGCTCGTGATTTAGTTATAAGGCCCTCCCCTTTTTAATATATTTGTTTAACTTTGATGAATTAAATTTTACTTTTATATATTCAAGGAAGATGGATTAGATATACATTTTATAACCTTGAGAAAAACTTATGTCTGACTTCAACTCTGCTATCTCGGATGAAGTAAGAATAGATAGGACCTTGATTGATAGATGTTACAACAACTATTATTTTTTCTATACCTGCAATATCTTTTTATTCTTACATCCTTAGTTGTGTAGAGGTATGTATTTAACTAATTAATATATGTGTTATATGGAGTATTTTCTTATTGTCCTTCAAAACTTTGGTTTACTTGCTCTATTCCTCACTTCTTTCTCTTCTTTCTGTTTCACTTCATAAAGTCTGAATTTATAAGGTTTAGGACTCTGACAAACAAAAATTTCATTTTAGTGCAACAACGAAAAGTTTGGCGGGTATGCTCATTGGAAGGTTCTTAGTTGGGACAGGAATGGGGCTCGGTCCACCTGTTGCTGCTCTTTATGTGACAGAGGTATTGATACTGCTAATTTTATTTTGCATTAATTATTGACTTAGATAGCACTCTCTCTTTTGTGCATGAACATAAACTGTTGTTTTGTTGTTTTTTGTACTATATCTGTGTAGGTCTCCCCTGCTTCTGTAAGGGGAACTTATGGAAGCTTCATCCAGATTGCAACATGTCTGGGACTTATGGGGGCTCTATTTATTGGAATCCCCGTCAAAGAAATTGCCGGCTGGTATGAATCATGCTTTAGGTATCACAATATCTGCAAATCATATGTTGTTTTTCGGACTTATTGCATAATTTGCTCAGGTGGCGCATTTGTTTTTGGGTCTCCACAATTCCTGCTGGATTACTAGCATTTGCCATGATGTTTTGTGCTGAGAGTCCTCATTGGTTATACAAGGTTTGCTCTCTGATTTGCATGAGCTGCAATTGCAAAATTATTTTCCATGTTAATCTTAGTAGCACTATATGACTATTTAATCAAAGCCTTGGATATTAATTCTTATAATTTTTCCCTTTTGTGGTACTGTAATCAGTAATCATCTGATTTTATGTCTAAATATAAATTGTTTCCATGTCCTTCTCTATGTGTATATGTGCTGCTTCCTCACTTTTATGCATGCAATTCATCGGTTAGAATCACGATCAACTTTTACTAGATCCCTTTCTCTCAAGCTATTTTATTCTTTGAACTTTTTCCACATAAAACTGCACCATTCTTCTGTTGAAAATTTTCCAAGATGTGCTTACCCCCTGTAGCATGTGACCAAATTAGATAAAAGCAAATTTTCAGTGCTATTAAAAGCTTATGTTGAAGTAAAATGATTACGTTATCTTCGTGGTGTCACGCAGAAAGGAAGAAGTGCTGAAGCTGAAATTGAGTTTGAGAGGCTTTTAGGTGGATCACATGTCAAATATGCCATGGTAGAGTTACCTAAATTGGACAGGGGGGATGAAGCAGACACTGTGAGACTCTCAGAATTGCTCTATGGCCGTCATTTTAGAGGTAGATATTACCATTTCTTGCTATGATTGTAAAAAGGCTTTCAGAGTACTTTTTTGGTGTCTACAGCTGCTTTCGCTGCTGCCGCCACCACTGTCACTTCCTGTTCTGCTTTGCTTCTTTCGTTTTGGGCTTTGTTATTCATGTTCTTCTTTTGCAGTTGTTTATATTGGGTCAACCCTATTTGCTTTACAACAGCTATCTGGTATAAATGCTGTATTTTATTTCTCTTCATCTGTATTTAAAAGTGCGGGAGTACCGTCGGACATTGCGAATGTGTTCGTTGGAGTTGCAAATTTATCAGGTATACCATTGTTCCTTGATAGCTTTCTTGCCCTCATTTTATTCTGGTATTTTGCCTAGTCCATTTATGCTGATTTTCCCTTCATGATAGGATCTATCATTGCAATGCTTTTAATGGATAAACTCGGAAGAAAGGTGCTTCTTCTGTGGAGCTTCTTTGGCATGGTAAATAGCAGTCTCACTTATTTTCTCATGGAAGCCTTTTCATGTATTATTAGTATTATAGGAGAGCTATATGACGTGCATCTATAGAAATGAAGAAAAGAAAGGCATATCGTTTGCCCATGCTTGTTAGAATTTACGTCCCTTAATGCTTTACACATGTGTTTTGTCCTGGGCTAAATTATTCCATGCATCTCTTGTTTGAAAGGAAATGAAAATGATTTTTTTTAGTGAAAGAAGCTAATATATCATTCATAGCAAGGAAGTTGGAAGTACGGTTTTTAATTACACTGCTGCTACCATATTATGCATGACTCAGCTAAAAGCAAATGTTAATTCTCTTTTTCTAAATGAAAGAATGAAAACTGATTTTAGATATTGGATTTTATTTGTGCATTTGATTTACTCAGACTATATCAATGGTTCTTCAAGTAGCTGCGGCGAACACTTATGCGTTAGGCTCTGCATCTTTATACCTATCAGTCGGTGGCATGCTAATGTAAGTGTTGCTTTAATTTACTTGCTTTTTAAAATCTCTAAACACCAAAGTTTTATATGGCTTGGCAGAAAGTATTCAAAATTTGTGGAAGTCATAGTTGGAAATCTTGGTTGTAAGTTCAATGTGTTTGGGTCCTCCGACCTGAGTCCCTGACTGACCTTGACCAATGGAATAAGCAACCACTCATAAGTGGAAGTGATGTCCTGCAAATGATGAAAAGATTATCAAATATATCTAAAATTTAGTCTTTTTACATCCATTCAGCATAAACCATGAGGCAGAGAGAGATAATTTCAGTATATGGCCTCTAATTTCGAACACCGTGCAGGTTTGTCCTAACATTTGCACTAGGAGCTGGTCCTGTTCCAGGTCTCCTTCTAACAGAAATTTTCCCTAGTCGAATTCGGGCAAAAGCTATGGCATTCTGTATGTCAGTACACTGGGTAATTTTCTTTTTTCCTTATTGGTTGTTTGCTTCTCTTTTTCCAAGCATGAACTTGTATCCTTGTGATTGTGACAGATTCTTGCTTCTATCTTCTGATGGTTTTTCTTGGTTGCTTTTGCATCACTTTCCAGGTAATCAATTTCTTTGTTGGCTTGCTCTTCCTGCGTTTGCTGGAGCTGCTTGGGCCACAACTCTTATACTCGATATTCGCAAGCGTTTGCATGATGGCTGTAGTCTTTGTTAAAAAGAACGTAATGGAGACCAAAGGGAAATCTCTTCAAGAAATCGAGATTGCTCTTCTCCCACAGGAATAGGGAGGTATATTTTCTTCCAAAATTTTTTTTCTTTGCTATTCAATCATTGATGTTACTAAAATAAAAAGCAACCAAAGAATAACCACTTGACATGAACAAATGTCGAATGAAATCATTCTGACTTAGTGGAATGAATTTATATGCAGGGCAAACATATTTCGAAGGGCGTAAGTTTTGAATTAACAATAGTTTTGATGCAACCAAATTTGGTACGCAGATGGGTTTTCGACATGAAGTAGTAATAGTTATGAATCCCTCCTTAATTCATTCGTGCCAAGAATATTACATTGCTATAATGTTGTAGTCAGAGCCATGCATTCCGGCCACAAATGATATGTAACAAAAATTTGTATGAAATCGTTATGGTTGAAATTGTTTCGCTTGATTCTGAGGTAAAATTGCATATCTTCCATTGGGTATTCCGTTTGAGCGTGCTAACATAGAGTTGACATACTAGATTTTAAGATGTCAAAGCAAACCCTTGTATACTTATAGCCAGTAATTTGGAAATCCCAAGAAGTTGCTTCAGATTATCAGAATTCTCAAATCAGTTTCAATTTTTAAATCTAATGACAAACAAAAGACAGCAGGAAATCCCCCCCACCCCCCAACGTGAAGAAAAGTTCAGGGCACGACGAGAGTTGCCCCCCAAAAGGCAGGATTTCCGACGATACGAACCGGTTATTTTCATATTCCTACATTCAATCACCGAAGTGCTTCTGAGTGCTACGTCCTTCATGTTACTTTAAACAAGTACATTGGTTCATCGCTATATAATGCTTACATGGCATTGACCATGACAGCATTAACTAGAAAGATGGATTTTTAAAAGAAATGGGATGAAAAACTAAGATACAAACCATTATTCTTTTGATCAAGCCTTTCATCAAATAAACTTACATCATAAACGGAGGAAAATTATTTCGTTTTAAGACAGGAATATGTTTCTGGTTTTTACAATGAATGAAGAGAATGCAACAGGTTGCTTTAATACAAGACGAGCAAGTTTGACAGATTCATGATTTATCATCTCCCTAATTGCCGGTTTTAACAATACCTTAAACAAAATGGAACATAGAATTTAAGCATTCACCGTACCTCTATACAGGCCAAGCTCATGAGAATTGTAAGGAAAAACCACTGCCAGTGGTCCTGACATTAACAGGGCCAAACTCATCAAAATCAGAGTCGGAACCCATGTCATTGTAATCATTCAACCCACCAGGGGAATCCTCATCATGGCCATGCTTTGTGAGAGGTACATGCAGCTCAGAAATGGGAAGGGGAAAGGGCTCTTCATTGAAATACTTGTCATTGAGCAGTTCCATTGCAGTAGCTCTATTAGCTGGGTCATAACAAACAAGTCGTTTGACAAGAGAGATTTCATTCGGAGACCGGTCGGGTAGGCAGGCTTCTAAACCAGTTGGTTTTTCAATATTGGCAAAAGAAATAGTTCTGTAATCAGGAAGTTTCGAACAGCTTGGCCAGACTTCTTCAGTCAAGTTTCCTAAAACACTGATGATTTTGCCAAGCTGATCAATGTCAGAAATCCCAGGAAAAAGCGGCTCAAGGGTTAGAAGCTCTGAAAAAATGCAACCCAATGACCACAAATCCACCTCGAGCCCATAGTCTATTGATCCATAGAGTAGTTCAGGGGCTCTGAACCAGCGAGTACCAACACAAGACGTGAGAGCACCATGTCTGTCATCCCCACCCTCTTCAGCCTCGTATGAGTAAGAACTCTTGAGAGGATCATCCTCTATGTCACTTATGGTACCCGTTGCAAGACAAGATGTGTCTCCATCATTTATATTTGTTTCTTTGTCAGATTCATCTGTGGCATGTCGTTTAGCCTTGAGCTCAACTAACTGTCTAAAATATTCCTCTTTGCTTATATCTTCCTCCACTTGGTTATTAAATCCTAGATTTGGTGAGCTGCATGCTTCAGAGACAGAATCTAATGTTGGAGAAGTGTTTTCCTGATATCCTGCGTTCTGCTCAAATGATTGTTGGTTATCATTGTTGGCAACAAATCCAGGCTCCATGAGTATCCTTGCCTGAAAACAGACCCAAACAGACATATGACGCTTGGAAGATGACAAGTAGAAAAAATTTACACAGCTCTCTGTAGGCTATAATTCAAACAGTACTTTTCATTCTTAAGAACACGCTAATCACATAAAACAAGAATATTTACCAAGGCTGTGATATAAATATTGTAATCAAGACTAACTACTCAAAATTAGCAGTTGGAGAATTCTAGCAGCCAAGTTTTCAAGTCAAGACAGCCACCAAGAAACAACTGATAAGTTAGTGGAGACAAAATTTCCACTCTTTTAATTCCTTGGTTCTATCATTCGTTTGAATGTACCTAGTTTGAAGCAGGAGAACATGAATGAAGCACAAAACATGGACTGGGATCAAATCCACAAAATTTAAATTACTGAAAGCATGTTACTCACAATCGAAACAAATGACATTAATTCCAAATCTTTACGGCCTAAGTCTGCACTAACTGTTTACTGACACCAAAATTGAAAAGTCATTCTCTGATAATTATCAGGAAACCGACGGGACCTCCTAATGATATTGTAGCAATTCAATCAAAAGAGCAATTGTCTATTAATGCAAATTTCAATTTCATCACCTCTTATTAATGCAAATTTCAATTTCATCACCTCATCCACCATTAAAAATGCAGCATTTGGATGAAAAAAAAAACCCTAGAATGCAGTAACTAGAAGAATCCTATCAAACCTAAAGCATCCAAACTTTTGTCTCTTAAAGTCACTAGCAAATCAATCGGATCACATGATTTGAAGCATCTGCTAAAAGAACAAAGGAGTAAACTTAGTTCAAGAACAAAAATTTCAACAAAATCCTAATCAGATTATTATCCTAGACAGTCGCAGTGGAGTTTAAAAACTCAATGATCAGGTTTATACACTTGCTGCATGTTCATTGAACCAAATAAGTTATCTTGATCATCAAGTTATTATCTTGAACACTTGAAAACTCCAGGTCCATACACCTGCAACGCGTGCCATTGAATTATTAAAGCAAGCTCAAAATGCAAACTTTCCAATCTAAACCAACTTAATTCAAGATCACCACATTTTTCTTCCTAAAGCCTTACATTTCAATTAATTATAAAATAATAAGTAACAAAAAAAGCATATAAATTTCGCAAAAACGAGGTTACCCAAAAAAAAATATTTAACTCAAAAACCAAAATTAAAATGAAGGTAAGAAAATCCAATAAGGCTTACCTGGCCAAAATCAGCTAACTTAAGAACCCCATCATCAGAAACCAACAAATTCCCAGGCTTTAAATCCCGATGAACGATCATATTCCGATGACACGCGTCAACCCCACATAAAATCTGAAGCATCCACCTTTTAACTTCACCGAGTCGGATCCCACCTTCCGTCTTTTTCGCTTCGTGAATAACCGCCGCTAAATCGGTCCTCAAGAACTCCAGGACGAGCACGGCGTCCTCGTCTTCCCGCCAAAAGTACTCGTGCAAAACGATGATGTTGGGGCAGTTTTGGAGCATTTGTAAGGCCTCGATTTCTCGGAACGCCGATTGGTAGTCGTGGACTTCCTTGAGGGCGATTATGAGGTTGTCGGAGAGTCGACGCGCCCTGTAGACATCGGAGTAGGCGCCTGAGCCCACGCGCTCCAGGATCTCGTACTTGGCTATGATCTCGGGTCGGGTGTGAATGCTCCAGCTCTTTGGTAGCGGATTCTCCATTTTTCTTCCTTTGCTGATGAATTTCGAGGCTTTTTTTTTCAAGGTTCTTTGTTTCCGTCGCTTTCTCAAGAATCAATTTAACGACGATGGGGAAGAAGCGAGGATGAAGAGTTAAAAGCAACGGCGTCGTTTAAGAAGTGGGTCACATACTAATTAATCGGTAGGGCTTGCAGCTGTGGGCCCATTCAATGTTTTGGCCCGACATCAAAGCCCAAGAGTTTGAAAACAGTAAGTGCAACCAAGCAAAGAGCAGCTGCAGCTATGGCCGCCTTCTGTCATCACAATCATCAGACTTGATGCACTTGCAGTCCCAAAAGTGTCCAGGTACATGAATATTGGCACGATCCTTGTCAAAGACCAATTCCAAAACCTCCTATCAGAATAAAAGGAGATAAAACTTGGCTCTCTCTTGAGCCATTGAATAATTTTCACAAACAAGAACATGATGAACCAAGACAATTGACAAGCTCGCCCGGATAGGAATCATGTCAGTGACTCAACAAAAAAGCAACATGAGATTCTAAATATGAGGACTTTAACAACATATTGAATTCATATCAAGTTATCTTTCAGCAGAAAACACAACAGATAGTTTAGAAAGTAATAGTAAAAATACATGAGTGAATGTAATAATTCCCTCTGTCATTCCGGTCTTTTTCTTGGTCCACCACGTCATCGAGTCATTGAAAACATTAAAGCATATTATAAAATTTTCAGGCAGGAAGCGGCACTTGTTGAAAACCAAAACGGTCTTCATCAGCAGCTGAGGACTATCAATCTGCAACCATCAACTCCTAATTAAGCATCACATCCTCCACAGACCAAACTCCTGCAATAGATGGAAAATAATTAATATATTTGTAGACAAGGTAGTGAAACATTTGCTAACTGGTGTTGGATTTCCACATCAGTTAAGTTGAACATCATAGTGACCTTATTCTGGTCAAGTCTGTTCGCCGATGGTTACTTTGTTTTCTGATTGCAATGCCCTCAAATTGACACAAACCAGCCCTTTGGGGATGCCTCAGATGAGTCTAATCATCTAGAATAATCTGAATTCATAGGAAACTTTTCCTAGATTGATCCTACAAAAGCATTTCCCAAACATTTCACTCTCCCTAATTCCCTGTCTTAAGGGGAGGCTTTGACTCGATTCAAAACTAAAGAATACCCCAAACGAATTTTAAGGGGCACACACCCGAAGAATTAGCTTGATTTTCGTCTTGCCTTCTTTTTCATATTAGCCTCCAATTCCAGTCATCTTTGTTTTGGAAATCCATCTCTTTTGGGTGACTAGTGATAATCTGACAGGACTCAGCCTCTCTACAGGCATCAGGATTCCGTAACCTAAACTGAATTTTTGTTATAATGGAACAAGACAACTCAATAGCGTGCACTGATGCACTGATAAGAGAACACTAATTTACTAATCTTTTTAAATGACAGGAATATATCTTAAGCCACCACAAGAGAAGAAATGAACTACTTACGCAATTGAGCAGCCAGACCTTCGGCTCCTTTTCTTCCTTGCCACTTCCTTCCTCATTGGGGGTTGAAGAACAACCTTGATTGCAGTATCAAAAACGGCTTTGACATTCTGAACAGTCAACAAAGATCAAGTTGTATTTCTTAAAACATTTACAGAACAATACACAAAAGGGAAAAGATGAAGACATGAAATTCACCTGCTGAGTCTTGGAGCTGCATTCAATATAAGCTGCTGCACCAATTTGTTTTCTCAGTTCCTCTCCCTGTGTAGCATGATTTGAATGAGCTACTTTCATTCACGCCAAAAGCCAAATACCATTGACAACTAAATTTTACGATAAAGCCAAACTTCAGAAAAGCATACCTGAGCAAATGTTATAATATTAGACCCCATTTGATCAGCGAGATATGCTCTATCCTTCCGAAGGTCTGATTTATATAGAAAGAACATAATTCAATGTTATTCATGAAATCCTTCCATTTGAACATGCTTATGTGCATCATTATATGAAAGAATTCTCAACATAGCCACCTACCTAGCTTTGTTCCAACCAGAACAATTGGAACATTAGGTGCAAATCGATGTAATTCTGGCATCCACTGTGAGAAGATTAAATGGATAATTTAGGAAACACTGGATAAGACAAACTAAAAACAGCTCCTGACTTGATGCTGTTAATCCAATTTTCCAACATCAAGATTCCATTAAAAAACCTTTTGTTCTAAGAAAGAGTAGAAAGCCAACACCCATTTGACTTCAAGTTGAATTGGAAAAACTCCATTTTTTTCAAACATGATCAAAAAATATCGATAACTAATAATAAAAGTAGAAGAGACTGGCATTGAAATATACCCTTTTAAGAACATTTTCATAGCTTGCTTTGCTAATCAATGAGAAAGCTAAGACAAATATGTCTGCACCTCGGTAACGCAGTGGCCTTAACCTGCTATAATCGTCCTGACCTTCAAACCAGATTAAAAACGGAAAATTAATAAGAAATGAAGCATCAAGAAAAACCCATCGAATCTTCAACCAATCATGGCAAGCAAAGAAGAAGAAGTCAAGTTCACATTCAAGAAAACCCAAATACCTGCAGTATCCCATAAACCCAAATTTACAATGCTCCCATCCACAGCCACATTGGCATTGAAATTGTCAAACACTGTTGGTATATAATCCTGACACAAAAAATCAATCAAACCTGAGAAAAAATAGCAAGCTTAATACTACTAAATTGCATAAATAAGAAAAAAAAAAAAAAAAAACCTATCCAGGATGTAAATTTGTGAGAGGCCCTCTTCTGGGTTTCAAAACCCCAGTAGTGAAATAACTCCAAAGTACATAAATGTAATAGAAACAAGTAAAAACAAGAGTGAAGGAAGTGTTTTCAGCAGGTGGGTAATTTGAAAAACTTACGGTTGGGAACTTGTTGCTGGTATAACAAATGAGCATACAGGTTTTTCCAACGGCTCCATCTCCAACTGTAACGCATTTAATGAACTTTGAAGCACTCATGATCTTCTTAAACTTCCAACTTGAACAGAAATAATACTACTTTTTTAGCTACAGCAGCAATATATATATATATATATTAAAACTCTTTGAAAAGTTCAGTTCAAGTAAAGCAAACAATCTGCTTCAGAGTAAAAAGACTAAAAAGTTAAACAAGGGGAAGAAGAAAGAAAAGTGTTCTTAGGCAAGTCGAAGAGTGAAAAGATAATATACAGAAAAGTGTTCCTCCCTCTCGATGGATTTCAGAAATCTAACGGAAATTTTTTTTTTTAATTTCAGAAAATGGGCCCCTGTCAAACCACCTATGGCTATGCTTCATGGTTGGTTGTCTTTTACATTATTTGTTACTGCTATCATAGACATGACCAAACAAATAGACCTCTAGGACTTTTCAACCGCTCATCCGGCTGTTGAAGTTTATACCTAGAAAACATCTTCGGTTTTTTTCATACATTCAAAGTTTAGTTTCCTTTTATCAATACTTACACTTGAAAGACTGATTCAGTCTCATTTTGATTCCATCTCACTTGTATCTTTACATCCAGATATGTATTTTCACAGTTAATTTTAAAATATTAGTAATGTAATATCCAATCTCATAAACATAATTCCCTACCTTATCACACGAATTGCTTATCACACAAAAGTGCTGTCAAACTCAACATATCATGTGAGTAAGATGGATCCACTTATGTAGCTTGGATTAAGGCACCAAAAACCTTAATAAATTACTTTATCTATTGTAATTCAACAGAATTATGGGCATAGATTTTAGTATTTTATTTTCAAAGATCATCTTATTTACTGTGGCCAAAAGGTAATTCAAAAGGATCTAAAAAGAAATTATTATGGGCAACATCATTCTCTTAAGGCCCAGAACAATATCTGCATCTATGCTTCACATAGCTAGGAAATGGTTTCTTTACTACTTACCAATTTTAAACAATTTTTTGAAATGAATTCGACCGTTAAATTCATTCAATTTTATTACACCAACAAATGTTATATGTCCTCTTGTCCTTTGTTCATCCTATTCATCATACACATGCAAACTATTGCAAGGACGAAATATACATTAGCAATTGCTCGCCATGGTTATCTCTCTGCTTCGCCCAAATCTCTGTTTTCTTTTTCAGGTATCTTTTTACTCAAGTCTGTAACAAATAAACATGGGTGTAAAAAGATGCACTTTTTCTGTCTTGGTCACCAGTTGTCTACTTTTCTCGGAAACAATGGCCAATTTTGGGGGACTATGTTTGTGTTTCTTGTATTTTATGTTTAAAGGAAAGGTTAGTTGGGTTCGTTGGTATTAATTGCTTAGCAGGTGGGGCGGAAAAGAAACGACTAAACTGATATTGGTTGCTCTCCTCTACATTGAAGAGTTCGGTTTTTTCATTATCCTTTGAATTGTCACAACTTCAATGTTATGGAACTTAAAATGGATTGAGAGAGAGTTAAATTTGAACAAGAAAATGGTGTGTTCTGATACAAAGAATCCATCTTGATTTCAGTAACTATGTGAAATTATTATCCTAGTCTGTAGTTTTGTCTGCCAAAATACTCTGTTTCTTTCAGAGGAGGAAAGGAAATTTGGGGTGTTGTGAGCTATTTAGTACAAAGAAAGCAAAAGATCTTGCAAGATCTAGCTGTCTTTAACCAAACCCAGACAACTACAAAATTTTGGAAGTTCATACTTAAGAGGATTGAACCGGATACTCTGGGATTCCAGAAGGTTAAGCTTTTCTCATGTCCGATCCTCCACCATGAGTTGAAACATGTCTTCCAAGTCTGAAATATCTGAAATTTGTTAACAAAATTGCCACAAGGAGTTGAAAACGAGCTGGACTCGCACTACATAGAAGAGTTTGGTTGAGATTTGGCAGATGGACTCAACAAGGCCATTGAAGTACGAGCCTAAAACATTGACGTTGAAATATTGATTGCATTATTATACTTGGAAATGCTGGTGCAAACAAGCGCTCAATGAACTTCCGAGACTGTAACACCGCTTTGAGAGTTTAAGGAGGGATGGAGCCCGATACTAAGTAAATCAAGGTAAGTTCAATCTGACATCACACTTATTGGTTTATCATGTTTAGATGAACAACTCCTTCAAGAAGAGTTATTTATTTTAGTTTCTGCAGAGCAATAGTAATGTATCAAATAATTATCATATCAAACTCTGTGACTCAGTCCAACAGATTAATTCAATCCTTTTAAAAGAAGATTATCAACTAGTGTAAGATTCAACTCCGACACTTGTATCTCTTTCTCCTATTCCCGAACTGAGATCCCCTTGTTCCAAAAATAATTATCATATCGTTTCCTTCCTAGATTCCACCCTTGCTTGCACAAATCCTTTAGATCCAACAGTTTGAATATATTATAGCTGGCAATTGATCATAGTTTATGCAAGAGAATTCTTCTTACCATGCCAGACTATGGCATCACATATAACATTCTCATCATGCCACACAATTGAAAGAAACTGAAGAAAGGTATCTGTTATTACCATAACCATCAAGTGCTACATAAAACAATCCATATTAGTAGCCACTAGTATAAACAAAGATAGTTTACGAAGATGGCTAGGAATTCCATGGCAAGACAAGACACCTCTGTGGACAAAGCAACCCTAAAGAGCTTTAACGATGTCATCAGCACTGGAGATGGTAAATTCTCCTCCAGATTCGATGTTTGCAGCCTTCACGTTGAGGTCCTCGACCAGCAGAGCAAACCTCCTAGAACGAGTGCCAAGCCCTTTCTCACCAAGGTCAAGCTCAAGGCCAAGCGCATGCGTGTAAGTTGCTGAACCATCAGCCAGAAACTTGACATCCTTGTTCTCAGGGTAAGTTTTGGCCCACGCCTTCATGACAAAGGGGTCATTCACTGCAAATTCAATTCAATACTAAAGTCAAATTACAGGACTTCTCAAATACTACAAAGCCGGACCTAAGTCTCCTTACCTTCAAACACGAGAAAATGTAATCTCTGTCAATAGTCTAAAGCCAAATCTGGTAATCAAGTATCAGAAACCATAGGTTTTTCATTCTACTCCTTGTAATTTTTTTTTTCAACAAACTTTCTATAATTTCAAATTCCAATAACTTTTCAAAGAGAATTTTTTAATGATATATTATTCAAATGAAGATAGGAACTTAAAATGCTACGATTCTTAATTGTCAACTGAGAAATGAGGAAAGATAATGTAATTTGCATTGAAACTAAAAACTAAAATCGAACCAACAGAATAAGAAAAAAGATTTTCATTGAAAAACATTTCATAAGGCAAAACAACAGTCTGTTTGATAGTAAGATTATTACTTTTTATTTCCTCCAATGTAACCATAATACAAAAGTAAATACTAATAAAATTATACTAATTAAGAAAAAATAAAACAAAGACCTAAAATAAAAGTACTAATTCTGCATTTTATCATGGACAAAATTGCATATCTACTTTTCTATAAAAACCCAAATTTACTTTCTACTTTAAGAACACAATTTTCTTTTCTTAATCAGGAAATGAAGATTTTATCATAGCAATGACTCCAGCATTCTATATACAATATATTTTCAGCACACAATATGTCCCTTGATTTTAAATTTTTTTCAACTTTTTCACTCTATTGAAATAAGCAAAAAGAAAAAAAAAAAAAAAGACTAATCCGATGCTAATTGAACATATAATTAAAGTGATGGCCAGAATAAAAAATGAATTATGTAATTAAAGTAAAACATTATTAAAAATATTAAGAAAAAGTGACAAAATAAAAAATTACCGCTAATGCAAATGATCTCATCAACACCCTTGGATTTAAGCTCTTCCGCTTTCTCGATGAACCCAGGCACATGTTTCAAGCTGTGTCACTCCAAAATCAAAACCCTCCATGAAAATATCCACTAAAAAATAATCGGCCCCTTTACCGGAAGAAAACGGTTAAAACATGAGAGGAAGAAGAGAATTATTACCTGCAAGTAGGGGTAAAGGCACCGGGAACGCCAAAAAGGATGACCTTTTTACCGGCGGCGATGGAGTGTACGGACACCTTCTGGAGCTTATCCTCTGCATCGAAGTAGGAGAGAGAACCGTCCGGTAGCACATCACCGACTGCAATTGGAGCCATTGGATATGTGAGGCCGTTGAGACTGTTGATCGGACGGTTATGGATAAGAGCTGGAACGCAGCGTCACAACAAAAAGAGTAAAAGAGTCGGGGAGAATTTATAGGGTTTTAGGGACTCTTCTTTTTACAAAGATCTATTAACTGGATTTGAACTACATTTGAGATCCGCAAACCAAAGTTCTGGGAGATAAAATCAATGCGGGGATCCCAAAATAAATTTGCAATTACATTGCGCCACCTGATCAAAATTACTTCTAAGTTTACTGAAATACCCTTTTGGTGTGGATTGACTTGGGCTTGCCTGTGCTGACCGCATCTGTAGAGGGCCCCAACCACCGGTCCAACTCCAAGTCCTCAAATACAAAATGCCTCCTTAGGGACAATGGTGAGGCACCAAACCGTCACCTACGTATACTATACGGAGTAGCATTTGTTAATTGTTAAGAGTCGGCTGCTTTATATATACATACATACATATATATATATATATATATTCTCGATTATTAGACTGCTTTACTAAGATTTTACAACTGACCAATTATAGTATCATGTCATACGTATCATCAATTACTCCATACCTTGGTTTCTACGTTGCTGCATTCAGCTTTTAACCTTTGGGATTGTCGTATCCATCTGAATCCTACGGTGGCAACGTGAGGTGATTGATCTTTCCTCCATGCTGTCACTATTATCACGGGTCGAGACTTAAGCTTCGAACTCGCGCGGTTTCGAAACTCGAGCATTCACCTTTCCGGCATCCCAAATCAGTCTAACCACCACGGTTCACACCCTCGTGAGATATTGTCCGCTCTACCCCTGACCTCACGGTTTTATCCTATAAAAAGCGTCTCACAAGGCACCTAGTGACCTTCCTATTATGTTCGATGTAGGATTCAGGACTCTTTCTTAGGTCCGTGACATTCTTCCGCACTTAACCTCGTGACAGCCTCATCACGGAGGCTAACCACCCTGCTTACCTCCCTTGAAGTGCTTGACGTGAATCGAATGGTTTAGAGCTGACTCTGATACCATTTGTCACAGGTCGAGACTTAAGCTTCGAACCCGTGCAACTCCGAGACCCGGGCATTTACCCTTCAGACATCCCGAATCAACCTAACCACCATGGTTCACACCCTTGTGAGATATTATCCGCTCTGGCCTCCTCTGACCTCACGGTTTTGTCTTACAAAAAGTGCCTCACAAGGCAGAGGTGGTGTGAACCTTTTTATACCCTAGTGACCTTCTTATTATGTTCGATGTGGGATTCAGAATTCTTCCTTAAGTCCGTGACACTATTCTTCCTTAAGTCCGTGACACTATGACTTGTCTTTTATGCAAAGAAGAACTCAAGGATCATATTGAATATAAACTACCACAGTAATAAAATCACAATACCAGTTGAAGCAGCTCTGCAAGATCCCCTCAATTGTAAGCAAATGATTAGAACATGATCAAGCAACATGGGCTAGTGCCACCAGCTCCTAGAGTAAGAATAAATGACAATAGAAAGCACCAACTGGACTGGCTTTGGAGACAAAACAACTTTTTATTATTTGTTAGTTGAAATTAGGATATGAAGATTTTATTTTTCATTGTATTGCTATTAAGTGTCAACCACAATCGCTCCCGTAAGAGACAAAATGTTGCAACATTTATCACAACATTTAAGAACATGATGTGGGTGCCTGGTAGAATTACCAGTTAATAATCACATGCAGGGTAATAAATAGCATGGTATCAAAGCTGATACAAACTTGAAATCATATGTGATGAGTTATGGGTGAATAATACCTGAACTAAAATTCCTCAAGCAACAAGGTAAAAGTGAAAACCTAGTACCTTGACTTATAGCCTCCTACCAATACTTGGTAATCTTGAATCAGACCTTATATTTCCCCAGATTGCATGTACTGATTACTTTCTCCAACAGATTGGCATTAGAAAGAACTGCATTGCCGTGTTAACAAGCACATTATTAAGCCCTTTTTGTCACAAAGATTTGATTTCTTCCGAGTATACCAGTAAAGGTCAATCTCTGAGCATAAACCTCAAATTTTGTTCTACCATATAAAAATTTGAGGAACTTTAGCAAATTAGCTTCCTGACACAAGGACTAACTAACGACTGATCCCAGAGAAATTAAATGACAGTATGAACCAACAAGGAGGCCCCAGGGCAGGCAAGAAATTTCAAATGGCTGATCAAATGAACAATATGTTTGCTCCAATGGGATTGAACTTTTGATGATTCATTAGGTGCAAGATCATATATGCTTCAATGCTCAAGATTGCAACCTTCTCAAATGTCTCATTAGCATAACAAATCAAACTTGAAAAGTCTTGAGATTATCCTGAGTTCCTGACAGTAACTTGCATGTGAGATTGCAATGACATCTTGACATCTATATGGAGTATATCCAGAAAAGCATGTTCTTATCTAAGACCGAAAAAGGCAATGGCTCCAACAAGTATACACCTGAAGAGAAAAGGGAACTACCCCAAAATGTATGGCCTTCCAGAAAAAACAGAACCTCTTAAAAAGATACTACCTCAGGAACGGTGGTAATCAGAGGGACCAGTTAGACCGAAGAACAAGGGCCAGGGTTCGGGAATTTCCATCTACAATATATGCAACGCCTGGCTTCAAGCTAAATCTCTTACTTGGGTTAAATTTTACATAGGATTCAACCTGAAAGTGGTCCCAGTTTCTTGGACCTTCAACAATCCCACCAAGACTCATACCCCAGCCAAATGCATCTTCAGAAAAATCAGAGAAATTGACAGCCCATTGTAAATGTTTTGGATTTGCTTGTTTCATTTCAATCCAACCTGCAAGTCTTCCGTATTCATCAAGTTCTGACTCCAGCTTCAGGGCAATAGATCCCGTTTCCAGGGTGTTTGTAGTCAAAGGTGGAGAAGATGGTTCACCCATTGTATCATCATCTTCAACATGTCTAGAAAATCCAACGGGAATAGCAAGGGCTCCAATGTGGACATTACGATTTGCCAATTTAGGCCCTCGGTGAAGGCCTAAAAATGAGAATTTCAATCCTATTGGAAGTTGATAAACAACTTGTCCAAAAGTACTGAAGCAATGTTCATTTCTCATGCCAGAGACAGATTGAGCCAGCGAAGCAATGATATTTGACTTTCTCACTGTCACCCCAATGGCACCTCCATTATGCTGATGCAACAGGGGTGGCCCAGATGATAAATCAGTGAGGCCCTTTTCCTCCTAGACAACAAATAAAATCCAGGTTAATACAGAAAAGAGTTCAGGACAATAACTAAAAGTTCATATCAATTAAGGACTCTGAGCTCTGAACAGGTAATAACAGTAAAATTCATACAAATAAATGCAACTCAATAAAATGGAATGTAAAGAACATTACATTAAAAATATATAGTTTGCACAATTAAATTAAAACAATTCTCAACATTGTAAACATATAGATGAACTAACAGCGAGCGCCTGTAAGACATTGCAATGGTTATAACTTGAGACTCCAGGTCTCATGTTTGAATCTTGGGAACAATGGGGGGCTTAGGGAAAATGAGAACTATCTCCTATACTGTAATCCAAGGTCTAGTGGATTGTACCTGACGGGAAAAGTCTGAGGCAAGACCCAAATCTCTAAACTGAGCTCCAAATGGAATTGCGATAGCAGAAAACCAATCACCAGCATTTGCTTTATAAAACAACTTAGACAGCGAAAGTGAAGTTCCATATACATCACCACCATTACTTCCAACACTTTTCTGATTAGCCACAAACTCAACCCCAACAGAATCTTTATCCCTAACAGTTGTTTCAAATCTAAACCTGGAATCAACCCCAGTTCTGATTCCTGCCCGATCAACCCCATCCCAATGTTCCTCATCAACCTTGGACATTAACAATACGGCTCCAAGAAGATCAACTTCCCCTCTCAAAAGGGTATTTGATTCTTGGAATGGATTCGTCTTTGATGCTTTGTAAAATGAAAGTAAACGCTCGACTTTCTCTTGTCGGTCTCGGAGTTTCATCAATTCAGAAAATGACTCTCGCTGTAGCCGCTTCAAGATTTCAACCTTGAAAAAGAAAAAGAAGAAAAAGATTAGAATCAGTAAAAGAAAAACAGAGAGAAATAGAGATTATACTGAAAATTTTAATACCGGTTTGCGGCGAGACGAAGATTCGCGGCCTTTAACGAATTCCTGAGCGAGCCCTTTTACTTTCTCTACTGCTGAAGTTATGGACTCCATTTTCTCCGAGTTTTTTTCTGGGTTTTTTATGAAAAGAATTGCTGAAAATGTAAAGACCGTGGCTTTGATTTCTCTATTTGAAAAGCGGGAGCGGCAAGAATTGTTTGTGGGCTTTATTTGTTACCAATAGGGTTTTATTGATGGAAAATATTTTCCTTATTATTTTGACTTTGAATAAGTTTCTTTAACTTGGAATAGAGAAAAAGAATCGGAATCAGTTACTGCCAGTCTCATTTTTTCTGTGGAACTTATATCAGAATGAGACACGTGCTTATACTAGGGAACTCTAGGAATTAATATATTTAAATATTTATAATTAAACATTTGAATGAGAAATTCCATTTTTAAGAATCTGGATTGAGTATTAAAAATTTTAGATTGATTGATCTTTCAAAATTTAGTGAAATGGAGAAAATAAGATTTATAAATAAAAAAAATACTATAATATGTTATTCTCTAATTCTCTTGTACCAAAAAAAAGATGTTCAATGTGTTTGATTATAATTTATATTTAATATATTATCGGTGTATAAGTGTATAAATTTTATATATTGTCAAAGAATCAGATGATGATAATTAATTAATAAAGTAAATCTGATGCTAATAATTTATTAATAAATAAATTATTTTAATTTATGTATATTTATTTTAAATGTTGATATTTACTCATTAATTAATTATTATCATTTAATTCATTAATGATAAATAAAATTTATACATTGATAATGTATCAAATATAAATTAGTGTGATTGTTAGTATTCCATAATACATAATATCTTCATGTCACTCATCAAAGAAAATTATTGACGGTGACAATTGAATTTAAATCTTACAAAGCATATGTCATTTTTGTCTATTGTCAGTTTTAGAAATTTTGCAGAATTTTCTCCAATAATGCAAAGGATTCGAGATAAAATTTATAATTATAATTGTTCATTTACATAAGTACAATGTTAAAGAATTACTATTTGTCACCAAAACCTGCAATTCAATTTGGTGCAAAGTAATAGAATGACAACAACATTTCAGATTGAGGTTGATTAATTATATACAATTTTCAAGAAATGAATTTGAAATGTGGACGCTTTTTTCCAAAGATGGCTATTTGAATGGTGCAAAGCATATCTTCAATCAGTCAAGAAGTCTATTATTTTGTAGGCAGCAAAAAATTTTCAGTGGAATTATTATGCTTCCAAATGGTTTTATAATCATTGTGTTCTCCATAGTTTACAGCATCCTTTGTCCTTTTTTTTTCAGCTTTTTAATTCAATCCCCATGCCTGCAGAGCAAATAAGTTTTGACAGTAAACTATCACAGCAAATAATTCAACTATGGTGAATGGTTGAATGGTTGAATGGTTGAAGGTTGAGGCATACGTCAAGATTTGTTGAAGTCAAGAGGGAAGAATTTTTTTACCTGAATTCGACCATCAGATGTTCCGACAAATAAGATATCTTCGGTAGCATCCAGAGTCATACAAAGAACTTTACGACTAGTTCCTATCTGCAGTATTTCAGTTCTAGTTTGTTTTTCCTGATCCCAAACTTCCACAATTCCTCCTTTGCATCCCAAGTATATCAGCTCTGAGCTTATTGCCATGGACCTCACTTCTGAAGTAGTTGGCAGTGATCCTACCACATTGTAATTTGTAGTGCTCCAAATCTTTGGAGGAAAAACAAAAGAAAGTAGAAGTGATTGCTTGTCACCAGCATGAAGAAAAGAAAAGCTAAAGAAGGAAGGGGTAGCAAAAATGAGAATGCAACCTTCACAGCTACTCCATCAAAGGCAGTGCTGGCGGAATATATCACTCCATTGTGAACCTGGAGTGCATGGATAGGATGTGCTTTGCCTAGTAATTTTCTAGAACCACTTTGAATGGTGCTGAGTGTTCCTGATGCCAAATCAAGTTCCTGGAAAAAAAATTTTTCATTTAATGACTCAATAGGATGAAAAACAGTGTGTCCAGAAAAGCTGGATACTTTTAATTTTGTGAAAGTAACCTTATACCTGGATACTGTTATCATGGCATCCACAATATAATCTGCCATGGACAAGAGCCAAGCACTTGATGTATTTATTTTGATTCAATAGTTTTGATTGTCCATTCCATGCGTGAACCTGCAACGGGTAGGGGAAAAAAGCTTAAACTCAGTTGCACATTAAAGTTCCCCCTTCAGATGCAGAAAGCTAAGAATATAGGTCCACTCCTTCTGAAATGAAGCATGAAATGATACCCAGCACAAAGAGGAAGAGTGAAATGATCCGATACCTTGACACCAGCTCCTTGGGGAATGAAGCATGAAATGCCGTTGGCGACAACTAAGTTATGAACCTGATCCTTCATATCATGGACTTGTACACAATGTATTTGTTCATTACTAATGGACCAGACCTGCTCGTATAACACACAAATTGTATCAGTTTGGCGACGGAGTGGATGTAATCTTGCAGAAGGACAAGAGCATACCCTTGCAGTTTTATCGAGTGAACCACTATATAATCTTTCCCCAGATTGTAGAATATACAAGCTTGTAACAGCCTTGGTATGTTCTCGAATTTCTTGGACAAGATGAAGAATGCTGCCTCTACCGCTCCAGACCTTCAAAGTTTGAACAGAACAATCAAACTCAAGTTTCATTACTTTCTACCAGGTACAGTTTCAGAAAGAATGAAGTTTGCAGTTTAAAAATTGTCTTAATGAGTTCACACTTAAGTGGTTTAGTTTATCAAATATAGAGTCAAGACTATTTTATAGTCAGGTGAGGTAATTATCTGGATCAGTGCTAAACTTGTATCATGATATAATTACCAAATATCAATGCAGGAATTGTGAAATATAATGTCTGATCACAGCATTACCTTTATAGTCCCATCTGAATGACCTGAAAAGAGTTTGTCGTTGAAACTAACAATTGACAATACTTCTCCATTTTCACTGGAGTCTACTTGAACTAATTCTTTATGATTCCACAAGTCCTACAGCACAGCAGAAATAGACAATTTTCTTAGATACTTCATTTTTTTTCTGGGATTATTAATTCAGAAGTTTAACAAACTTACAGCACTGCAATCTTGTCCTTCAGAGAGAAATTTCATAATTTCAATTGCCAGAGGGGAGGATTTCCTAAGATCTCTTAGACCTTTCAAAATGTCCTTCATATGTGAAGTCAGATCATGCTGTCCTTCTGAAATTCAGATAATCAGCTTCAGAGCTAAATTCACTAATAGATCTGAGCAATGAAGTGGTGATTAATTTCCATCACAGAAAATTCACTATAAATTGCTCTATCCACTATATGCTATGAAAAAGAAGTCATTATTCTTATCCTCATGGCACCAAAAGACAGCCACAAGATGAGAAGAAAGGAAAACAAGGATTTCAAGCTCAAAGGGATACCTGAGAGCATTCTAATGAAGATTTTAAGCACATATACATCAATATATATATATATATATATATATATATATATATTTTTTTTTTTTACTTCAAAAAATAAAACCTACCAGGGTCATGAATGAAGCATTTGAGAGCCAACAAGGAAAGTGTTCTGTCTTCAATGTCCTTTGCAGACTTGAATATCGATATAAAGTGCTTGAATAGGCAGACTCGGGCTGCTCCTGTTATACCTGTGTCTGGAATAACACCGAGCATGTATACGAGCCATGTTGCTGCCACAAAGCACGCTGAATATAGCTCTGCAGATCTGCTCTTCAACCCTTCTGCTAAAGCTTCAAAGAGCAGACCAAATTCATGACTTACTAAAACAAATGCCATTTGTCTTTCCCAAGCATCAGCTGCCTTCTCTTCTTCCTGCTGATGCCATTGCCAATTAAAGTGGCAAAAGAAAAAAATGAAAAGAATGTGATATCCGCAATATGCTAAACTATCCAAAACCAGTTTGCACTATTTTTCAAAAGACTCACAGATATATCTTCAAAGTCTCTAGGATTGTTGCGTAGCTGCTCTGTCCGCATGAGATTTCTGTAATTTTTCTCAAGTCCGGCACGTTTTAGAAGAAAAGGTCGTGTAAGGGGCTTCCCTGAGCCAGTGAACCTTCCCTGCAGTGATACAATTGTCTCTGCAGCTGCAATTTGAGCAGCAGGGAATTCTTTATTTCTGAGGCAAGAAATGAGAGTATCTATTGCTTCTTCACGGTATATACTCATCTTTCTTGGCTCAACCTATAAAGCAAGATATCTAGTATTAGTTTAATGCTACCATCTAAAAAGATGTAACCATCCAAGCAATTTTGAAAGATTATTGAAGTCAATTACTGCATGAAACAAAAACAAATCCTAAAGCCTATAGATACAGATTTCTCATATATTAAATTCTGGAGAGAGATCTCAGGTCCAAACCAGGAGATCAAGTTGGAGAAGGAGACCCGCCACAATAGGACATTGGTCTTGGAGTGCTGTCTGTAAATAAACCAGGAGAGTGTGCATTGTACTAAAAGCACCTTCATCCCTAATAATGTTGAGAACTTGCTCATTGAATGTCCTCCTGGATTAAACCATATACTAAAAAGTCATTCATGCAGGCATTATTTCAAGAGTCATCAGCAAGAAATGTGATATTAATGTATATCAACTAACACAAATATAAATGTACCTGTTTAATTTGACTAACTCAGAGAAAAAGTAAACTATCTCAAATCGTTCTTCATATCTTGCGCCTATGAAGCTTTCTAAAACTGGAGCCAACTGTGCTTTATCAGCTATGATATTTCTGCATTTACCATCTCCCTGTATGCATCTTCGTAAGATACCAACTGCAGCAATCCTCTCAGCTGCACATTCAGCTTCCAAGCTGCCAACAATACTTTCAATCACTTTTGAACAAACGATTCTACTGATAAGAGAAGATGCAACATTCTCTTCATTGCTCTGAATAATTTGTCGCAATAAGAGAACAGAAGCTGTTTTTGACTTCAAACACATTTTAAGCAAATCATTGTCTCTCTCCTTTAAAACTGCTAGGAGGGACTCCACTACATCCATCTCCACTAGGCCAGTGGTTGAAGGTCGTAACAGATATATTAGCACAACTGCCTCCTCCAACCCTTCCTTAAATAGAGCCACAATACGTTCTACATCAGAGTCAACTCGGATAAGGGTATTGATCACTGCTTTATCTCTTGACCCCAGTTCACACAGGAGAAAAAAAGTGGCTTTCAGCACCTGGAGGTCGACAGAATTGAAAAGGATCTCCACAAGTCCATTGATTACTGGAGGTTTTGAGAGCATAATTAGGATATCTGGTTCTATATTTATATCTTGCCAAAACCTCTCTATTTGGAGGACAGCCCTTTCTGACTCCTTCAGAATTTCAGACATACAAAGATTAGTCATCGCTTGGCGTAACTCACTGATAGTTCTATCTTTGGTCGCTTGGCTTATAACACAATTAGGAAATGCTGCGGGAACTATTGACTTGATCATTGGCTCGGTTTCTACATCTTGATGATTCTCAGACTGATGTGGGACTGGACCTGCATTCTTCTCTTGCCAGCTTGCGATAAGCCTCTTGAGTACATAATTTGTTTTAGGCAGCTGAGTGCTATGTAGATTCTGGCGGGTAATTGGACATGTTGAGTTTCCTCGTTCCAGCCATTCCTGGATTGCTCTGCGCTCATATGTCTGACCCGTCTCAAGGGTGACTGGATCATCAAATAAATGGCTTGTGATGGGGCATACAAAATCCTTAGGAGGCGTATGTTTTCCACTTCCAGGGGGGTGATTATCTGCCATTAGATAATCCGGAGAGCTGATAGATAGCAGGAAGAATCCAAATATCAGAAAGCCAAGTAGACAATGTAAAGATGATTGCTAATTTTCAATATTACATACCGACTGGAATCAGCAAAAATTGGCTGCTTTTGTTTTTGTGTTAGGCTATTTCCAATTCCATATTCCAACAATGCAATTTCTCTGTTGTTTCCCTACAAGACACAAACATAATATTTCAAAACTAAAATACCAGCATGGTTGGATCAGTCAAGGTGGAGATTTCTTTTCATGTTTTTATCGGAGTTACCTCCATCTCGGCTTCAGATTCTGAGGAACAAGAGTTGGCTGAATTGTCCTCAGAAATAGACTCCGGTTCAGAATCAAAATTTAAATTGGACGATGTTGTCAATGAATTTTGCTTTTTCAGGATATTTAGAGAGACTCTCTGAGGATAAAATGGTGGAGACTGGGATTTGCTGCTGCTATAAGATTCAGCTGACCTTTCTCCTTTAGCCCATATTGGCTGCATGAATTGAAGGATAAGTCATTGACATCGAGCAACAAACAGGACTAAGCTAATAATTGTCAAACTGAATTCGGTGAACTCCGCTTTCACACAGAAAGTCATGCATCCATTAACCAAAAATGACAAATAGTTACTAACCTACTTCTGAATACCTGCTGTAGCCACAATATGCGGTGCACAATATACCATAATGATAACTTTTGAAAGAAAAAAAAAATCATGGGCATAATTACAAACTATTTTGTGCAAGTTGGAATATACTAAAGAAATTTAATATATATATATATGGGAAGCTGAATTGGTTATAGGGAAAATGCAGTCAAGAAAACCATAAGGAATCATATGATGTTATAAGAATTAAATTACAAAAAGAATAGTGGCCCACTATTTATAAATTGAAATTCCTCAAGAGAGCTTTCAATCTAATGTGTAAAGATGCATTAATACTATTGTTATTAATCCATGGAGCTGTCTGGATCTAATGAACCAAGTTCAACCATAATAGTTCCATAGATTAAAGGTGCTGTCAGGGGGTCCACTGCCAATGCTCCAGCTCCCGGAAGATGTTAGGCACACCAACACAAGAATAGTTCGTTGTTGTTATTATTATTATTATTATAATGGAATCTTTGGCTGCTTACTCTTTTTTTTTTTTTTGTGAGACTGCAAGAGATTAAACCTGGGTCTGTGAACTAAAAATCCAACACTCACTCTGACCATTCAACTTTTTTACTATTCTTATACTATTCTCTTATGTTTGACTGATTCAAATATAATCCACCAAACTGTCAAAACAAACCACTCACTCTGACCATTCAACTTTTTTACTATTCTTATACTATTCTCTTATGTTTGACTGATTCAAATATAATCCACCACACTGTCAAAACAAACACAGTGGAGAATAGTTTCAAAGCATCTAGAGAAAAAAAAAACTCGGTTAACAGACTGATATGCAAGAAATATATTTATGCATGAACAAATGCAACAGGGACTTGAACCAAATTCACCAGAGGAAATTTCCTATATATAAGAACAAATGCAGTGTAAAGTAATAGTAATGAACAATAAAAGACTGTGAATAGAATTGAAAAGGAAAATCAACTAAAGGAGAAATATGGGTATTAAACAGCATTACATTATACCGTCCGTTTTTCAATCCAAGTTCCTTGGTTTTGATCTTCTTATCTTCAATATGGTAATCTAGCTCTTCAGCTTTCTCTTTTTGTTTCAATACCGATGACGGTGGACTAATCAATCTGTTTACATCACTATTTTCCAAAACCTCTTTGAAATACTTAACAAAAACCCTGCAATTCTCATCAAGAACATCTTCATAACTTCTTTCTAAATCTTTCAGCTCTAAAGCTTGATCGCCACTCATTTTTGATAATGATTTCGAGCATGGAATAACCACTGATACATCATTTATCGAATAATCATCAGCATCATGATTCACATTTTGTGATAAAGATGATAAAATGAGTGATCTCTGTTCGTTGAACCATTGAAGAACAGGTAGAAAATGAACAAGAAAGAGCTCCTCGAAAAGAGTAGGTGCTAGTTCTGATCTAGCCAATGAAGGGTCAAGATAGAAAACTTGTAGGAGACTAAGGGAGGATTTGGTGGGTTGGTCGGAGAGAGAGTAAATGAGGGATAGAAGGAAAGAAGAGAAGGTAGTTTCAGTAAGGGAAAAGAGGAGCTTTTGAGCAAGGCGTAGAGAGGAGGATTGGACGGAGGCATTAGAGGTGGAAATGGCGTTTTCTAGAGTTTCAGCAGCGAGGTTTAAAGGTTTGAGTGTGAATTGACCAGAGGACGAAAGTTTTCGGCGAAGGGTGGAGAAAATGTGGTGGCGGAGCTCAGATTGTGAAAGTATTGCGGATGTGAAGGCCGTCGTGTGATGGAGGATTTGTGATGATGTAGCACCAGTGGCGGTGGTGGCCATGGCTGCGCAAAATGGTGCTAGTGCCTAATGGTAGCGGTTGTGTAGAGTAAAAAGTTCCAAGAGAGGCTTTTGGTGTAGAGTTTTCGAGGGAAGGGATTGAAGTAGGGGCAGGAGAAGGATGATATTAACTGAAATACCTATTTTTTGTGCTGGCGCGAAGACAATGGGATTGGGACGGCCCATCTAAAATGACCAATCAGTCCTCCCTCATTTCATTAACAAGTTGCACGGTTGGAAATTTCAGGGCTTTCGCCTCAACAAGTTAAAAAGTTAATTACAGTATGTTGAAGTTTGGCGGCGAATTGAATCGCTTGAAGGTTAAGCAAATCAAAAGAAAAGACAAGGAAGAAGAGACCCTCTTGCCGCCCCGGCCGGCCTCTCATCACTGTAACGCGCTTCTTGCGTACTACTTCGACTCCTTCCAATCTTGGCCTTGCAGTGTCGACACAGGTTCACTCAGGTTCTTCCATTTGTCCTTAGCTTCCTGTATGATCAAAGCATGGGACTAGGAATTCTTGACGGGTCATTCCTTTGCTGAGTTGGCCTCCTAAAAATGGATTAACAATTAATGGACATAGATATTTGATACTCTAAGATATTTGTATAGGCTTGGATGGGACAAAATATTCTTAGCCCCATTTTCTTGTATATTTCTTGCCCAGCGGCTGAGCCGATTGTCTACAGGGCATTCTCATTTATTAATCAATTAAAGACGCAGGATTAAAGATATGATTTATTTTTTGCAGCTCTGTAAATAGATAGGCTTAAGAGTTGGATTCTGAAGGCCACTGACAAAACAAAGAACTATGTATTTCGTGGACGACCCTCAATACTATGGGCACAAATAAAAAAACTATGGCCGAAAGAAAGATCTGGCAAACCTTTTCCAATAGACTACTGAACTTAACATAATGGGCCAATGGCCTCGTAAGCTGAGGGTGTCTCATTCTAGTTATAGAAAAGATTGTTGAATTAATGTACAAGATTAAAAATGCACGAAAAATAGTCGATGATAGGATTGGACCTTTCTTTTGTTCAACATAGTAACTTTTTACAAATAAAACAAACTCCAAATTCCAAATTCCAAATTTCAAATTCTAAACAATATTTTTAGCAGAATTGTTTGCTGTTGCATAGTTTTTACTAAAGTGGTAAAATACTTACGGTGCAACAATTTTATTGTTTTGGGACTTGGGTTTAATTTTTTATATAAAAAGAAAGTCACAGCAGCATGTGAATAAAGAAAAAATAATGTGTTCAAATTTAACTTTATTAAATATTATTATTTAAAAATAATTATATAAATTAATTGGATTAAATTTTATATTTGTATTTGATTGAAGATAAAAAAAAATTACTAAGAAAAATAAAAGGAAAGTTTTGTTTATTTATATGGGAGTGGGGTTAGTGGATATTGCAAACCATGCCAACAATTAACATCATGTTGACATGAAAAGCATGCGTCACATGGGACAGAGTAATGACACGACACGTGTCACATCTTCAACATTCATGTAAAAAACAATTACTTATGATTATTTTTTGGATGCACAAGTACTCATGATTTGTGGCTTGAATTGATGACATAGAAAATACATATCTAATTGGAGTATATATGATGCAATTTTCTTTTTTGCTAGAATTTTATCATAAAAAATATACACGTGGATTCTTGTCAGTGTACATATATATTTGCAAAAATTTTCACAAAATTAAGGGCTTCTAAGACAAATCTCAAAAAATAAAATTTAAATTATTTTATAAAATTTTTTTAAATTTTACAGATGATATTAAAAAATTCTCTTTTTTTAAATTATACTCCAAAAAAAAAATGGCCAACCCTTCTAACCCATTAATGGTAATTGGTAAAGTTTTTAAATTTCAATGACGGTGTAAGAGATAATATTTCAAATATATATATATATATATTCATGATTTAATATCGAAGCCTAATTAGATAAATCGTAGCATCGTAGCTAAGCATGTATATTTTATTATCTTTCGGCTAGAATTACTTAATTTGGATTATATATATATATATATGTTTAAAATATCAAATATAATAATATATAAGATGCTATAATATTGCTCAAGATATTGGATGATTCAAGAATGCTGCTCATTAATTTCAGTCAATGCAGCATTAAAATGATTAATTCACACATAATACTGGATATACATGAAATTAAGCAAATATTGTAGCAGCAACGTCTAATAAATTAATTAAAGAAAGAAAAATAAAAATGCTTAAATCTTAGTAGTAAATTAGAGAAAGGGGCAGTTCTCCAAATCACCCGGCAAGCTAGGGCTGAGCACACATCATCTACAAATAGTCCAAAGAAGGAATAATTGTATAGCATCATGAGCAATCAGCCTTGTAACCTTTTAGCAGAGTGACTGCTCATGATGTTATATCGTTTTCATGAAGCTCTGGTCTCGATCTTAATCCATTTTTTTTCAAGTGTGCTAGCCTTTCCGGCAGTTCTAATTAACCATTCTATCTGAAGCCGCCGCCGAGGGCAGGAGCCCAGTAATCGGCTCCATTGTCACTCCCAACTTGAAGTGTGCATGACACAGGAACCAAGCACAGCCCTCTACTCTTCAGGTCCTTCTTTGGTTCTTCATGAGAATCCTAGAAAAATGGAGAAGAGAATTTGTTATTTCCATTTTTATCATGCACGTAAAAGAAAAAAGAAAAGGGGGAAGAAGAAATTATGTTAATGTTACAGGGTGGGCAAGAATTACCTGCTGATCAGGACTATCTTTCCTCTTCATGCAGTTATCGTTCAAAAGCTAGACAAAAAGATAGCATCCAAAAAAGGGTTAGCATTTTAATTGATTTGTCAAAGTAAGCATATCATTGTTTTCATTTTTTTTTTATAAAAAGAGCTGCAATTTGATAATAGAAAAAAAATATTGTAAAGAGTACAAATGTTAAAATTTAAACACTTATAGAATGTTACATTTTAAAAATTATTATATAAATCAACTAAATTAAACATTAGTTTATCATTATTTTTCATTTGTTAAGAAGAATTTAATTATTTCAAAATGCAAACCCGGGAAACTCAATAATAAATTTTTTTGTTAAATTTTAATAAAGAGTAAAGCTAGCTATATAAAGTTGAGAACATTGTTCTTTTGACACTATCTTTATTAATTGGTTTAATTTTTTAAATAAAAAAGAAAGGTAAATTGGTAGCTTTTTTCCTGCAACTTGGTAATGGATCCAATAAAGCTTATTACCTGACCGGGGTCTTCAGGAAATATACAATTCCTCTCCCCTTGTGCCTAAACAAGAAGATTATATAGTAATCATTAATCAATTAACACCACATATTATTCATAAATATATTATATTGCACATGCATATATTCACAATGAAGAGAGAATCACAGATTTTTGTCTTTTTTTTTCCTTAGCTTTGGGGAGTAAGAAGTATATATATATATATATATATATATATACACACACTATTAAGGATGGTACAGTTTTCTTACAAACTGTTGCTTCCTCATGTTTCCTGATCCACTGCCCAAGTACGGCAAGCTGAGAGCCTATATTCAAGGGGGAGGGAATAATGTTTAGGACTTCGATGACTAAAGGAATATTAAAAGGAACATTGTGAGTCTGGCTGAGACTTTAAACAGTGTGTGCATGCCATCGCTGGTTCATGGTTGTTTGCAAAATGAAAAGAGAAGGGGAAGGAAGGAAGGAAGAAACATCACCTCAATTTGACTCTGAAGGAATCTGATGTACCCAATAGCCTCTAACAAGACAGAGGCCGTGTCAGTCTGCAAAAGAGAAGAATCCATACCACAGCCCACCAAAGTCATATTTAATGTCTTTTTTTAAATGCTTAACTATAGAAAAAAAATGAACAATAAGAAAAAAAGGAAGCTTTCATCTTTTTTCTAAAAAAACCTTTTTACAGATTTTTTTTACATAAAAATACAAATGTTTTTAGGGTTTTAACATTAAAAATCATATTTAATAAAAAAATTATGTCTTAAAGACTATGTTTTTATTCCCATTGAGCCTTCTTAACTTCATTGATTAAAGCTATATATTATTACCTTCCCAAATGGAGAAACAAGCTGGTGAAGTGCTGTAATTCTGTCTCCTAATTTTTCCTTCCTCACCTGGTATATATAAATAATTGTACAAGTCAGAAAAATAAAGAAGTTGATGAGAACTAGCTATATGTTTCATGATTAATTACTTGTCACTTAAATTATACAATATTCCTTTTCTTCCATTAACACTAGAATATTAAAGATACAAGCCAAAGAATCGTCGTCCGTGAAGAAATGGACAATCAAGAAGGACAACAGTACTTTTACCAGCCCACAGATGAGAGTCTCATGTGTGTTTTTTCTGCTTGTGGGCATCTTGTGTGAGTGTGCGTGCAATTTGTGTTTAAGTGGTTAGTAGGAAAGAGAGAGAGCGAGAGGCTGAAAGGGTTAGGTAAATTTTTTACTGGGTTTTGTTTTGTAATATTGTACATTACCTTGAAGGTAGATTGGGTTGCAGAGGGTTGAACCCTAGCTTTCTTCAATGCCCCACCAGTTGCAGTGCTGTTACACTAAAGGAAAAAAAAAAAAGAAAAAGAAGAAAGTAAAGATGAGAATTCTGATTGGACAGCAATCTGATAAATCCGAGACAGTTAGCTAAAAAAAACCATTCATGGCCTAGAACAAGACATTCAGCTAACTACCCTTGTTAAAAACACTATTCATATCAACTACCAGTTTGTACTACTTTATCAAAGTAGTAGAATAGATCAAATTATGGGTATATTATATTTCATGCATCTATAATAGACCATGAATCTGATATAATTAACTTCAAATTATGAATCAGGAAACCCTAAAATGTCTAGAAATATTTTTATCAGAGATTGTGTCTATAGATATATATCATTCTCTTTCAATGTTTTTTCCTTGTCCCGCCTCTTACCTCAGAAGACCGATCTGGCGGTGGCTGCCTTCCATCAGTTTTGTTGCCTGAAAAATCCAACATGTTACTGCTGAAACTTGTTACACAGGACCTGGGGGATGAAGCAGCTGCCATTATCTGATGAGACCAAGCTGGTTTATTTGCCTGATGAAAATCTTCATTTGCATGTCCATACACATAGCTGCTTGCAGAGTTTTCTTGTTTCACATCCACAACAGAATTAGCATTTGACGCTTGATGTAATGCTTGCTCCTCCCAATTCTCCAACTTCTTGGGTACTTGAAACTGGCCTATATCACCCTTTTCTTCTTCTCCCACCAATCCACCCCTAGAAATAACACATGTAACACAAATTAACTCAATATAACTGTATGTCTTTTTTCAGTCATCAAAGTGAATTTAAAGATCGAATCTGAAAACATGCATCGTATATGTATAATATTAGAGTGTGGGTATAGAAGACAAAAGATCGTATTATACTTAAGTTGAATCAAAGTTGAAACTTTGTTAATCTAAAGCCTATACGAGAGATAGAAGGAGAGGAAAAAAAAGGGGAGGGGAGAGAGAATTACAAGAGCAGTTGACTCCATGACTCAGGAAGCTCCTGGTTATCATGCCAAGAAGGAATAGGAAGTGAAGAAGAGGAGGAAGAAGAAGAGGTGGTGGGTGTGAATTGAGGGAAGAAAGCAGCAGGAGGAGGAGGAAGAGGAGGCAAGAAAGGAGAAGTTGCTTGTTGATGAGTTGATGGGCGCAGGCTGTTGATGCTCCACCAGCTAGGGTTTCCGGCCATCATCTGCTGCACTGGTGAGCTCTGCAAGACTCCTCGGTTCATTGCCTTACTTCACCAAAAACTTTGATGATGAATTAATGATGCTAGTGATCACTTAAAACCTTCACTTTTCGTCCTTTTTTTCGTTTCACCTTCTCTTTCGCTTTCTCTTTCCCTTTTTTCCTCTTTTCACTTGAAGCTCTCAAACAAGTCTTTGTAGAAACTCTGAGTGATCTTCCTACTTTGGTTTAAGTAGAAGGAAGAGAAGACACCCTCTCAACTCCTATTCCTTGAGAGAATTTGAATCATGGAGGTTTTGAGAACCTTTGTTTTTTCTCTCTTTCCTGTCTTTCTTTATTGCTTTGCCTTTTTCTTTCTTCCTTTCTTTTTTGTTTTTCTTTTCTTTCTTGCTTTTTCTCTGCTTTTGCTTTATCTCAAAGTGGGACAGAAAAAGGTGGAAGCAATTCTCAATTTCTAATTATTAAAATAAAAAAGCAAGTAATTTAAAATAAAAAATTTCTTTGCTTTTATAAAAAAATTCGAGGTAAATAGAGTATTCAATCTTTCAAGTCAAAATAAAATATTTTGAGATAACTACAGATAGATTATCTCAAATGCTTTCGGGTAGACAGTTTAAGATAAGTTATTGTAAGTTATGCATTCAAGATAACTCTAACAAATGAACATCGATAAAACTTGAACCTATGAGTTTTTCATAAAAAAAGATAAATATAATCGATTGAACTAACTACTTATTAATAAAAATAAAAGATTTCACCCGTTAATTACTGTAACTTTTGGCATAAGCATTTTTTATTATATTATCTACCCATGTTTAATTTAATTCTACTAATTCCTAATTAGTTCATATAATCTGATTTTTTTTTTTTGGTACTTAATTTTCTATCAAACTTACAATGGGCGAGAATTAAATATTTCTAAGACCAAGGAAAAGACTCTTAAAGAATGTTCTATTCTCTTTTATAGTATATAATATTAAAGAAAAACACACAAGAAATAAAAAAGTCAGATTTCACAAATATTTGAAGAAATTATTCACAATAGGAAAATAAATAATTAAATATATATATACGTAATTGAAATGCAACTTTTAAGATGACCTTGTTAATAAAATTCAATTATTATTATCCAATTACAAAAAAAAAAAAAAAATTGACTAAATGAGCAAAATTAGTCAATGAGCTAAATCACTATTATATATAATACGTAGATTAATTTTATGCATATAGCAATCCCTAAGTAGCTAGCTTGGCTCTACGTCTCGATCCTTTTGGTGAGAGTAAGACCAAGTATGATTTCTTAGTTCAAAGTAAAATTGTATTTATCTTATTTTATTTTTTTAATTAAAGTTATCAAAATTAAAAATTAAGTATTATTTATCAATAAATAAAGTAATTATTGGCTATCTTTTTTTTATTTTAGTATAGTGGATTCGTAAACTATATTGTGAGGTTGTATAAATATTTACAAACATTATCTATGTGGTTTACTAGACCCAACTTCCAACTAGCTAAGAAATTGTTTTGAAATTACACACGACTATAACTTAATTTCGAGGATTATATTATCTTTATTATTAATTTTACTCATGTACGTCACCATCCGTTTTATCTTTTATTGTGCCACGTGGCACAAGCTCTTTTTTTTTATTAAAATTTATATAATATATTGTTAAAATTTTTAATTTTTTAGATGGAACCTACTTTACCAATTTTTTTTCTTTTTTTTAAATTCATCATTGGAAATTTTTGTTTCTATACTTAACTCTGGTGTTACATGGTACTCCTCAAATTTTTTTATTTTTTTATTTTAAAACTTTTTTATTGCTTTTATTATATATTTAATAAAATTTTCCATTTAAAATTTTAAAAGTGAGACCTACCTTATACCATTTTTTTACCTTTTTTTTTTTTTTTACATTTTTCACAAATATTCTTTTTCAATTTTAAATTTATTTTTCTATGCGACCTACTTAATAACAAAAGTATGTAACCTATTTTTTTCACTTTTTATTTTTTTACTTTTTTATCATATATATTTATTAAATATTTTAAAGATCTTAAAGTCTTTTTTGTGTAACCTACTTGACATTTAAGGTATGCCATGTGTTAAATCGTTTGCTTTTTTTTTTTTTCTTATTTATTTACTTTTTATATTATAAAATTTTTTACTGATGCCCATTTGATGTTATTGATTAAAATATTTTTTATTATCTATTTAATTTTATATTTATATGTATGTATTATTTTAATTAAGTTATTATTTTATAGCTTAATTTAAGATATTAACATTTTAAAATTGATTCAAATATTCATATGGCAGCTTAGTGATATCTCTTTTTTTTTTCCTTTTCATTATTTTTTTCTTTTTTTTAGTAATTATTTTTTCTAGTTATTATTTAATACATTGATTTAATGTATTAACATTTTCAACTCAATTGGAATGTCCTGTTGTGTCTCAATAAGCTCCATTTTCATTTTTTTAATTTTATTTTGTTTTTGTTTTTATGGTTTTTTTAAGTTAAATTAATTTTATGAAAAAAGAAGACTGATGGAATTGTTCACATGGCACCCCTAATTAGCTTTTTATGTTTCACATTATTTAGTTTTTAATAAGATAAATTTTAAAATAAAATGTGCCAATCGATGGAGATACAAAAATAATTCGTATTCTTCATGTTTCGATCTATCTCAATCTAATATGGGATGATTTTTTTAAAAAAAAATTTTATAAATATTTTTTTAGATTTTAATTTTTTGTGAGACCCATTTGATATCAAAAGTATGTCATGTATTTACCTTCTTCTTTTTTTCATTTTTGATTATTCAATAGATATTTTAAAGATTTTAAATTATTTTTTGTGCAACCCAAAGTATGTCACATGTCAAGCCATTTGCTTTCTTTTTTTTTATTTACTTTTTTTTAATATTTAATGAATTTTTTAATAATAAAATTTTTTTAGTGATGCTCATTTGATATTATTGATTAAAAGTATTTTTTATTATCTATTTAATTTTATATTTATATATGTATTATATTAATTAAATTATTAGTTTGTAGCTTAATTTAATAAATTAACATTTTAAACTCAATTTGGATGTTCATATGGCAACCCAATAATCTCTCTTTTTTTTTTCTTTGTTTATTTCTCTTTTTTCTTTATTTTTCTTATTTTTATTTAATTAAATTATTATTTAATATCTTAATTTAATAAATTAATATTTTAAACTAAATTGAAATGTCATGTTATGTCCCAACAAGCTCCATTTTCTTTTTTTCCTTTTCTATATTTTATTTTATATTTTTTTATGCTTTATGTTTTTATGATTTTTTAAGTTAAATTAATTTTGTGAAAAAAGGAAGCCAATGGAAATATTCACGTGACACCTTCAATTGGCTTGTTATGTTTCATTTTTTTGATTTCTTAATTAAATAAATTTTAAAATAAAAATGCTAAAACAATTCGTATTCAATGAATTTCGATCCATCCCTATTCAATTTGGTGTAATTTTTTAAATCAAAATCGAGTTAAAATTGGATTGAGTTTTTTTTAGAAAAACGATATTAGAGCAAACACGCGTTGAGATATTTTATCTCAACTCATTTTTTGTATATATAAAAATATTTATTTTATTTTTAATTTTATTATATACATTATATTAATAAAGTTATTATTTGATATTTTAATTTTAAAAATTAATATTTTTAGCTCAATCGAAATGCCTATATAACACCGTCTATAAACTTTTATTATTTATTATTTTCTTAATTAAATAAAATTTTTTTAAAAATTTAAATTTATTGAAATTTCCACATGATATCTCTATTTAGCTTTTTTAAAATTATATAAATTTTATAATAAAAAAATAAAAATAACAAAAAAAAAAAGACCTGCAACATCGTGCGAATATTATGGTAGCAGATATTATTATCCATTTCATAAAATAAAAACTCATAATTCATTTAAAAAAATTGGGTCGCTTAAACATAGGATAAAAATAGAGTTAGTGCTGACGTCAGGATGATGGGGAAAATGGAAAATAGGGGAAAATAAGGGTGTGTTTGGATTAAGATAAGGACGATAAGCCACCGGTGAGGGGACCGACACGCCACACTTTTCAAGGGGTCAAAATCTAGGGTTTGGAGATCCTTAGCCTCAGGTCTTCGATGGAATGATTACCATTTCCAAGATCAAAAATACTTTATATACCAATATAGCTTTTTTTCTATTTTTTATTGTGTAGTTTGAGTTTGAGTTTGAGTTGCCGTTTCCAGTGGAACTCTTTTTTTTTTTCTTTTTTTTATTAAATAAATACTGCTACTTTCACCTATTATTTATCTAAATTAAATCAAATTCAATTAATATTATTAATTTAGTGAATCAAAATGCTTATATATTTTTTTTATAAGAAAAATATGAGATAAATAGATTATTTAGTTATTTAAGTTAAAATAAAATGTGTTGTACCTGATAATTTAAGATAAGTAATTATAAATCATGCATTTGATATGACCCCAACAAATTATCACCAACAACACTTAAATCAAATATTTTTTTATAAAAAAAAATAAACTTAACTGATTAAACTAAGCACTTATTGATATATATTTTTGATACATTGATAATTAAATTTTTTAATTTTATAAATAAAATTAATAAATTATCGCATATCTCATTTTTTAATTTTTTAAATTAATATCTTAATGGATATATGTGCCTTAATTAATACTAAAAATATATTTAAAAATTTCACTATCAACAAATGAGATCATTTATATGGATATATATATATGCCAATTTTAGCATTGAAAAAATAAAAATTAGAAAAAAAAGGAAAAGTTTTACTCCAATTTTTATTGTATTGATAGAAAAAAAGTACTAGCAACTACTAATATATAACTAATCTCTTATTTTAGTGAAAAATTAAGAAAATTTAGGGATTTTGATATTTGAATAATAAATTTATTGGATAATTATATGAATCAATTGATGTAAATTTAAAATTTAAATGAAAATCATTTTTATAATATGCTCGTGCTAACTTATCATATAACTAATCTCTTGTCTTAGGAACGCCCATTTCGTCAAATCTAACGGCTCACGAATCAATCTTTGCTTGCGATTCCAAAATTACAATAGTTGCTGTTTTAAAAAAAATGATATTTTCTAATATAAAACAAATAAAATTATTCTCCTTGGAATAATTCATGGGATTATTCCATGACAAACATTCCCTTGAACCGCATTTCAACGTTGCAAACAAACAAGCAAAAAACCCTTAAATCCCGAGCTAATCTAACAAGCTACTTAAGAACATAAAACATTGTTTTTGGGGAGGTTTTTTTTTTTTTTTTTTTTACATATATAAGGGAAAAAGGAAATGGCCATGTTTTTGTCCGTA